TTCGCAACTGCATGAATTATGGGTATAAAGCAAACCTATATTTCAAATTCTATGGGTCTGGAGGTTTGAACGTGCTTTGGGACCTATTTACCACATTGCAAAGGCTGCACCACAATGGTACAAAGTGTCAATGTTTGAACATGTGTTACTCCGATACTCCAAGAAACATTGTTCCCCACTCACAGGTGGTGGGCTTGCTCCCTGTGTGGCTCTCGAAGTAAATTCGAATGGGACAGGCTGCGAAGATTGCATCTCTAAAGGTATGCGGGAAAAACAACTGCAGCTACCTGGAATGACTCTTTGAACAAGGATTTATATATTAATTAAACAAACATGAATGAAATAATCAAGGGGTTATCACCCCTTCTATCGGGTTCGTCTGCTGTTGCCCGTGTTGCTGCTACGCCGTCGCTTTTTGGAAGCGGACAGGGTCGGCAGGGCGCGGGGACTCGGGTCTCCAAGGCCCATGGCCCCCGATTGGATCGCATTGGGACCCATGCCAACATGCATCAAAACTGGGCCAGTGGAAAGGCAGACACGCCCCACCAAATCCCGGCTAAAGCCCCGGGAAAGCACCAGAAAACGTGGGAGTTGTAGTGGGAATGTAGCCACTTCTTGGTATGGTAGCCAAACAAAAGCTCAGTCACTTCTTCTCCTTTTGCAGCCACCCGCTAACAATGAACAGAACCAAAACAAAACATGCAAAGAACAGTGAAGGAGCATGCTCATCTCAATACGGCCTCTAAACACGTCTCGAAGGCGCGATATTTTTGCCCGCGCTCGGAAACCAGCGGGGGCGAATTCTGGCATTCTTCGTCGCTGTCCAGCTCAGTCTCCTGCAAAAGGAGTGCATATTGGCAGGAAATGCTTGACGATCTCTGCCCTCCCTCCACATGGCACCTGGCAGGGAGTCTTTCCAAGAAACAAAACTTCCAGGTACCCTTCAACAGGTGCTATGCAAGCGGGAGGAAGGGTATGAGTTCCAAGAATTCGAACACTGAGTGGTTTTTGAAGAGAAGGCACCTCCTCATCTGGGTGAGTCTGCTTTGCTAGGGTGAGACCTTGTTCATGTTCACAGAATACGCCTGAATGTTGCAGTTTGGACAATCAACGCAGCCATCTTGAGACAGCTGCCAGCCGATGGTTGGGCATAACCACAAGCCAACCCAAATCTACCCCAGCAATTCGAAAGCGGGTGCAAGGAATGCAGGGGATGTTGCTCTTCTCTCCCGACCAGCCAACGGACCAACCAAGCTTCCAACACACAAGGGAGAAGAAACACAAACACTAAGCTAACGCAAACGCGTTTGCAGACGCAGACGCAAACGGGGCAAACACAAACTCAAAGACAAACACAAAAACAAAGACAAACACACAAACACAAACACAAGCGCACACACAAACCAAAAAAACAACAACAACAACCAGCAAACCAACAAACCAAAAAACCAACAATCCAACAAACCAACAATCCAACAAACCAACAAACCAACCAACCAATTAGCAAGCAAGAAAGCAAGAAAGCAAGCAAGCAAGCAAGCAAGCGAGCGAGCGAGCAAGCAAGCAAGCAAGCAAGCAAGCAAGCAAGCAAGCAATAAACAATCACACAAACACCTGCGCCTGCGCCCGCGCAGGCGCACTCGCAAATGCACGCTCACGCACCCACACATCCACGCACCCACGCATGGACGCACGCACGCATGCACGCACCCACACACACGCCACACGCAAAGTAAGAGAGAGAGAGAGAGACATAACCCCTGATTGCTTCTAGTGGCTTGGAACCGGCGTATTGAGTGACACCAATACCCTGTCCAGTTGGTAAGACAGCACCGCAATTCATTCTTGGCCTCATGCACGCATCTAGAATAGCAAACCCTGCCTCACAGCGCTTGCCAAGCTGAGAATGCTTGGTTTCCTTTCCGTTGCCCTGTTAATGTCATCCCAAAAGGCTCTGCTATGTTTTAGACTTGGCAAGTTAGCCCACATACACTCCAAACTCACGACACTTTTTGGGGAAACCTCCCCAAAATTGTCAACAAAAACCACTGCTAGCTTGCTCTAACGACCCCTCTCCAAAAAGGGTTGACACCCCTTTTTTGTGGGTTTCTTACGGAAACCGGTGAATTTCAAGCGAAAAGTTGAAAAGTCGAAAGATCCGCTACGCAGCAGCAATCTTTAGGGGAAACCCAAGGAAGGTTCCAAGAAAACACCCAGGGGAAACCCACAAAAAACCATAAAATCAAGCCATTCAAACCACATACTTTTCGGCCTGATTTGAGGGGCCACAATCATTGCTCTTTGTAGGTCCCAGGCTCCCCTCGGGGTGTGGCCGAGAATCGGGCTGAGGTCAGCCCCACATGGAGCAGGTTTATACGTGGAATAAATGCAACATTTACCCCGCCCATAGTTTTGCAAACCTCCAAAAAACTTGAACTCATGTGAATGGGTCCCACCTTCAGCGCCAGCCCAAACCGGTTCTCGCTCTGCCCATCTCGGCTCCTGAGAGCTATCCAAAGCAGTGGCCGGCACCTCTTGCGCTGCCGGCTTTGGGGGGCTATCGCTCAAGTCCACCAACTCCGCCTCGGGTAGAAATGAGTGACTCGGACGGACATTCGAGTTGGCAAGTGGGGGGTTGATCAAAAAGATTGTTTGAATACTAAAGAACTGGAAAACCTGGCCATGGCACCATCATTTTGGCTGCCAGGAGGATTGATCAACCCCCATATCGGTGTTGCGCTCAGAATGCTGGCACCCTCTTTGGTTGGTATTCAGGGAAAACCCAAAGGACACCCTTGCCTTTTAAGGGGCCCGATCCCCATTTAGATTTGGAGAACATATGTTGTTGTCAGGTGAGCCGGCGGCTTTAAGCACCAAGGCTTAAAACAGGCCTCAACTTGTCTGGCCGCTCGCCTACTCAGGTCAGCTGGGCTTGCCGGTCTCCTAAGGTCATGGCGCACTTTAAATGGAGACCTGAGACCAAAACGCCTCCCTCAAGCCCTTCTGATGGGTATGGTCAGACTCCTGCCCACAACAACTTGGTCATTTTGCTGATTCCCTCGGCCAAGCAGCCTAAAACCAAGCTTTCCATGAACTAAGTTTAAAACAAAGCTTTCCAGGAACTAAGCTTAAGACCCAGCTTGGCAAATCCAAGCTGCGCCCTTCCGTTTTGGGAGCCATGACCGCCGATGTGTGTCCTGATGGCTAAGCCCTTCGCTTCCCGCGAGTTCTGGGTGTCAGGTACCTGGGCAGACTCCGAACCAGCCGAGAGGTTCACGCCGACATGGGAAGTTACATGGCACAGTTCCCTTTTGGGCAGGGATAATTAACCAAAAACCAATGCAAACATCGTGCCATCTACATCTTGGTAAAGAGGTAACTGGGCTGCCCTTCAGATCCCCTGCGAAAAGTTTAACATTTAGTGGGTCAAATGGAAACCCACTAAACGGCTGGGAGCACCAAGATAAGCAACGCCATGGTGCCACCAGGGGCGCAGTGATTTCGGCCAGCACGCGGCGCGTCAGCAGCTTTTCACCAGGCGCCTCTGGCGCCTGAGCCGCTGAGGCGTTCGGTGCCTGCGGGGCCAGGCTCCAAAGCGGGTGCCACATGGGGCTGGGGGGGTTGCCTTGAAATCGGGGATCCCCAACAATGGCGGGTGTCACTTTGGGCTTCCCCTTCGGAGGTTTAGTGGAAAACCCCTTTATTTCCCAAAAAGTTAAAGTCTAAAGATCCAACCCGATAGCAGTTAAGATCCAAATCCCTATAGGAAAGCAACTACAAAAGGGACCAGTTCCTTGCGTAACCCCAGGCAAGGATTAAGGATTACCTTTCAACAGCCCAGGCCTTGCGCTTCTCGCAGTGGAAAATGCTCTGACCAAAGGTCTGGGAGATGCCCGCCATCAAGGAGAACCTGCTGCGCTGGGGACTTCGAGCAGATGGAGAGGGGTCATTATTTTGACTGTTTCTGGTTATCACAGTCAGAACATGGGGCTGTTTCCCTTTAACCCATCATTTAGGGGGTGACTTTGATGGCAAAATCATCGGGCCAGCTGGATCTTCCGCAGTCCGAGCTTACGATGTGGCTGGCTCCAGACTTCGACCGCGTCCGCAGGCCGTTTTTTCTGTTTCTCTCGGGGGGATCAGTTGATCTCCGGCTTCCCTCGGCTTCCCTTGGGAGGAAACACTGGTAGCTGGAGGGAGCCAAACAGGTTAAAGGTGTTAGAAGAGTGCCATCCAGGGAGAAAGCAAAAACGGCGCAATCCACAAGGCACGTGAGTTGGAGGACCCTCGGAGTAGAAATCACAACTACCCACTGGACTGTCCGGCAAAACGTGTTCCACAGACACAAGTAGGTCCCACCTCCGATTGACAGAATGGTCCTCCGAATTCACCCGAGCTTGACATGCAAACAAGTTCCAAGGAAGATAGCCAGGCAGCTTGGATAGGCACCCCCAGCTAACAAGGATCAATGGTTGATTGAAGAACCTTTGGGGGCCTGCGGCCATGTTCCCTGGGTAAGCGAAATGTGTCTCCTGGATTTGGACGGGCCTAAAGAAGCAGGAAACACGGGGCGAATCTTTGACTAGACCTTGGAGTAAATGATATGTTCGGATCCTGGTTCATACCCAGCCAACCCAAGCATATCATAAAATATATACATATATATATATATATGTGTATCCAATATGCTGGAAAAGACTTGGACAAAAAGCCGATGAGCGCAAGGTCGGCTTTAGCCACAAGTCAGACCAACCTGCGGGCCAGTTGTCCACCGAAAGCGGGCGTGACAAGGTCCAAGTTGCACTTGTGGCGGTGACTTAAACCCTCGGTTGCTTTCTGCTCCCCTGCTAAAAGCTTAACTTTTAGTGGTTTAATTCGGAAAACCCATGAGTTGGCAAAAACTTAAAGTCCTAACAGCCCTTGGCAAAATGCAACAAAGAACCCCTGACACCGTGGAAACCGTTCAATCCAAATGCACTCCAAGGAAATGAAGACGCCCCGGGACCACCTCCAGCGGCCAAATCTCTTGCTAGGTCCTCCCGATTTGAGAGGCTAGAATACGGGTACCCGATTTTTTTTCTGGACGTCTATTTTAATAGGGGAACCCTCCCAACCAAAAAAGGGGTGAGAAAGGGCACCACTGGGGGACCTAGTATATGGAAAAGACACTGGGGCACTCTCACTTCCTGAGTGGATTGGCCAAGACACGAATCCGAACTTCTCATTTACAACTAAAATGGTCGAACGCCAAGTTGCATAAACTGGGCTGTTCAACATGGAACGCTGGGGAATCCTAATCCATAAAAATCCACAAGCCCTGATGGAAAACCACTGCAAAGGCTTTGCCCCCTTCGCAACCAAAGATAAGGATTGAGGATTGCCTTTGTGCAGCCCAGATAACCTCCATGTGCTTAAGTCCCCTGGAAAAAAATAACAGTATTTCCAGTAGTGCTAGACTCCCTTTAAAACCGCCAGGGGAAACTGACAAGCTTTCTTAACCAAATTAATGGAAGATAAAGTCCAGGAACTCAGGGAGTGAGTACGGCCCAAAGACCTGCGAGCCGAGGCACTGGCTTTCTTTCAAGCGAAGCCCTGCAGCTATGGACTCGGTGATCCAATTCGGGTGGACGATGTACCTTACCCGAAAAAGGCTCCTCGAAAGTCTCGGAGCTCCCCCCCCCCTTCTGTCAGGGGCTTCTCAATCACCCCTTTCTGCTCGGTTTAGCCCAAAGCATAAACTCACTTGCTGAGTGGATGGCCCAAATAAAGTTCAAACTTTATATTTACCACTAAACTGGTCTTCCCAAAAAGTTTAAAGTTCATGAACTCAGGAAGTGAGTAAAATAACATCCAACCCGAACTCAAACACCATCTGGAGTTCAAAGCTGATCACCTGGAGATGCTCCCCAGTAAATCTTTAAAAGGTAGGCCTGGAGCCTGATATGCCCAAAGAACATGGGGACTCAAGGTGTGACCTTTGGGACCCTGAAGTATGGAACACACCCAAACACCAAAGTCATGGAAGTGACTCTTTCTATGGCAGTCTCCCCAAATCCTTCCTGTCCACTTCCGTTGGGAGGCAAGTTCAACATGTTGGAGGACAGTGACAGGAGGCTTAAGGAATGAGGATGGGTTTGGCTCCGGCATAACAACTAGGTCCTCCAGATTTGAGAGGTTAGAATAAGTGTATCAACTTTTTCTGTAATCTAGTTTAGTAATTAGGGGAACTCTCCCAACAAAAAAAGGGGTGAGAAAGGGCACCTAGCTGGGGGACCCAGATCAAAAAAACGGCCGGCTTTGGACCAGGGCGCTGCACGCAGGCGAAGGCCGAGGTCGCGTCATGCAGGGCATGCCGTTCTTTGGCCCCGCTGAGCTGCGTGCACACCACGTGCCTAGTGGATGGAACTCCCGCAGCCAGTTGGAGGCATTTGCTTTTGCGCCCCCGGGAAAAAATGAAAGAATACTGTTCTAGCTGTACCCTCCCCATTCTCTTCAGGGATCCTTCTCTTCAAGAAATTGCCAAAATCCTGGAACATAGGTGGTTGGCTTCTAAAGAGAACGCCTGGTGAAGAAAACGGGGAAGAATCAAACCTTAGAACAAACTTTTACTGTGGATTCTGTGCATCCATCCACCCGGTGTGTCTTTTACTTTGAGGGGAATTCAAGGGGACCGCCACCATGGTTTGGGGGTCCCCAAATTGACACACACCACACACACCCATATCCCTACCGTGGATGGACCAAATCCGTGGACCGCCACTTTGAAACCATGGGAAGCCAGTGCTTCTTGGTATTTACCGGGGAATCCTTCCAGGATTTCTCGGGTGGTGCATGATTTCGCCCATCCGCATGTCCAAGTGGTAGATTCCCTGTAAAACCAACAAGGGAACAGAACACGTATTCTTAAGGACATGGAAGGTTGGTGGAATTTATACCAGTGGTCTAGCCGTGCCGCACCCTCTCCATTCTGTTCAGGGATCCTTCTGTGCGAAAGATGGTTCAACACCCACGGGCAATGCGTGAAAAGAAGGATATTGTGTGACAAAAGTGGGGAGTCAACCAAAAGTTGGTTGGTAAGCTTCTTGTCCCGTGGAACCAGTGCATGTCTTAAAGTCCAGGCTTTCTGTGATACCATGAAGGTCGAATTCCCATCCCCATGACTACAATTCTCACTCTAAGTGGCCAAGCGATGGAAAACAGCAACCAAATTAAACTATGAAATATGATGAAATCAGTTCGATTCCCCTCCGTCACTCTTAAGGATTCCCTAATATCACGGAAAGTGGTGACCTAGAACCCAGCTCCTCGCCAGCAAAACACCTTTCCGGAACCTTCTCAGCGCAAGAGCAAGACAATCTATTTAGCTCTTTTGGAGGTTTGAACATATCACTTAAAGGGATTTGGGACCCGATCCAACAGCAAGACCAACTTTCTCTGTGCATAAACTCTTGAGAATCTGTCTGATCTTCCAGGGCTTTCCCGACAAATCCATCGCCGCACCCCTCTTTCCTCAGCGAAGGTTTGTTTTGTCGGTCATGGTCAAGGGTCCCTCTGGAACTCTTATGCGCGGCTAGATTCCAAAGTGTCCATAACCGTAGCCCAAGTAAGAGTGTCAAGCAAACCCTGGACAAAAGGCTAACCCCTTCGGGACAAGGCGCCAATTGAACATGGCAACGACCAAAAAAAAAGGCAAGCAAAAAGGAAACACCACGTAAACACAATGGTTCCTCTGCTGGGGGGCTACCCCTACTGAACCCTGAATTAACGCCTTGCAACTCAGGGTGGATGTCTATGAGCCAAGTGAAACTTGGTGGCTATTGCTCCTGCAAAAGGCTAAATCCCCTATCAAGTCAAAGGTTCCTTGGATTCGCGAAGTGACACTTTGAAACATCTGGGTGTGCCTTTTTTCAGGGGACCCCGCCCCCAAAATTGGTGTTCCTTCTTAAACAACCACAAAACAAGGGGTACCCGGAGTCTCCATGACCCTTCAAATTGGCGTAACTCCCCACAATGGGGGGTGATGATTCCGTTTTTTGAAGGTCATGGAGACTCCAGATAATTTGGCCATGGGTCAAAATCCAATTCGTAGCCCCAGTGAACATCCCAATCCCCACGAAAATAGGTTCTAAAATGGGTTTTGAGCACCTACCCCAAAATGGGATCCCAAAACGGTTTTGACCCACAGCCATGTCAAAAAAACACAAACCACTCCAACTATTTAATCAAAGAACAAAAACCAAAAAACAGACAAACCCATCTGGGCTCGTCTTCTTAGACCAGCTGCGTCACCCGGCGCTTGGCCAGCATTGGCGACACCTGTGCGCCGTGGAGGCGCGCCACCTTGCTCAAGGCGTAGGCGGAGAGACCGCCTTGGGCGCGGCGCGGTTCGAACCCGGAACCCGACGAAACAGGCCCGCAGTGCTTTGGATAGTCATGGAACCTCCGGGAGGGAGGGAGGGGAGGGAGCGGAGGGGGAGGGAGCCCCAAACAAGCCTTGTGAAGGCCGTTTTTGGGGTTTATTTGGGCTCCCTCCCCCTCCCCTCCCTCCCCCCCAGCACCCATAAGATATTGACTTGGTTGCTGTTGACCCCTCTGCAAAAAGTGTTCTCTCTTAAAAAACAACTTTTTGTGGGTTTAGTGGAAAACCCAACTTAGTTTCAACCAAAAAGTTAAAGTCTAAAGATCCAACCTATTCAAAAGCAGTCATGAAGAAAGGGACACCAATTGGAGAAAAACACATTTTTTGGTGGTCCCATTTAAAAAAAAAAAATGGCCCTCCAGTGGAGAGGTCAGAACAAGGGCACCCGATGTTTTTTTTCTGCAGTCTACTTTAGTAGGGGAACCCTCCCCCCAAAGAAGGTGGTAAACGGGCACTACTAAAACACACCTAAGACCTAGTTTAAAGATGGAAAAGGGGCTCTGGCAAACATGAGCAAACTGTCCATTTTTTGGGTGGGTTGAACATGGGCGAGTTCTCACCCAATGTTGTGAGCGACTTCCTGGGGTCCAACATTCCTATCACATTGAGCACCTAACGGAGATCCCTCTGCCAATGGATTTTCGCAACCCTCCGTACCGTTTGAGCATACCCAAGAACATCATGGACGGGTATGCTCACAAGGGTTGTTGGAGGCTTCTGGAAGTGTTTTTTTTACGGGGGTCGAATCATTGCAAAGTGAATGCACCCCGAGAGGTTCCTCTGCAAATGAGGAGCTTTTGAGTTCCATGTATGTCTGCAGGGGTGCAACCATTGCAGTTGGCGACTCAAGTGATATCCCCATTTGGCTGGTTTCAACGGGAAACCACAAGCGCTCTCATTTGGAGGCTGCGTTGATTTTGGAAACGCCCCAAACCAAGAAAAACAAATCGAAGGCTCCCCGTGGTGTTTTCACCACAAGGGACGGCCATGGATCGCATATCGATCGGGCCTCCCACATCCACGCGCCCGTCGAAGTAGATGCAGCAGCTCCGAAAAATCGAAGCGGAAGCCGCGGCATCCGAATCGTGCGCGGAGAGGCGGCTGGCCTCAAGCCGAAGCGGAAGAACGAAGAGCCCTCCACAAATGATGTCCTTTTGTAGCACAAAGCCTTCCTTGTCAAAATAAACCCAAGCCGGCTGAGTCCTATAGCTGTCGATCGCAAGGTCGATCTGCACCAACCCAGGCTTGCTTGTGGGAACCTTTCGTTGCTGCCAACCCATTGGGCATGCCTCTGTTGGGAGCCTCCCCTATTCAGGTGCATTTTCAGGTATAGGTTTTGCAGGTATGGAGGCTCTGTACGTACATCGGGAGTTTGTACTGCCTTACAAGCTTATAGCGTCCCACACATAGTTGCGCTGGAAAGAGTGAATGATCGTCTCGGAACAAAAGCGCCGAGCAGGGTGGTCCTTTTAAAAGATCTTTCAACAACTAGACCAGCCTTAGACACCCAACAGGTCACTGCACACTTGGCAATGGAGGCAAAAGGCAAACTTGGAATTTCCGAAGGCGGGTCTTGCACTCCAACTCCAAATCTAGAGCTCGCCACCCCCCCCCCCCCACGGCCATTGACCCAACTGTGTCGCGTCCTTTTCACAATACTTCAGTCGAACTAAAACATGGCTTGGTTGCGGTTGAACCCCCTTCAAGAAGCTTAACTTTTTTGCGGGGCCGATGAAAAAAACACTTTGTCGCCATGCCCCAACAAATTAAAGTCCAAAGATCCAACCAACTAGCCAGTACGCCGGGCCTGTGCTAAAGGGGTCCAAGAAGGGTCCGTGCAATTCCATGTTTGTGGGGCAGCCAAGGCCCTACCGACGTATCTTACTTTGGTACCTCACCCCCAGCGTTTCCGTTTCGAGTGAGGCACCCTCTCTCCCACGAACATAGCAACTGTGGGAAAATGTACCTGGAAAATCCATCTCCTCCTGGAGGGACTTCTTGTCAGGTGCCATGTGTAAGGGAGGGTATCCAAAAACAAAATCGATCCACCGAGAGGCGAGGGCGCCGAAGAGTGCGCCGTCCACGGCTTGGGACTCCAACTTCCGCTGGCGCTCCTCCCAGTAGCCTCGGGAACCGGCTGAAATTGAGGCAGTTCCGTGTCCGGGGTTGGCTTATCCCAATGCGCTATCTGGTTTAGAGTGTACAGGAAATCTTCGTATTTACACTGGACTGACTGTGTCCTTGACCTCGATAGCACCTGTAGTTGGCTTCAAGGGAACCACTAGGAAAGTCTAAAAGCTCCTCTTTGGGGTCGCAAATGCCCAGTGGCCATAGGAAAAACAGGCATCCTTTTTGGTTGGTTGTGTTTAAAGGGGAAGACAAAGGGCAGCACTGAGCAACAAAGGCAAGGCAAACCCTTGCAATTTTGGGCGGATCCCGTATTTTGACACCTCCGCTGCAATCTCAAACTGATTGAAGAACGCACGGTTGTTTGGCCCTCTTGCTGGGTCCATCTGAGAACCCCTCAACCTGTTCAATAGAAAAAGCCCGGCCGTATGGTTGTTCCGGATTTCCCATACTAAGGTAGGTTCACAAAAGCGGTGGAATATCCCCGGAAAACCTGTCAGCATCGAGGTTCCGCGCTCGAAAGAAGAGTCAGCTTCCCTCTAATTGGTGTTTGGGATTGGTGGGCTTGGAGGAGTTGTTCCGGTGGCGGTGGGTTTCCATTTGACTCTAAAAGAACCAGGGGTGCAAATCCAAATCCACCAATCCGAACAACCAATTGAGGGTAACCTGAAGGAGAGTCTCGGGGCTCCGCATTGTGAGGCTTCGTAGCCAACAACCCGGGAGAACGTCGCTGAGAAATTTGTCATATGCACAAAGCACCGGCTGAGCGATTCTGATCCGAAAACCGGCGATGAGGAGAAGGGTCTGTGTGGCAGTTGGTCCCACAAAGGGGTAACATCTTTGATGGATCTGCCTATGTTGACTTTTGTTGGTGGATGTGGAAAGTCAAGATGCAACCAAATCGCGGTGGCTCAAAAATACTTGCCGGTCCTCAGCCGGGAATGAGGGAATGAACCCCTATAAACCATCCCCTATGGTTTCCTTTAAGGGAATCTCCTTCCGGTTCATTCCCAACACCCTGGCAGGGTCATTCCCTACAAATAAGGCCCCCAAAGCTGCGGTCCTTCATATCCAACTCGGGCCCGCACCCGGCCAAGTGGTTTTCTCCCCGTGGTCGGAGATGGTCACTCCATGCATGGGCCCTGGGCTGACAAAACGAGTGGCCGGGTGCAAGCCTTTGCTGGGTGGGCTTGAAAAAACATGGGGCCGAGGACTCACTTCCTGAGTGGGATTGGCCAAGCAAAGTCCGAACCTTTTGCTTGAACCCGTTTAGTAGAACCCGTTTAATGGATCCCCTTTGTTGTTGTTTTTTTTCAACAAGGGACCCGCAGGTTGCGCTTCATGGAAGATATCGCACATAAGGGATGGCAAAGGCCGCGAAGGTTGGGTTGCGACCATCCGCAATACCTTAACCACGGAGCGTTCTATTAAATCTCAGATGATCGTGGTCATGATCCAAGCTGGACCAGTTTGTTGTGACCAAACTACCCCACTGACTCAACACTTAATCTTGCAGCAAATGGCATCCTGAACATGGAGGGTCAAACAGGCTACAGGACAAACCAACAGAATATAAAACCACATAATGCTGACGGGCAAGCGACTACGCTTGAAATCAGGCGCATCAAGAAGGAAGTGCCGACCAAACAAACAAGCCATGCCAGTAAAACAATACTTGCAGGGTGATCAACCAATTATGTTCACGCATGTGACCATCGTTGGCAAACCTTGTCTCATGCGACGGTGCAACAATCGCGTCGTGCCAGCTTGCTTTTCTGGGGCAAAGGAGATCTAAAAAACGAGCATGCACCTTGATGTTCTTCGCGCGTCGAGCTCGATTTGAATGGAACCAACACAAGTCCAACAATACCTTCAAGCGAATGCCTACAAGTACGCCGCAGTAGTATCCCTGCACAGCCAGCTGTGCAGCAAAAAACCAAAGCTATCATTGGTCATGGCTTATGTAGCATGTTTTGCCGAAATGCTTGCGCGAAATGCTTGCCGAGGTGTTGTCGCTTACGCGGGGGGGGGGGGGGGGCGGAGTTGCATGAAATGACCTTTGCAAGGCCTGGTTTTGCAGGGCTGCTCCACAAGGCCATGGGTCCAAAGCACGTACCCCCAGTGAACATCCCAAGCCAACCACTAAACTAGGTTCTAAAATGGGTGGCGCACCTACTCCAAAATGGGATCCCATTGGTTTGACCCACGGCCACATGGGTAGCAGGTGGTTTCTTGCCGGACTTCCGGGCCATCCCTTGGCCCTCTTAAGAGCATGTTTTGCCTTTAACCCCTTCGACCTGGACAGCAATCGGCTTGTTTGCTCAGAATCGCAAGCAGCTGAACACACATGTCTATATATATATATATACATATACGTAAATGTATATGCTACATATATGATCACATATGTATACTGAAGGACTGCCCCGCATCGGCTCAGCTCATTCAGAACTTCTGAGGATATCCGCCGCAAAACCCGCTTCCTGGACAAGAACCCTTGCAAATAAACAATTTGAACCTTAACGCACAGCTTGCTTCATCATTCCTCATTTTTTCCTCTACTCCTGATTTGGTTTATTCTGAGGGGTATGGTCATTTCTGGGTGGCAACACCTACTTAACCTCCACGTAACCTCCAGTGAAGCCCTGCGATCATCTACCCCCACCCCACCCAAACAATCCAGGCAGCAAGGTGCTAAAGAGGGGTCGGGAAAAAATCAACAGTCATCCATCCCCTGCTTGGTGTCCTGCAAAAGGAATCTCAATAACTCTTCTATTCAGCACCCAGGTAGCTGTCGCCGAGAAGAAGCAAGCAAAGGATTGGCTGACAGGTCTGAGATGGGTTCCGCTACCCTCTGGTTTTTGCAGGGTCCGTCGGTCCGTCTGGCGGATCCTGGAAACCATCTGAGACCATAGAACCAGCTGAGAAACCATCTGAGACCATCGGGTACTGGAAACCACCAGCCGAGAAAAGAAACGCCTCAAGTTTCCCAGGCGCTCTCTCTGCGGCGCTTTGCGGGTGCTTCAGTCGCTTGGCCTGGCCCGTCTCACCCGGAAGGATTGTCTCAAGTCCATCCCTCCAACTGTGGATGGACAAAATGCATCTCGCGCCACTTTGGAACCCTGGTTGCGTTGGTATTTACCAGGCAAATCATCATCTCAGGTATTCTTCGGTGGTGCAGGCTTTCGTCCATCCACAGTATCTCCCCGTGTAAGGGTGTACTTTGGGTTGGTTGGCTGGAAAACCATACGGTCGCCCTGTGTTGACATGGGCGTCTTTTTTTACCTTGAGGGGAAATCAAAGGGAACGCCACCGTGTTTGGGGGTCCCCAAATTTGAGACACACATCCATTTTTTGCTGTGGATGGACAAAATCCTGTCTGCAAGACTGATCGTCGGTTTCAGTCTGGAAGACTGATCGGGGCCAATCAAAACCCGCCAGTAATAGTGGCGGTTGCTCATGTGAAGATTTATAGTAACATCATCATTGAGAACCAGGTTGCAATCGATTCCTTCCTCACATTTGGCTGCTCATGTAATGACTAATGTTTGCATTTGGAGAGCTCCCAGAGGGCACTTGGCTACTGTGACAAGAAAGAATGCCACTTGTGTAGCAAAAATAGAAAGGGGCCTTGGCACCGTGCAAAGCTCCACCAACTGACAACCAACTGGGCATCCTTCCCGCCATGCGTTTGGCTCATATCTCAGACGTAGCAGCAGATGCGTTCGGCTCCCCTTGAAAGAAAACCACAGGAAGCAAAGAACGGGATCGGCAAAAACCTCTGAGTGTCAGCAAGGTTGAATTTTGCACAACTGACTTGCTGACGGGTCAAAAGACAACACACACACACACACACTTGTGGGCCGTTACAGAATGAAGACACCTAGCAAAAAGCTTGAAGTTAGCCAACTCAGCAGGTAAAATATTGGTGCGACCAAACCTGAATAAACTGAGTCAGAGTGAGTGAAGTCTTCAGCTGATGACCAAGGCCATTCCAAGGGAAGGTGCCAAGATCAGGCAGTAAATCCACCTTCTTCCGACAATCCCGGAATAACTTGAAACACGGGCTTGGCAAATCGTAGTTCCGCCGTGGTTCATTCGAAATATCCAAGTTGCACGTGCAAACCCAGGCGATTCGCAAGTCAAACATCTGAACCATGTCTTTCACATCGGGCCGGGGCAAACATGCCTATGAAGCGGGAAAAAGGGGTGGGTGGTGTTAAAAAAAAGGGGCAAGGGGATTGTGGCTGGTGAAATTTGGAGGTAGTCCCAAGCCTCTTAGCTTGCAACACCAGCTTTGGGTACGCGCCCTGGGCAACCAAAACATCCACGCGCGGTACGTCTGTCCTGGCACACGCCATGACTCGAGCGACCTCAGCGTTGCCAAAGCGGTTTCCCAGTTTATAGCCTTGCCCAACTCACCTTGCCTAAAGGACCCAAACATACAAGGTTTCTCCCAAATATGTGTAGGCAAAATGAAGATAACGCTATAATAGGTAACCCGCCAGGTCCTTTGGCTTTTAAAGGCTGGTTCCCTTGCCTACCCATAGAGGTAAATGGATCCACTGGGAAAGGTGAACTGTTGGGGCCACTACGAATGGGAACCCAACAGGTCGAAAAGCTTTGGGCAACTGAGCCTGGAAGAGGTCACCGATCCCACCTTGGCGGGCATCTGAAGCCCATAAAACTCGACACAAACTGAAGAATTTGGCCATGGCTCAAAAGCCCGTACTCCCAGTAAACATCCCAACCCCCACTAAAATAGACTAAAATGGGTGGTGCAGCTACCCCGAAATGGTACCATTGGGTTTGACCCAAAGCCATTTATGAGCTGAAATGATATGAAGGACAGGAAACTCCCGGTTTAGCAAACATGGAAACCAAAACGAGGGTGTCCCCCAAAGCAGGTTCCTGAAAAAAACAAAAAAATAAAACGAGCCCCCGAGCCCATTCGCGGCCATGCCGCGAACATGCCACAGCTGAGCCAACGGCGGGCACATATCGTTGAACACGCGCACCATGATGGTTGTGGGAAATGCCCCCCTACAAACTAATTTACACCCCGAAAACGGGGTCCTCCAAAAGCAGATTCCTGTGGAAATGATGGAATTGTGGGTACCAGCTTGATCTGCAGGGAAAAAAAACACGAAATTGGAACATTGGGCCTGGTTCTGGCCAGGAATTTTGGGCAGCTCCCTCGAATTTCCCATTGCACCCAAATCCAACTCACTGTGCATGGGTGGCAACGCGATTCCCTTCGCGTCAAGTATTTGATTTGTGCGTGCGCAACCGTGTATTGTTACAATATTCCACTTGATGGAAGTAGACAAAAAGCGGACTTGCTCTGCCATATTGTCAGCACGTGGTTGTGTGTGTGTGTGTGTGTGTGCGCGTGGCTCATCATGTAGTTGACAACGTCCCCAAAGTTTTTGTCTGATTGAGTATAACCCCAGGGTGCATCAACACGGTAAGGAAAAGCCATTCCAAATCCCGTCTCATGCCGAAAAATCCTGGAAGAGCGCTCGCAGGCACAGGTGGAAAGCTGTGGCTTGGGCTCGAAGGGTTTTCTGGGGCTGCCTGTTCACAACTGTCAACAACAATCTTAAAACAGTTCATACTTTTAAATATATAGTGACGGACATACAAAAAGAAATGGTTTTGGATTTTTCTTTTGTCAGCAGGTACTGTTTTCGCTTCTAAATGATGTCCCCAGCAGGTACTGTTCGTTTCAACGTGTTGTTCCTGACTGACTGCTACGGCCCAATACAACACTTCGACATGCTTTTTCACCCTTAAACAACATGTGTCAACACTTAGAAACGCTTCTCAACACTTACGTGTTTAACACTAGCCCAACGGCTATTGACTCCAAGATGCGATATGTTCATATCTGCTGCAGCGGTCATATCTGCTGCAGCTGTGCCACTTACTTGACCCGAGGATGGAGGACATCATGCCTTGCTGACACACGTGTGGAAATACAATATTGGTAGTGTCTAAACGCAAACATACACACATGTGTACCCAGAGGGTGCAATTGTTAGAACTTGGGGGGCAATTCTACGGGTCCACTCCTCTGCTAGTTTCAAGCTCGGGCAACCCCAAGAAAGCACGCCACTCGCTTGACCAAGCACGTGCTGCAGCTGCGCAACTTACTTGACCGATGCCCCCGGGATGAAGGAGATCATGCCTTGCTGACACACGTGTGAAAATACAATAATTGGTCATGTCTACACGCAAACACAGCTGACAACCGTACCCAACTGGTAAAATCTGGGGGGCGTTTCTAACATTTCGCCCTCCAGCTGATTTCAAGCTCGGGCAACCCAAAAACGCGCGCCACTTACTTGACGCAGGCCATCAAGAGAATGTGCCACTTGCGTGACCGATGCCCGGTCTATCATATGTGATTGATTAATTGGGTAGTTTGTTGTTTGCTTCTTGCATGGTCGACTCTTCCCTCTCTCGGGGCAACGCTCATGACCAACACTTAGAAGCCGCAGGTGTCTTTCGGGCAACACTTCGAAAGGTCACTTAGAAATGTTCCTAAGTGTTTGTCGGCTGGTATTATGCATCAGAACCCCCAACAAAGGGGGACAAGTATCGGCGGAACCGGCCGACAAGCACTTAGACATGTTTTCCACCAGCGTATCGATCTTGTTTTGGAATAGGGCATTCAGAAGGAAAAACGCCCGAGCGAGAATTAGAGGAAACAGCTTCAACGCGGTAAACTGTTTTGGGTAACACTTAGGGCCGTTTCTTTCTAAGTGTAGTTGGTCGGCTGATAATATGAATCATAATCACCATAAAGCGTTTCTAAGTGTTCGTCGGCCCAACTGTTTGTAAGTGTCTTCTTCTGTTTTGATTGTAAGTGTTTGTCGGAAATTTTGGAAAGCAAAATCGTTTCTAAGTGTATGTCCGTCACTAGAATCCAAATCCTACCGGAAAACAAAAACAGCTCAAACAAATGCCAAAACAAAAAAACAAACCACAAATGCCCAAAAGTGCCAAACAATCAAAACACACATTCCCACAACAATAAATACATTCAACAGGAATCCAAAACAAACATGTCTTTGAAAGGCTAGAAATTGTGCGGGGCGCACTGCTGTTGTATTAGCTACGCTGGTTGTTTGGCTGGCTTCCTGGCTAGCTGGCTGGTTGGTTTGTCGGTACAATTCTTCCTCGATGGCTAGAGAACTCTAAGCCATTTACTCCTGACAGTTGACACCTCAGCACTATCGGCGGACATCAAACGCATATCAAAGTGCATGCCTCTTGCAAGCCCCATGAGCGCCACTCCCAGTGTCGGGGCCAAGACAAATCCTTGCTCACGAGCTCAGCAGACAATCGTTGGATGTTGGCCCAGAAGCCGTTGAGAATCTTCCTTGTTTGCTTCCTTTCATCAAGGGGGCGGGGGGTGACTGGGGTGGGGGGAACCGTCTTTTGGGTTCCTTTTGTTCATGTGCTGGAGGACTACATGGGCTTTTCTTTCGCATCTCCGAGCAAACTCTGCAAAGGTCTTTGACCACAGGTCAGCTGCTCTAAGATTAGCAGGCTTCGGGCCTTTGGGCATGGGCCGCGACATAGCATCGAGACCCGTGACACCCGAAAGCACCAGCCCCCCAAAAAGGGACAGGAGGAAGGGTCAATATGTCATGTGTCATAGCCAAGGTCTAGCTCATTTTTGGGATGCCTGATTCCGGTCCATATTTAGTGAACCTGAAAATCATTGGAGCGCCATGAACATTGACCCTGACCTCGTCATAAAGCACATGATCGCACGTGCATCCGGGGCCGTGAGTCACTGCGCAGCAAGAGCACTCGAGCACTCTACCTTTGCTAGCTTTGCTACGCGGTCCCGCCTCAACCACATTCATAAGGTATAAATCTAGGGGTACCTTCCCCGTTCTTTCCAGGGATCCTTCCAGAAAACCTCCGGTATCTCAGGGAAAACGGCTGGTTTTTGAAAAGCAACCAAAACCCAGTCTCGCGGTGGCCCAAAAGATAGAAAAGGAGGCCTGGATCATTCTTGGGGTTGGCCCCAGCAGAAACGGCCCCCAGTCAGATCAGCTTAAAGTTCTGTGATTTAGCTTGATACGGCTAACTGGTACTTAATCAACAAACCCACCAATCAGAACCACCAACTCCCCTAGGTCCTCCAGTAAAGAGGTTAGAATAAGGGTACCCTTTTTTTCTGCAGTCTATTTTAGTAGGGGAACCCTCCCCACAAAAAGAAACGGCTCCAAGGGCACTGGGGGACCTAGTCCCCTTCAAGGGACTGCAGAAGGAGCTTGCGCTACAAAGACGTGTCAAGCTGAACGAGTTCTGTGCTGAACGTTGCGATGCTTGCCCATGGCGCTCCTCTGCACGATCGCAGCCCCGCACGCACGGCGCGCAACGCAGCAACGCGCCAGGGGGAAGCCGATCATCGTTTGATGATGCTCCCGAGGCAAAGGCACATCCGACCATGAGAAGCTACTTGGTGCCCCCTTTTTTAGAACATGTTCAGTGCACACCGCCCCCTCCCCGCCCCCCCTCAACCCCCGGCCACAACAAGCCCCTGTCAGAGCCCGGAAAGCAAGTCGGGGCCAAGTTGAAAGGTTCGACTTGGAAAGACGAAAACGAAGGGAAATCCCGATCTGAAGAAGGTACACAAACCAACCAGGTATTACATTGGAGCTTCTTGGTTGGATCTATGGGAGTTGTCCCCTGGCCCTCTGAAGCATGATTGGGCTATAGACTTCCTACTTGCCAAAGGACCCAGAAATAGAGGTTAACCCTTTGGAACCTTGACCAAGACATGGGAACCCTACATGGGAAAACAAGATTCAAGGCTCAGTCGCATGGCGAAAATGGCAAGGTGTGAGTGGCAGCCTTTGCTTTGCTGACTTCCTGAGTGGATTGGCCAAATTAAGTCTGAACTTCTGTTTTGCTACACAAATGGTCTTCCCAAAAAGTTTGAAGTCCTGGAACTCAGGAAGTGAACTTATTTTCATTTGGATCCCCTCCAAAAAAGCAAAACACTGAATCGCCCCACTGGGTATCTGGGAGTTGCATCCAGTTATTCAGTCCTGAGACAAATCCTTGGTGAGTCACGGCCATGGCCGAAACTCTGAAAACCAGGGCCATGGCCATCAACAGAAAGGCCGACCAACTCCATGTAGGGTGTGTATATCAAGGCATGTGTATTGTCTGTAGAGTCTAACCAAATGGCAGGAATGCCCTAAGTAAGGAAATGGATTGGGAGCACAGACAAGAATTTCTAAGACCTCCATCACTCACCCATATGTTGCAACAGGGTACGACAAGTTCCTCTCTCTTCAAAAAAGAAGGGACCTCAACTCATGGTACCTGTTGGCTTCCCTTGGAATTCAAGTGGGGCCGAAGCCTTCGGCAACAGCTGAACTGACCCGTCGGGTCCTCGTCCTTTGGAGCCTCCCCTGGCGAATTTTCTTCTCGGAGAGCATCCAGTGGAAAGCTCCGGGCGGCCTCCATCCCGTCTGAATTTTGGTGTTGTTTTGCCCAAGGAGAACCTTGACGTGTCAAACAAAAATGAAAAGGAAGCCAGGCTTTGGGAAAACTTCCCAGCCCTTGGTATGGTTGCAGAAAACAGACTCAATTGTTGCAGCCCCAAGTACACATGAACAGATCCAAAACGCTTGCCCCAAAGAGGACAAAAAACAACTTCATCCAAGAGAAGAGAAGAAAAGTCGCTTTCCCATGACTTTTCCACTGGACTCCTTTAGAAATGTCGATAAGTCGCACTGAAAATCGGACCTCGGGCCAGCAAAGTACGCGAAGTAATGGGCGAATAACGCCGCAAGGCAAGCCCTTTGGTGGTACTGATGGACAAAATCCCTTTGACCGCACGAACTGAGACCTTCCCGGACAATCCGTCTAGGCCAAAAACTACCAACGTTTGACCCATTTGGAGGGTAAATGTAGGTACAACCTACCTTGGGTTGACGTTGGAAGGGGAGCAAAAATCTAAATTTTAGCTGTTAAGTGGGGACTTCCCACTAAACCAACAACGACCATGCTACGTGGATTTTCTTGGTCGAAACCATGCGAGCAGGTATTTGCAGGGGGACTCGAAACAGCACCCCAAAATCTCTCTTAGGTGCGAGATGGACTGCGGCCGTCAGTAAGATCAAAGAGACGAGACCGCCACGTGCCATGGGCCCAGGTCTCACGAAAGACAAGGTACATTGACATGGGGTTTATTGAAAGGTTCTTTACATGACCGTTGGGGGAACCACGAAAAAAATGATTGGGGGAAACGTTACATGGGGCCAGGAATATTGATCGACCCCCACTTGGCAGATTGCCAAAAGTATGCAAAAAAAGCCAAACAACGACGGCAAAGGGGAAGTGCGATGATATTAGGAACGCTTCCCTCTGTTGTTTGTCGTGGCCTACCCAATGATGGTAGCTACCAGGTTAGGGAATCCTGCTCACATGGTCATGAGCCACCGTCATGATGTGTCTTACTAGTTTGTTGATTCAAAACCAAGACATGACAAAGGGCAATGGCACGGTCGCAACGGGAGCCCACGCTTCTACAGAAACCCCGCCTCAAATCACAGCTGTGCTGCAAGGATCTGGAAATCAAGGGTGGACCTTTGGAGAGAAAAACATTGAAGCCCCACTCAGTTGTTCAGTGACCCTGGGAAAAAAGGGAACCCTTTTTGGGGAAGACCATTTTAGTGGGGCAGCCACCAAACAAAAAAAAAAAAAGGAAAAAGGGTGCCACTGAACAACTGAGCCCAGACGCGCTTGCGCACCCCAGCCGGGCCCGGGAAGCTGACGGAAGACGAATCTGGGATCGGATCCCTGTGGCCTTGTTTGGCAATCCACTTCAGTCACAGCCCATGGCTCGGAACAGCTCTGGGAAGTTTACAGCTCCCGATGTCCCTCCCAAATTCGCCAGCTTTTTGTGGGGGGTGGGGGTGGGGTGGGGTGGTGGGGTGGGGTGGGGTGAAGTGGGGTGGGGCGGGTGGGGTGGGGTGAGGTGGGGTCCTCCCGATTTGAGAGGTTAGAATAAGGGTAATTACCTGATTTTTGTCTGTAGTCTGTTTTAGTAGGGGAACCGTCCCCCAAAAAATGGTAAAAGGGCACGATCCTGGGGGACCTAGCCATACTGAATTGCCTTTCGCCCTCAGGCGCGCAGAAGAAAACGCCAAAGAATCTCATGAAGGGCCAAAAGGAATTCAGCTGCAGGTCTCGAACTCCCAGGCTGCTTGCCAGGACTTGGTGCGATAGGGAATGATTTTCCGAGCCCGGGTTTTGGCAATGCACCGGAAGGGGATTCTGTAATAAAGGTAACCATAGGGTAATGGTTTTCTTCCATTTGGTTAAGGCCCCGGGAAAAAAAATAGTGATGAATTCCTTTTGAAACAAAAAAGGGGAAATGAACAAAAACAATCTTAAGCAAATGGAGGCTTTTAGGGGTATTCCCTCATTTCCTGCGGAGAATTAGCTTCTTAGCAAGACAAAGATCAAGGAGGCGAAACTGGGACCGTGGAATATGGACTCTGACATGGACCGATTCGCCCACGAGACTTCCTCGTTTGCAGTGTCAGTCAGCAGGCACAATTCCCGATGTGCGCGTATTTAAGGGAACTGGCTCAACCAAAATCGAAATTGTGCCATCCATTTGCACCCCACTCTAACAGCCTGTCCAAAGCACAGGTTGAAGTTTGCAATTGGATTGCCCGCATGGCCCCCTATGCACTCAACGCAGAGGCCACTCGCATCATCTCGCTCGTGACGTGCAAGAAACGGCGTGGTCAAACATTGGTCTTTCCCAGCCCCCCCACTGGCCATAGGGAAAAAGGGCTCTGTTTTACTGATTGATTTCCCGGGGACCCCCCAAGAAAGAAAAGGAGAGGCAGAAGCAAAGACTTGGAACCACCTCGGTGGCACAAAAGGTCTGGAATTAAACGGGCTCAATGACCTCACGTCGGGGTCGTGGTTTGGCAGCCTCAAGTTGGAGACGACGAATCCTTTGAGAGAAATCCTTGTGAAACCTTTAAGCCTTTGCCGCCCTGCAAACAAATGCAAAGCGGCACGAGGGTTCCTCTGCAAATGGGAGTTCGTGGTGTTTCACCTGACTGCAAGAGGCTTCCAGCCCCGAAAGATGTTGAGCGTACCTTTTCTACCTCAGCATGTTAACGAATATTTCATTGATTTTGACACGTATATTGTGCATGTACACTGCTTGAAAGGAGCGATTCTAGGTTGCAGCTACATGGTTCCCCCCCGGCGCACGAATTCGCCGAGAGGTGGCAGCTGCCTCGTAATTATCGCGGTGGCCTCTGCTCGATCGTGCTAACTGAAGCCCACCTGTGGGCTTCATATGCGGATGGTAAGTGAGACGCGACTTTAGAGAGATCCGCCAGCCGAGGTGCGAAACGCAGCTACTTGGTTTGCGCCCAAAGCCGCTCTTTCCAATCTGATCCTATCAAGTTTGCTCAAACGAAAACCCGTGGCTTTGTTGCTTCAATCAGGTTCTATACATATATATATATATATATATGTATTTACAAATGACCCCCCGTGGAAACAGTTGGGGACCGAACACGTACTATGAAGCTGTTTATAAAGGCAGAAAACCTCAAAGCTTAGGGGTGTCTTCAAGGACTTCTGAGCAATACTAGAGCCAACCCAATCTTTAATACCACACTCCGACTCACTCAGACCCCTTTGGCTCCTGTGAACTTCAGCAATTTGGGACAAAATCCGTCGCCGCCCCCTTCTGGAGGCTGATATTTCATGGCAGACAAGAACCCTCCAGGCGATTCCATGGAAGCTCCAAGGACTTTGGAGGACTTGGTTCCATTTACAAAGGCCAATCAATGGGTGGAGCTTCCGGCTGCTAGTCTGAGGTGGACTGCGAAATGCCTGCCCCACATCCTCCGCCCATGGCAAAACTTGCTGGTGTTCAGCAGGGATGACCTTCCGTGTGTCAATGAACCGAAACTCCCTTAAGGAATCCAACAGATTCTTCTCGGGGTCATTCCCTTTCTCACTCCCTCCCCTAGCCAGAAATAATATTAGGTTGCTTTCTGCTCCCCGCTAAAAGCTTAACTTTTAGTGGTTGAATGGAAAACCGAACACCCATTAGTTGGCAACAAGTTAAAGTCCTGACATCCAAGCACCATGCACCTCTGGAAACTGGGTTGCAAGACATGACCTGGTTCCCACAACCCTATTAGGAAGTTGAACTAAAAACAAGCAACTGGCCCTTCCCTTTCCCACTCTCTTCTCTCTAGCCAAGAAAACCGCGCGTCGCCGGCTGGGCGGATTTGTTTTCGGGCCCGGTTCGATCGCGCTACTGGAGCAGCTCAGGGTCCGGCTGGTCGGGCTCTGAGAAGGCCCGGCTGGACTGCCGGATGGGGCTTTGGGCCGCCTGCCCGGTGCAAACCTCGCGCTTGGCCAGACGCCGCAAAAAATGATCTAAAAACAATGAATTGGGCTCAACACGTGTTGTTACCTAATAGATAGGATTTTGCCTACAAATAAGGAGTTAACTAATTTGTAGAAAGTAACCTGACCTGACCTTATGGGAAAAGCTGAAAAATGCCGCACGAGACTCACTGGAGTCGAGCCCCAAATTTGGGAAGGCTCTGAACCTCAACCAAAAGTGGTGTCTCAACTTTTGGGGTCCCCCAAAATGGTGGGTTTTTTTCTTTGGCGTCCCTTGAAGTCCCCCCCCCCCAAAAAAAAAAACAAAAGGACCAGCCACTCATAGCCACCCACTAACAATGAACATTCTGAAAAGAACTAAAAACCTAAACCCCTCATAAACAAAAATGAAAAGAAGCTGTGTCTGTGCTCAAGGCTTTTGGATGCCAAACACCATCCTTTCTTGGTCAGGAGTTGACACACCCTGAACAAAAAGAAGTTCTCAGAAAACAAATCCTTCGGGCACTTGGAATGAACCAGAGGGGATCCTCCCACCAGGAATGGTCATTCTTTGCTTGAGCTTCCCCGAGCAAGTTCGTGGCTTTTGGTGGTGTCCACCCCGAAACATGGTGCGGTCTCCTCAATGGTTGGCACAAAAAGTGACCAAACATAAACGATTCGCTTGCCACTAAAATTGTCTTCACAACCTCAGGAGCAAGAGTCCTGCAGATTCGCATGGAACCCACAAAGCTCTTGTCTAAGAGCAATCTGCTTGTTGACGGGTTCATTAATAAGATTGATTTGAAATTAAAGAACTATTGGATTAGGGGGGTAACGTGCTGCTGCGTTCGCCAAACAAGGTCCCTTTCATACGTTGTGTTTTTTTGTTTAAATTTTTTGTTCGGGAGGGGCTTCAACATGTGCACTAGCGGGGGGCTGGATGGGACCCTCTGGCCAACGGTGTGTCTCCTTTTTCCCTTTTCCAAAAGCATCACCCCATGGGCGTGTTTCAAAACAGGAGCCAGAACATGAAGGTGTTCCTTTGGGCGGTTGTTTGGACGTACCATCAAATGGAAACCAAAAGCAAACACCCATTGTTCGGGGGCCTCTGTTTTGAGAAACATCCAAATGGGCAGACGAGAGATCTCGAAAAGCTATTCAAGTGGAGTTCTGACAAGGTGCCCCACTGGATTTCCATGAAACAAAAGGGCGCCTCTTGTTTGCAGTTTCCCTCCAAATGGTGGTTTCGATTGGTGCTTTGGTGGTTCAGGAGGGAGTTCAAACCAAGGGTTCAAGTTCCCTAACCACCAATCCAAACCAACAACTAAGGCATCAGGTGACCCTTAGTTACTAAGGGTCACCTGATGGTTGGTTGTTGTATGTTGAAAAAACCACCTCGAGATGTTAAGTGCAAAGACAGGAATCCCCACCAAGCTTTTTTTTAAATTTGAGGTCCTAGTCACCGCAGGGACGGAGGAAATGGGAGAGAAGCAAAGTGGCTACTGCGGATGGACAAAATCCACCGAATTGAAACCATGGGAAACCATTCTTCGTTGGTATTTACCGTTGGGGAATCCTCAGAATCCAGGGTTCCTTACCCGTAGGGAGATACGGAATAAAACAGAGAGGGGGTGAAGGTCGTGTTCTCAAGGCCGAAAGCAGACAGGGCAGTTTGCACAAAGCCTCTGAAGTGAGCATACTTGCACCATCTTATGTAGATGCCAACTCTGGATTCAACCACTTGACGTCGTTTTTTTCTTTTCTAGGGAATCCACAGCTTCTACACCCCATAAGCAGTTGGAGCCATAGACCTGCTGAATGAAGGGAGATGACTGGCTTCCACTCAAACTGCACGGCCTGAGGCCAGGTGTGTTTCCTCCAAACTTGCGGAACTTATCTAAAAGAACTGCGCCCCGCACCATTTGGGAATATGGCCCCGGAGAATCACCACAAACAAACAAACAAACAAACAAACAAACAAACAAACAAACAAACACACAAACAAACAAACACACAAACAAACAAACAAACAAACAGCCCAACAAGCAAACAAGCAAGCAAACAAACAACCACACACACACACACAAACAAACAGTCACCACCGAGACAAAGTCACGCACACACAGTCAGACACACACACACACACACACACTCTCTCTCTCTCTCTCTTTTTTTTCTCTCTCTCTCTCTCACTCTCTCTCTCTCTCTCTCTCCCTCCTCCCTCCCTCCCTCCCTCCCTCCCTCCCTCCCTCCCTCCCTCCCTCCCTCCCTCCCTCCCTCCTCCCTCCCTCCCTCCCTCCCTCCCTCCCTCCCTCACACACACGCGCAAAGCCACACACACACACACACGCCCACAAAGTCACACACACACACAAAGTCACACGCGCACCAAGTCGAGCAATATTTACACAAATAACCAAATGGCGGTTTGCCGCTTCGGGCGTTTCTCCCCGTTTCGGCTGCTTGCGATTTCGGGGAGCATAGTGCTGGCGCTGGGTGAGGCTCTGGGCGAAGCGCAGCACGAAGAAATGGCCCGCCACAGCCCCGCACACCCTCGGGCGCGAGTGATAGCTGGCTTGGAGGTTGGGGGGGGGGGTGTTCAATTCTTCCTCTACAGAAACCAGTGTCTCAAATCCCAAAACCACCAATCGCACAAAACAATTTGGGGGTCAGCTGACAGAACATGTCCAACCGGGGTCCTTGTGGTGGCTGGGGCGTTCCCCCGTAGCCCACCACTGATCGCAGGTGAGTTTGATGGTGACGTAACGCCAGCAAAACCGAGCTTCTGGCAGCTTCTGGCGGTTTCCGGGTTTCATGTTCGACCGGACGGAGGTACGCCATTCGACGTCACAGGCGTGCAAATGAACCCGCCACACCTCATACAGCTTAGAACCGGCCGGTGGTTTCGCATATTTTCCTGTCAAGGGAACCCTCCGGCGGGTCCTCAATTTAACTACTGCAACAGAGACATGAGGAGCAAAATTGTCACAGAGCCCCGACAACCTACCACAAGAAACTGCTAGCGCACCATTGACCAATGCAATCTGCAAAAACATGCATGTAGGGCACCATCAAACCTCAAGACCCCCGTTTTATTGCTCACAGCTAGATGCCGAGAGCGTGCAAGCACGGAGCGCAACACAGAGAAGAGGCCCGTGCCTGTCTGCGCAGCAAACATCTCCAATCAGGGCAATGCCTATGTCAGGTAAGAACCGTGACCACTGCCCTGACCAAACGCTGCAATGACCACACATGGTTCACCAGCAAGCCGGGTTCTGCAACCTCAAAAACCCGGGGAGACCAAGAACGGCAACAGGCAAGCCCAGGAGCAACGAAGAACCTGAACTGGACCGCAAGTTTAGGCCTCAAACCCTGAAAGCATCAAAACAAGCAAGCGCCGCAATCCTGGCCCCGAATTGCGAGCCTTCGGATTGCTCTCCCATGTGCTTGCTGCAAGAATGCCACATCTACGAGTAGAAGTAAGCGTATTGTCCGTTGCTCAAACCCCCACCCAACTGCAGGCTTCTGAATGGGATCTGGCAAGCTCATGATTGTCTTGGGCCTCCCGGGGTTGCGCTTCCGTCCCTCTTCTGGGTAAAATCTGAATCTTGAATGAGACACCCCCCGACTTCATCAACCAGTCCAAAGGTCGTGGCAAAAAATGGGCGCGCCCGGTTTGGTAATTGAGTTCCAAAAAGGGAACAACTTCCATCGAAAAAGGAATCGCCACGCTGGCTTTGGGTTCCATTAAATGCTCCCAAAAAGTGGAGTCCAAAAAACTCAGAAAGTGCACTAGCCGAAGAATAAGAGATCCCTATGAAAGAAACCCTCGCCACGGTTGACGTCGCCAAAAAAAGCGGTGAGGCGGTTCTTATTTGCCCAAAACTGATCCTTTCAGCCACCCCAAGCATATGGGTATGAATTTAGGTGGGGATTCTGTCCACCAATCACTTTTGAGGTGGTTGCCTGTTAAAATTCATGGCCATATGCGCCAAAACAAATCAACCTTGGAGGTTTGGGGAGGTTGGGGACCCAAACGCCAGGAGTCATCATCACGGCCAGCGGGATCACGCCCAGGAAGCAGCCGGTGAGCGGCCACGCGGCGAAACCGCAGGAGATGCCCAGCACCATGAAGCAGGCGCCCGCGATGACCAGCAAGTACTTGCCCGAGGTATCCTTGAAGCACAGTTTTGTTTTTTCGTCATGGGGGCGGGGGGGAGGGAGCCCAATTAAGCCAGCAGTCGGGCCTTATTTGGGCTACCGCCCCCCCCTCTCCCAACCCCTCTCCCAAGCCCCAGCCCCCATGATTTAGGGTTGCAAAACCTATGGCCTTGGGACGAACTAAACCTGACACATGGTCCGTCAAGGCAGCAAGCTTCTTGCCCCCAAATCAGGCAAATTAAGCACTCGATCGTTATGACCGAAGGGATTTCCTGAATCAGCTGGTATAAAGGTTTTGTTGTTCGCTGGACCAACTCAGCGGCCCAGAAGGAGACGCAACCAAAAGACTCACCTTTGGGGCCAGGACTAAACATTTGCCCAACAGGGGAAAGCAAAAGATCAAAAGGCCGAATTTAATTCGGCAAGTGAGGCATATGATTTTCTTAGTTGAAACCTACCGCTTTGCCAACACGTCCCAGAAGCCATCAGCTTCTGGATGAGGTCTTCCACGATCACAAACTCCCTGATGAAGGTTTTGCGGTAGCACACCTCGACCTGCACCCGTTTAAAATCCAGGCTGCTCCAGCCACGGGAACACAAGAGGGGGTACTTTTTGTTAAAAGGGAAACCCCGTGAAAAAGGAACAAAGGGGCGCCAACAATGAAGGTCTGGACAAAAATGTGAAGTGTCCAAAGGCTAGCTAGGAAAATAACTGGATGTCAAAACTGCGGGCTGCAACACATACAACATATCTCCCCCGGCTACCTTTGGAACATCTGGCGCGTAAAACGAACAAAGCAATGGCCCACTCCGTTGGGATGCTCGGGTTTCCAACCTGGCACGGGTTCAATATGCATCGTGGGCCACTGGCCGGCTGAAACTCATGCAGGCTTGCAAGCACAGTGACTCTGGGGAAAGGAAACCGTGACCATCTTGGTCAAGTAATTGAGGTATCCTTTTGCGCAACGCAAGCAACCAGGGAATTACTCGGTTCAGCAAAGTGCTATTCCAAAAAAATCCCTCTGAATTTTGATTTGAAGGGACACTTCTAGGGGTACCTCCCCCATTTATTCCGGGGATCCTTCTTTTCAGGAAACCATCAAAAACCCAGGGAAACAGCTGGTGTTTGAAAAGAACGATGGTTGAACAGAATAGGGAATCAACCCCTAGAAAACTGCCCCAAAGCAGCTGGGAACTTGCAACTTATGCCCTGTCCAGCTCTCCACCCTTGGTTTTCAACCTGTCCCAAAACCGTCGATCACTTCCGAGTCGAGTGGGTTGGCCGCCCAAAGAAGGGGCCAAACTCCATATTGTTTCTGCTGAAATGGCCACCAAACCCCGCAAAATGCGCCTATGACTCTATGAGCTCAGGGAGCTTCAACAGAAACCCTTTAAAACGGTCAGTCAACCATCACCTTTTTACAAGCTGATTTAGAGAATCACCTCGTCGAGCCGGGGGTGAATCAGCCCGAAACTCGTCCCCCGATCGCCTTTTGGCCCACCTTCACCTTGCTCCAAAAGGAGGGCTGGCTCGCGCAGTGCGCGCGCACCGGGACGAGGTTCCCATCCTACGTATTCCACGGATCGGGTCGAGTGGTCGAGTGGATGTCGGGGGGGGTCGAAGTGGATGTTGGGGGGTCGAGTTTTTCTTCTTTTCAAGGCTAAGGGATGCTAAGGGTCTGGGGAGATCCGCTTTCTGTTTCGGCACGGGCTTTGGCTTCCCTTTGGCTTCCGGGAAAAGAACCAGACGCAGGGGAACCTCCAGAAAGACAATGGACTCTCATAAATCGATGGACCGGGTCAAATGAAGAACCCAAAACGGACTTCTTGAGGCTTGGCTCTTTTGGGGAACACTCAGGAAACTGGGTGGTTTGCGTAAACCGGAAAAGGGAGCTTGCAAGTCTAACACTTGGTGGCTTAACCATATAGTCAGTGGACTGACAATTCGGCACCAGTCGGAATTGATGAAACCCCATGAATACTGGTATAAACCAACCCACAAACTGCAGGATTTTGTGCATCCACCATATCACCCAGTTCTCGCACTTGCCACTCAAGTAGGTATCCAGGAAAAGCCATCATCATGTAACACAAGAACTACGCGTACAGTGAGTAACCGTCAGCCAGCATGCCCAACCAAGATGTCGAGACAAAACAAAAAGGAAAAGGGACCTCGAAAGGAAATCTACTGGGCCCATGTGCCAAATCTCGCACAACAAAAAAAGGCAAGCAGTGCAGATTTGGTGCATCACGTAATTAATCCCAGCCCCGGCAATGCGGGCTCCACTTCTCCTCGCTCTGGGCTTCGAAGTCGATGATCACTGAGAAGGAGCTGCCCCCTTTGGCAGCTAAGGCGGGCGGGTCCCGAACGGGGTGAAAAGCCCACAGAAATTCCCTTCCGAGTCGAGAGGATGGCCGTCCAAACTTGCTATTTGCCACTAAAATGGTCCAAACCCAAAAAGTGACTGAAGCTTCAGGAACTCAGGGAGTGAGGAAATGAAAGCCACAGTGGTTTTGGTGGTGAATCTAAAAAAGGAAACCTGGTGATATTTGTTGCAGGGCTCAGGGCTGGTGCGTGGAAACTTGTTAGCACACATTGCTGCAATCTCTTTCGTGCCCCGTGGAGAAAAAGGACCTTGTCTTCGATCTGAAAGGGGACCCAAGGAGGAAGGCTGAGTCAACTAAGCTAAAAGACACTTGCACTCGAAGAAGGGAACAAAAGTCGCCTTTTGGGGCCATGACCAAAAATGAAACATGGGAAAAAAAGCCGGTCAGACCAAAGGGTTGATTCGCTTTGGGCTTGCTTTGGTGAGACTTGGACTCCAATAAAAATCGGCAGGACCCCCTGTCGGAGCGGTATCTTCCACCATGATTTGTGTGGGTGTCGTTTTTAGGGGACCAGCCAAATTTGGCTGCTTTCCTTTTTGGCTCCCCTTTAAAACACCCAAAAGAATCAGGCCTTACGGGTCTGCCGATGCCTCACCATTTTGAAGTGACTAGCGACTGGAACCACACGCAGGACTACTGCGGGTTGTCCGAAGGGGTGGAAGATATGCACCATACCGTGGATGGCCAAATTTAGTTCGCACCAAAGAAACCCTGGTTTCTGATTCGAGCCCCCTGTAAATACCAGCCAACAATGGTTTCGTATGGTGTCACAGTGGTGCAAGATTTCATCCATCCACAGTATACATATATATATATATAAATGCAATGTATCAATAAATATATATATATAAGGGTCTGTGCCAAAAAAGGTGCTCGAACTAGGCAGTTTGGATGGGGGGTATGGTTCGCGGGTATGGTTCGCGGGTATGATTCGAGGTATGATCTGGGGGTATGGTTCGCAGGATCTGAAGCTTCTGTTGCAACATTAGCTGCGCTGACGATCTGGTGCTAGTGAATCACGTGCACAACCAAAAGGTATGGTTCGACGTATGGTTCGGAAACAAGGTTTTTCTGCCTTGTAGTAGTAGCAGTAGCAGTAGTTAGTAGTTAGTAGTTAGTAGTTAGTAGTTAGTAGTTAGTAGTTAGTAGTTAGTAGTAGTAGTAGTAGGAAGTAGTAGTAGTAGTAGTAGTAGTAGTAGTAGTAGTAGTAGCAGCAGTAGAGTAGTAGTAGTAGTAGTAGTAGTAGTAGTAGTAGTAGTAGTAGTAGTAGTAGTAGCAGCAGCAGTAGTAGTAGTAGCAGAAGTAGTAGTAGTAGTATTAGTGGTGGTGGTGGTGGTAGTAGTAGTAGTAGTAGTAGTGAAAGTAATGAAAATAGAAAGTAAGTACAACTAGTTGTCGCTGTAGTGGCAGTAGTGGCAGTAGTGGTAGTTGTTGCAGCAGCAGCAGTAGTAGTAATAGTAGTAGTAGTAGTTGTAGTAGTAGTGATAGTAGTAGTAGTACCTGGCGTTGTGGAGGGGGATGGTTCGGAGGTATGATTCGTGGTGTGGTTCGGGGGTATGGTTCGCACAGGTCGAACTTCCATCCTTTACTAAACCTTGCGCACATAAAGGCACAACTGTGTCGGCCATGTATTAGTGGTATATACTCCTCACACATAGCGGAGCACCTGCACATGCCCAAGGGTCCAGAGATCCTTTAAGTAAAGGCCCAAGGCCTGACCTCGGCGAGACTCATTTTCGCGCCCAAAAGTCATAACATGGGTGGCGTGTCTTTTTTCGGGGCCCGACATAAAAGATTGGTTTTCCTATGGGTTTCCTTGTGAGTTGGTTTTCCTTTGGGTGTCCTTGTAACTTGTAAACACCAACCAAAACAAGGTCCTTTAGCTACTGGGGGGCCTAGAAAAGGAGGTCGCCCATTTAAAAAGGCCCCACAAGTTGCCGGCGAAGCCAACATATCACCACCAAACTTGTGAAGGCCAAGCCTTTGGCCTTCCGCTCAGTTCCAAGTTCCGAGCGACTCTTCACAGAGTCGTGGTTCTTCTTCTCCTTGATAATGCCTTGGTCCGGACTCCGGGGGTTCCTTGGGCTCTGTGGCTAAAATGAGGCGACCTTCAAACTGGCGGCTTCTTCTTGGCTTCCGAATTTCATACCCTCAATAAAGCATGCCCCTCTTCGGGTTCTGACGCGAAACGTCCAAAGGGGCTTGCTTCTTGGTAGTTGCTGCAGAGGGGAACCCTCAAACACAAAGAAAGAGGGCACAAAGCAGAGACCAAGCCAGGTAGTGGTTGCTGCTTTGTGCTGGGAACCTGTCAATCTTTGAGAATTTCCCAACCATGTAAGCCTCATGTAGGGCTCATTCACCGTGCCACAACTCTGTACTCTGTACTACTGAGTTACTCCTTAGTTGATTCAGTGGCAGATTCCCTGTTGGTGACACCTTTGAAACGTCCAACAGCTTGAAACAAAAGTCCTCCCATATGTGCCATCGCCAACCGGGGCACATTACCCTCAAAATGCCTCCTCCTCCAAACTTGTTCAGTGTGCCCCTCCCCCCAACAAAAACTGAACTCTACCACTGCAAAGTTTGAGGCTCGCATAAACTCGATACGCTTCGTGGGCGGACACCTCCATTTGCTTAAGTCTCCAAAACCAACCGGGGAAAACAACAACTTAAAGGAAGGACAGTTGCACCGATGAGCACGTGGAGTCAAAGGCGGGGCGCCGCTAACACGAGCCACCCCCGGGCTCGTCTCGTCCAGGAACTCCTGAGCTCTCAAGGCGCGAGCTTCGCCAGTGTGGTCAAAGGTGCAGTTCTCGGGGTACCTTCTTTTAATGGGGATTGGGTCCTTGCCACCATTACTCCTGGAATTGTTTGTTTTACGGGAGTGCCGCAAACATGTTGACACCACATGCCAAGTTGCCCAAAGATCCAATTGTGCGACAGATCTGATGCGTGTGTGTGTGTGTGTGTGTCAAAACAGGGAACCCGAACCTCGATGTGCTTGATTTCCCTGGGAAAAACACCCAGCAATGGATTCACATCAAGCCAATGAAACCCCCAAGGTCGTGATGGGTTTAGGAAGCCCCCCAAAAATGGGTGGGCGTTTGCCTCTTGACTGCCCTTCGAGGCCACCAAAAAACCGTGGGGAAACCGAGCTACACATGTGGTGCCTTCCATCGGTGCGCCTTACCAACCGATGGATGCTTTAGACTTGTTGGGTGTTTTTTTTCGACCAACTCCCCCCCCCCAAACTACCTTTGCCCAGGTCCAATATCCCAACTGTCCAAAAGCAGTTGGCAGGCGGGCTGGATTTATTGAAAATCATGCTTGTTTCTGATGGCTTCCTTTCAACACCGCCAACCAAGTGGTACCCTCCAAAAGAAACGTACCCATTTATCAACCATTACTTCAGAATCTTCGGACTGAACATCCAATTCAGTGTGGAGGCAGGAGCAGTCATTGCTGAGTCACTCTCGTTGAGACCTTTGGCCCATGGCACCCATGTGTCATTTTCCACTTGGGGTTGGGTAAACACACACACACACAAAACCCTGGTAAAGTTGCCACAACTGTTGACACACAGGATTGATAAACCCGTCCCTTTATTAGGGGGTGTTCCCTCCAAAAGTGGTCCGAATCCCCATTCATCCGGGGTTCACATTACCCACCTGGTTGCCCACCCCTAGGCTTTTGATGGTTTCCTGAAAAGCAATTCGGATCCCTGCGTTCAGAATGGAAATGGAAGGTACCCCATTTCCGCATTCGCAAAACACAACAAAACTGTGTGTTTTTTTTGTGGGGGGGGCGTCAATTTTGATCCATACCCAGCCTGACGACTCCTCGCCTCTCTCGTCTTTTTTTCTTTCCGCTTCGATGCCAAGGCTCTGCTGCCCAGAGCTCTTGGCACCGGATGCTCAGGCAGCAGCAGGGCAGTCCGGCCGCGAACCTCGGCGCCCGACCGCTTGGGGCTTGGAGCGCGCCGAGGCTCGGGCGATTTACCGAAAAACACCACCTCCAGTTGGTTTTCCGGCCCCGGGGAAAAATATGAGAAACATATGTCCAACAGTGATGAAGTTAATTCCAACAAGGGAAAATAATAATAATAAATATTCTTAAGCAACTGGAGGACCAATTAACATGGAACCTGACAGGGGGGTCCTGGAAGACAGGTTTGCTTTGAAACGGACCCCCAATTCCATGTTGATTGGTGGGAGGGTATTTTTGGGTGGGTCTAAAGGGACACCCACAGTTGACACCCCACCCAAATGTAGGGGCCACCTCAGACAAAGATACGCAACGGTTGAAATCCCACCCAAAATGTGGGGGTCTTCCCAGAAAGACAGACCCTGTTGGGTTCTCAAAGAGGGCATCCATTTCTGGCGAGTTTCCTGGCTTACCACCTAATGGTCCGAATCCCACTTTGAGACAGCCCCATTTATGAAAATAACATCAGGTAAAAAGGGCACTAGCCCTAGATACCCCGGCAATAGCCATGGTGATCATCTATTACTAAGTTGGTTGAACGTCTGTTTGTGACCCCGGGAGTTTCTCATGGTGGAAAAAAACACTCTTGGTATGTAGAGGAAAGCGGGTGACTCGGATTCCTTCTGGTGGCTTCCATTGACACTGCCACTTGAAAGGAGGTCCCCCCAAAAAAAACACTTTGAGGGGTCTATAAACCAAATTAACAACATGGCTTCAACCAAAAACAATGCGGATGTCGTGATTCGCCGCAGACCAAGGTAAACTGGGTGCGTGGAAAATGCGTCCCATCCCAGAAAGTGTCCTTCTCGGATCAAAAAGTAAGGGCTGTGCCCCCATTTGGGCAACAATCAACTAGCAATCCTTCGAGGATACATCCAACGACCACCTGCTTTACAAGGGGATCCTCTGAATCAGCGGGCGAACATATCTTGCTTGGAAATTGGCCTGCTGTGGATGGACGAAATCCATTTCGCACCTCTTCAGAAACCTGGAATGTGGATTCCCCCGCAAATAGCAACAAAAAAAGCAATGGCGTCAACCATGGTTGCTTGGGTGGTGCAGGAATTTTGTTTCCACGGTACCCCAAACAAATCGTGAGCCATGGCCCTAAGAAGCGGCTTCTGAAGAACCGTCCGAGCGGCAGCCCACCGATGATGCCCATGAGAAGCGACACCAAGACGTTGGTGGCATCCGAACAGCCGGCGGTCACATCCAGCGACACGTCCTCCGAAACGAGAAACGGGACAAGGCGGACGTGAAAACGGGACGCACCAGTTGGGATGGACGAAATCCTATGAATACTACTGTGCATGGACGAAATCCTGCACCACCTTAAAACCATGGGAAGCCATTGTTTGTGGGTATTTACAGGGGAATCATCATTCTAGGGTTTCTTAGGTGGTGCAGGATTTCGTCCATCCACAGTAGGTAAGCCTCTCGGATTTTGACCATCCACTGTAGGATTCAGATCAGCTTTTCGCCCATCATTCCAGAATGTAGAGGGGAAAGATATATCCAGTTGTCAGCGACCCTACTAACACCTGTTTTGGGGTTGACCATTTCGAGAGGCGATCCGAGCAAACAAAGGGAAAACCAGAGGGTGCCGCTGAACCAGGTGGAACTGGATGTTGTTCAACGTTGCCCCAGTTTATCTAAGCTTCCACTTGGTTCAGGCCCCAGGAAAAAATAAACATATTTCCACTAGAGGGAAAATAAACAACAACATATTCTCAAGCAAATGGGGTGTTGTGGGGGGGGGGGTCTGACAAACTTTCGTTTGCCTTTTATGTCATCCTGTCTTTATGGATTCTTAGAAGCTTGTGTAGGGGATTGTTAGCTTCCTGGAGAGTTTCTCGGGGTTTCCTGGGTTCCCGAGGGGCAGCGGGGGGATTTCCCATGTGGTAAGGCGCACCTAAGGTGATTCAAGGGCCCCAACTCGATGACGTGGCAAGCAATTGGTTGTTCGCCTTCACACGAATTTGCATCATCTTAAATTTCTGATGGGTGCATTTCCTTGCGACACCAAAGTGTCAGGAAGCATGTTGAAGGGACGCCGATTTTCCGAGTCTTGGCAATAAAGTTGGCCCTTGAGATGCTTCCTGAAGTTGCGCCTCGGAGAAACCAGAAAGGGCCCTTGTTTCACAACCCGCTCAAAGATACTTCCAATGGGAAACTTATTTGGGGAAGACCATTTTCAGTGGGGCAGCCACCAAACAAAAGGACAAATAATTGGTGCCACTGAACAACTGAGATTTACAGCTTTTTTTAACACGCAGCCGACGTCCAAAGGTACAACTCTACTTTTGGACCCGCCCATTAGGTTTATCCCATGTCCCAAACAATGCTCCATTTCAGGGACAAAACCTTTGGCCATGATCCTTATTTCCAAAAGGCTCTGCATCTTAGACATCCAGCGGATTTCTATGGGGGAAAGCAAGTGCACGTTGGGTTGCTGGCCTCAGGACCCCAAAATCCACCATTTTGGAGCGGAATCTTTTCTAGCGTCCAATGTTCATTTCTAGGGGAGGTCAATCCTTTGGTTACTTCTCTTTTGGCACCACAAAGGGAAACTGGGACTTGGATACATAAAGCCGGCTTTACGCCCGAAATATCTTAAGCTTTTAGGGGCCATGGCTACCAAACCAACAAGGGGCCTCAAACTCACCTCCTGTGGCCAAAAGAAGATTTGCGTAAACACTCGAATGGTCCAACCCCTAAAAAGTCAAAGTCCATGAGCCCCAAAAGACACTGGAGGTCCCCCAGCGCAACAGGGCTAAGGGCGGCACCCCGAGGCAGGTGGTGTTCGGACAGGTCACCTCAAGCGAAGCGAGCCAAAACCGCCGGAGGGGCTGGCGCTTTTCTTCTGGGTCCAGTAGAGAGGTTAGAATCAGGGTACCTGGGGTACCCTTTTTTCTGTAGTCTATTCCCTCCAAACCAAAAAGGGGAAAAGGGCATTGCTGGGGGACCTACCCAACCAGCTCTTGAGTCCCCTGGCCGAAAGTTTCCGCCCAAGCGCAGGGGTGTTTGCATGGTCCAAGTCGAGGGGTGGGACTCCAAAGACCACGAAAGGTTCCCACGCCATGCAAACATCAGCCAGAGCTCGTCGGTCTCAGGCCTATGGCTATACTAAATCCTCCAGATTTGAGAGGTTAGATAAGGGTACCATTTTTTTTGTGTAGTCGAGTTTAGCCCCCCAAAAAGGGTAAAAGGGCACTACTGGGGGACCTAGTATAGTCTGGCGCTCGCCAATTTTCCAGCACAAGTTCCCCTTTCATAGTTTCGAGAAGTCGGAAGTCGGGAGCGCCCATTCGGGGTGACACGTGCTCCCTATTCGGAAACATGTGATGCGGAAAGTCCAAGCTGCAGGGAAGCAAAGCTGCAGGGGTGAGCCCTCCAGCATCTAAAGGGAAGTTACCTGCTGCAACAAGTGAACTGTTTTGCTGGGGCGTGGGTCAAACATCGAACAAATGTAACAAATGCCTATAATTCGTACTGCATTCCAAAGACAACATTCTGGGTAAGGTCGCGACCCCCCCTTTGTGAGGTCTCTATGTCTACCCTGCTTTCCAAATATCGGAGCAGAACAGCAAGGAGACACTCTCCAAAAAGCAACCCCTGCCAGGGACACATAGAAGCCTCTTCTTGAGCATTGAAAAAAAACACATATTTTTCTCCCATGCATCCTCCTTCGTTTGCCACAAGCCGCCCATGGCGTGTCCCTGACCACTCTTGGAAGCTCCCTTTAGGCTCCCTCTTCAGCGAACTTGGATCACCAGCTCCAAGGATCCCTTCAGTCTGGACAGCCCAAGACTTGGCGGTGGGTCAAAAATAGATACCCAAAATGGAACCCTGGTAAATGGAACCAAGGACTAAAAACCTGCGGTCCAATTCCTCGTGGGGTCCATTTTGACCCATACCCACTTCTGACCCAGGCGCACAGTAGGACTCGAAGTTGCCATGATGCTGGATGATGCAGCCAGGCTCTATTCCGCACTCCGCCTGGCCGCAGTCTGCACCTCAGTAGGACACCAAGCCCAAGGCTTCGGAAAGCAAACCGCGGAAGGCTCGCCTCTGGGGGCCAAGGACCTAAAGCAACTCACTTTGAAACTGGTGGAGGTGTAGCCGCTGCCTAAATTCAAGCAAACGGGAAATACAGGGAGCTAACATGAGCAAACTACGCACGAGACAATCTGCAAACTGGTTTGTAGACTCATTAGATTCCATCCAATTGCAAACTAAGAGTATAACTCCATGTGTTGCATGAAAAATATTGTAACCCTTTGGATCTGTAAGATAACGACCCACCCCCGGGCCCCAAACAATTGCCGTTCATTTCGGTCGGTGACCAGTCCCGCGCCCAAGCTTGCCCCATGGGCCAATCCTTGCCACCCGGCTGCGTGGACAAAAGCCAACACCATTTCTGGCTAGGGGCTTGGCGGGAGGGAGGGGAGCCCAAATAAGCCCTTGGCAACCTCCCCCTCCCCTCACTCCACTCCCCTCCCCCCCCCCCCCTCCCACTCAGACCCCACGAGCTGATGATTGAACACCTCCATTTTGCAATCCCTTTGCTCGTGGGTCAAGTCCCTTAAACCCGGTCGAATCTGCAAATCCATGGACCAAGGGTTGTCCACTTTCATGGGGCTCTTTTGCTTTCTGCTTTCCTCCATTTGCCTAAGGTCCGTGGAGAAAATAAGAACATATTGCCAGTAGTGAAATCGATTCCCTTTAAAAACCAGCAAGGGAACAAATAACAATGATACTACTAATACTATTAATAACAATAACACAAAATTATATTAATAACAATGAGCACAATCATTTCAGCCAAGGGATGTTTTTTGTTTTCTCCAACTTCCATCCTCGATGTTTGTTTCTTGTTTTTTCCTCGATTTTTCTGTGGGCTAATTGATCACTCCGAGGCACAGCTGTCGGGCGAGCAGAAGGCCGCCGCAGAGGGCCAGCAAATGGCGAGAAGGGGCGTCAGGGGCGTCCGGCCCACCTTGGAACGAGCCTTGAAGGGCGGAATGTAACCCAAATGCATGTCGGGTTTAGGGTTTGGGGTTTAGGGTTTGGGGTTTGGGATTTGGGGTTTAGGGTTTGGGGTTTGGGTTTAGGGTTTGGGGTTTGGGGTTTAAGGTTTAGGGCTTGGGGTTTAGGGTTTGGGGTTGGTTTAGGGTTTGGGGTGTAGGGTTTGGGTTTAGGGTTGAGGGCTTAGGGTTTAGGGCTTAGGCTTTAGGGGTCCCACAACAGGACAACCGAAGCCATTTTGGGGTCCCACAACTGGACGTTTTGAAGCTAACCTGGGTCCTCCAGTAGAGAGATGTTAGAATAAGGGTACCAGTTTTTTTCAGGATGTCTGTTTTAGTAGGGAAACCCTGCAACCAAAAAAGTTGGTACTGGGGGACCTAGGTAACCCAAATGCATGTTGTTTAAGATTTGGACCCCAAAAGTGGTGGCGTCTTTTTGGTTTCCCTTCAAATCCACAAAGGGGTACCCTCAAATACACACACCCAAATATGAACCAAGGGGCTTCAAAGCCAATCTTTGTCAACCCCGAATCTAGGATCTGAATTGCTTCATTCATCGCTTGACCCAGCAATTGTAGAGCTCAAAACAAGAAGGGTCAGTCTAATCTATGAGCCCCATGGGCCAAAATCTGAAGCCCTTGGAATCATGGCCATTCAACTAGCATCAGCTGGTAGTCTTGTTATCCAAATTGTAGGCGCTTAAGCATCCCAACTGGTACTGGATTTGGTCCATCGACAGTACGCGCCCATCCAATAATCTCCAGGTTTATAGCTACAGAAACTATCCACGAAACCATGGCTTTATGGGAAACCAGCTGCACCAACATTTTGGCCATTCATGGACGCACTTGCATGGGCTTCGGACTCCAAGGCGGTTGTATCACCACCGCGCTGGCAAATTGCTTGGCCCGTACATGTATTTCCAACAAATGGCCACACGGTGGTTTAATCTTGACCCCCATACCCATTTGTCTGGTAGCCGGGCAGTCGTGAACAACAAGCTCAAACAAATGTGCGGATCAGTGCACCAGCGAGATCGGATTGCAATTTTCATGCCCAGACTTGCGGGGTTTCCTTCTGACACCCATCCCCTCACTTGCAAAGCAATAGGCAGAGTTCTCAAAAACCGGGAGACAACAGCTTAAAATGTCCATCTACTTTGGACTGACTTGCTTGACACACTGAAAACCTGCTGGTGCTCAGTGGGAAATGCGGGAATGAACCCAGGATTCCCCTGAAAGGAAACCACAAGGAATGGCTTATAAGATAAAAATCATTCCCTCATTCCCCACATTTCCCCACTGACCTACTGAGCAAATGTCAGCCACCGGCGGACCGGGAGGAGAAATAGAAATGAGGTATCAGTATCATCTTCCCCGTCCCATCCAAGTCCCTCCCTTGCGAATGGATTGGGGGCTGCTCCATCCAGACCTTGAGGCCTTCATTTCCTGTCAAAGGCCCAACCGGACTTATTGCCCATGGCGAGCTCGTAAATTGCGCAGATCCCGTTTTGCTTGGGCTTTGTTTCAACCAGGCCCTGTTGGTTTAACGAATGGATGGCTTAAACCATGGTAATTTGATGTAGTTGGGGCAATTGCCAAGGCCGACGCCCAACGCCCCCCCCCCCCATTTCAAAGACTAAAATGGGTATGAGTCAAAATTAAGTCACCAGGGACCGCAGGTTTTAGTCCAGAGTTCCATTTTGGGTACCTATTTTAGCCAAATGGGTCAGAACTGGTTTAAACAAGGGGCTTGGCTGAACCCTACATCCCCGAGATATGGAACGGGTACACTGACTGAGGCCACTGCCAGCTTCATCGCTGCTGGGCCACACAGCTGCGGAGTTCGAGCATGTCTCATGAAGGATGTAGCAATAACCGCTCCACATAGGTGGCCTGTTGGAAAAATAGATGGGTTCCCCTGGTAAATGGAACAAAACCCAGTGGAATCCACCTATTTTTAGCAAAACTAACCTAAAAAGGACGCCTGTAGCGCTCCATATAAACCCAGTCAAGGCTAGGCCAGCAACACTCTTTGACTCGACCAAAACCAGGACTAGCCTCACTGAAACTTCACAAGTTGACACGGGGCTCCTGGATGGGTTTAACAACTTTGATGGGAGGGTACCGCACTCGCCCAAGGTTGGCTGCAAACCATCGGACCAACCGGAACTGCTAGCTTGAACAAACAAGTGTTGCTCAAAGGAGACTTTCGTTACCGCCTACCGAATGCTGAACGAGTGGCCCTCCTCTCAGAGGGTGGTAGAACCAGTATGTTTCAGCATTAGCACCCGGTCGTAAACACGAGAAGACATAGTCCCACACCTTTGGACACTTACAGCTCCAAACTCCGTGGCCAAGTTTCAACATGTGCTTCCAGCCGCTAATTACCACACAAAAAGGAAGGTTGAAGCGCCTGAGCGCTTGGCTTTGAACGAGCGACACACAAGCGCGAGCTGTCGCGCCCTTTCGCCAAGAAACAAGGCCTGCGCTTCTGCCCGCTCACAAGCTGCGACGCAGCTGGCCAAGCTTGCAGGCAGTGGGGCGCCGTGCCTGAGTCACTGAGGCGAAGGAGTCGACCTCTGGCTGGCTGAAAGCAGATGGCACAATTTTCCCACCCCGGTTTGATTTAGTCGCACCAGTGTCATCTGCTTTCACCCTGGTGTTGGGGGGGTGCTATCACCCAGTAAACCCGAAATAAGGCGATAGGGGGTCGCGGAGGAAGACGTCAATACCATAGGTGGCCTTTTGAAAAAATAGATAGGTTCCCCTGCTAAATGGAACAAAACCCATCTAAACCAGTGGCACCCATCTATCTTTTACCAAACTATCCTACAAAGGACGCCTATAACGCTCCATATACACCCAGTCAAGGCTAGACCAGCAAAACTCTTGGACTTCAATCACTAAACCAGTGGAACCCATCTATTCTTCACCAAATCACCGATCAACAGGACGCCCATGGTCAATACACCCCACCCACCCCCCGCCCCCCGCCCCCCGCCCCCGGTGCTCGGCCTCAACACCACCGCCGCCGCCCGGCGCCAGGCGTCCGCGTCCGCGTCTGCCGGCATCGCCGCGGCGCGGAGCAGTGCGTCGAGCTGCAGGGCGCTGAGCCGCCAGCCCCGCGCCACCCAACTGGGCGCAACGGGCTCGAGCCAACTGTCATGAGGGCGGGGAGGGAGGGGAGGGGGAGAGGGAGCCCAAAAAGCCCTTTTTTACCCCCAAAAAAGGCCTTCTCTGGGGCTTATTGGGGCTCCATCCCCTCCTCCTCCCTCCCCCCCAGCCCCCATGAAACTGTGCTGTCCGTTCCCTCGTGGCAAGGACCCAATTTGGATGACAATCCTTAGGTAAACAATGGTGGTCATTTGAACCCACATTGATTTAATGGGGGATTGAACCCCAGGGCGTTCTTTTAAAAACTGCTCAAAGCGACGAACTCTTCAGCGGTTTTTTTGGTGGAAGCTGCCGCGAAACCCACAAAAAACGCAAAACGCCTAAGGAACCGGAAAACTGGAAACCAAGATAGGCAAAGGCCCTTGGCCCTCTTCGAGATGGGCCAAACAACTTGGTTGCTGTAACGGCCCCTCTGCTAAAGTTTAGCTTGGTGTGGGTCCAATGGAAAATCCGCTGTTTCCCAAAGAGTTGAAGTTCAAAGATCCAACAAATTACCATAAAAGAGAAGTTGAGTGCCACCCAACATGGTTGTTTGCCACAAAAAGTGGCAACCCAAAAAGTACAAAGTCCAGGAACTCCGGAAGTGGGGCTTGATAAAGCATTCGGGTGTCCCAGTTTCGGCATCCTTCTTGGCAGTATGGCAACCTCCAAAAGGCTTGCGCGAGTGCTATCCCGGTTGTGGAAGAAAAAAAGATGACCCCTCCAACGCTGTCTTTCCCTTCCAATGTGGTTCTACAACTGGGGAACCCTATGGGTGGCTTCCCTTTGGTCTTTAGGTGCACAAGAGGGAACCGAGCCTCAAATCCCTGCTTCCAAACGGTCCCGAAATAGATTCTTGTCGATTCCCTCCAAAAGGGTTCTATGAAAAAGTAGCAAGCCAGGGTTTCTGCGCAACTTGGAGGGGGTTTTCTAGGTTTACGACTAAAAGTAGACCAAGATGGGAAAACCCAAAGGTTTTTTAGCTCGATTCGCTTTGGACAAGTAGTCCACCAAATTTGGAGGTGGCGCCCTATTGAAATTCAGAAGGACTTGCGCGCTCAACCCCCAATCAAAGAATGGCCTTGGGACACAATTTGGAGGACAAGCCTTAGGTAAACCATGGTGGTTGTATGAACTCCCATTATAATGGTTTTCTTCCATTTGGTTCCCGGCCTTGACCCAAGAACAAACCAAGAACATTTCCAGTGATGACTCCTTGTAAAACCAACAAGGGAACATAAAATAGCTATTCTTATGGTGGTCACCGAACCCCAGGCCACAGTGTCCTTTTCCCTCGCCTCGTGGCCAGACCCAGCGCCAGCTCCCAGTTGTCGCTGACCGCCGTCTGCGTCGCCGTCCAGGTGACGACGTCTTCTCCCTAACGGGCGGAGCGGGGACTTGGGGATCGGCAGAAGGCGCCAGCCTGGACTGAGGACCCCGGCAAAATATGTTTTTGTTGTTGCCTGGTTGGTGGAAAACAAAGGGACCCCCAAAAAGCGAAAACAAACACAACAAACAAAGGGGAGCTAATTCTGGGGAAGAAGGCGACTTGCTTCTGCCGACCCTGAAACTACTGTGGATGGTTGCGAAATCCTCTTAGGCACCGCCCAACAAACCCTGGAATGATCGATTCCCCTGCAGATACCAGCAAACAATGGCTTCAACAATGAATGGTTTCAGAAGGTGCAGGATTTCGTCCATCAACAGAAGGATTGATCATTGTTTTATTATTACTGTATCCTGAGGCCCTCAAAATGTTCTTTTTATATCTTTTTTTCCGAAAATTTGAGCACCAGATCGTTGTTTTTGGCACCAGAACGGCTTTTAGAACACCAAGGTGATTTCGCAACACACATTTTTAGTTTTACGTAAAATGTACGACATGCGAACGGTTCGCGAACGGTTCGCGAACGGTTTGCGAACGGGTTTTGAACGCTTTACGAACGCTATTTCCAACACCAAATCCTACGCACGGCCCATGTCATGACGCAAGAAGAACGTAAGCATGCAACGGATTATGCAAAAATAACGCAATCGATGGATTCCCAGCAAGCGACATCTGCAACACAAGGCTCGGTCTGCTCCGCAAGCCCGAACGGTTTGTGTAGCACCAGTGTTGAAATGTCAACACCAAGAAGGCAAAACAATCATTTTCCTGAAAATCGATCAAATTCAACAGTTTTTGGGGCAGCAGGATCTTAAGTCCTGCAAGGCTCTCAAGGCTTTCAACTTGAGGTACAACCCTTGGGCTTCTAAATAGTTCCTATTTTGTGGCAGGGGCAAACGATGTATCCAACCCTCAACCACCTCAACCCCACAGTGCCTAGCTCACCAGTTCGGGTTCTCATGGACCCCCAAAACCATCCGCTTGGAGCGACATCAGCAAATGGGTCTGTGTCAAAATTGCGTTGCGCCCCCCAAATTGACGGGTTTCCTTTTGTGATTGTTTTTTAGACCAACCCAAACAAGGGGCACCTGACAGAGCCAATTTCCCCCCCAACTGCAGCCTCTTGGAGCAACCTTCGCTAGCAGTCTACCAAAAAAAATGTACCCAAAGGTAAGGAGCCCGGCTCGCTAATGTACACCTAGAGGACCTAGAGGTTGGAGGCCGAAGCTCCGCTCTACTTGTCCAAAGCGAATCGACCGACCTTGACCTTTTTGGTTCTCTCATGTTGGTCCAATTTCCTTGGTTGCTGTTGACCCCTCTGCAAAAAGTCCGCCGACATTGCTCGGCGTATCGGATACCAAAGAGAGGACTATTGGATACCTAAGAGAGGATAGAGGATAACCCCCCCCTTAGCCCCCCCCCGGGACACGTCAAATACGCATGGTTTTTCAGTCGCCACCCCCCCCCCCCTCCCCCTCCTACCGCGCGGCAATTTGATGACGTTCCACTAAACGTAGTCTTCGGGGAGTCGCAAAACAGGGGTCCCAGGCTCGATTCCCCCTGCCGGCTTTTTTTTGCTGGCTTGGGCTTCCTACATCCTTTTGCCGAAAATCTGGAAAACTCCATGTTTTTGGACGTCTTTCATACATTCATCCATTGCATTCATTTCATACATTACATTCATTACATTCCTTACATACATTACATACATACATACATACATACATACATACATACATACATACATACATACATACATACATTACATACATACATACATACATACATACATACATACATACATACATACATACATACATACATACATACATACATACATACATACATACATACATACATACATACATACATACATACATACATACATACATACATACATACATACATACATACATACATACATACATACATACATACATACATACATACATACATACATACATACATACATACATTACATTACATTACATTACATTACATTACATTACATACATACATACATACATACATACATACATACATACATACATACATACATACATACATACATACATACATACATACATACATACATACATACATACATACATACAGACAGACAGACAGACAGACAGACAGACAGACAGACAGACAGACAGACAGACAGACATACACATATATATATATGCATACATACATACCAGAGAGGGAGACTGGGCATGGAGAGGCTTGGGGGGATGGGGAGGATGGGGAGCAGAGGGAGGGAGAGAGGACGACAGAACACACAAGGGAGACAAGGGAGAGAGGCAGAAGGAGAAAAGGGAGAGGACAATGTCGGCGGACTGAGCCGGAGGCTCTAAAGTTTTAACTTTTGTGGGTTTAGTGGAAAGCCCCCGCTGATTTCCGACTTAAAGAAAAACAAAGGCTCATGTCTAAAAATCCAAGCCAATAGTCAAGTTTTGGGCCCAGTTGCTCTCTTTGCTTGGTGCTCAGTCGCAAATTGGTGCCACCAGCGAGCAACGGCCCCGTGGCTCCGCCTCCAAGAGCCGCAGGGCTGTGAGCCATTGCTTTGCCTTCTCACAGGCGCTGAGCGCCGCATTTTGCGCCGGGATCGAAGCTTCACCGGCGCCCAGCACTGCCAAGGCCTGGTTGGGGGCTGGGGGGGGAGGGAGGAGAGGGGGGAGGGAGCCCAAATAACCTTAGTAAGGCCTTATTTAGTGCTTATTTGGGCTCCCTCCCCCCCAGCCCCCATGAGGTTGGGCTTGGAGGAACCACGAGATCTCGGGACCTTCGAGTAAACTCCGGAGTCATCGCAGCCCGTCCGGTGGAAATATTTTTTCGACTCCGAAAGGTTTGGAAGATCACATTCACCGTGTTGAGACTCATGAAGTTCCCAATCTGCCAGAGGAATTAAATCGGCTGTGGGTCGCCCGACTCACTTCCGACTTCCGACTCCGCCTCCCGCCACTGGGCGCACTTCTCGCAGGCGCTGACCACGCCGCTGCAGCTGAAGATGCTGCGGCTCTCGCCGCCTCCGCGAAAGTGGAGGCCCAGCTGCCTAGGTATCCATCTGCCCAGAAACCCTGTGGCTCTGGGTCAAAAAACGGGTAAACAAAATGGAATCCCGGTAAATGGAAACATGGACCAAAACCTGCCGTCCATGACGCTTCGCTGGGAATCAAAATCTTGCTTGACGTTGGAAGGCGAGCAAGCATTTCCCAACTTTAGCAGTCAAGTGGTTGGATTTCAACCACTAAACCGCAATAAACAAAAAGGTAAAATGTTTCCCAACGACAACCGTGCCATGGTCTAGTCAGAAAACATGTGAAGAATTTAATAGGCGGCAGCGCCTATTTGCGGTTGGGGCTATCCCTGCTTCACTTACCCGGGTTTTGATTGTGGCACACATGGCAACCAAGTCAGCGCTTTGCCGGGACTCCCTGCAGATGCATATTGAACCTGAAAAACACCGCAGGTGTAGAGGAATGTCCTCGTGGGCACAGCATGTTTGGGTCCAAGTGAATTTACACCCAGGCATACTATGGTTGTGATTATGGTTGTACTTGTTATATGAGTTGATAAAGATGACTGTTCTCATGGCTAAGTCATGGTAGTACAGCTTTCTTTGCTATCGTGATTGTTTATGGCATGGTCATGTTGATGGCTCAGTTTTGGCTATTGTACTGTCTGTCACTGATCCGATTAGTGGTGTCATTGCTGTAATTACGGCCAGGAGGTTGGCCACCCCAGCTCAGACATGTCTAAACCACTCTTGTTCAAGCAACCTCCTTTTGGCTCTCCTTCATACAACTTGCGCAACCAACCATACTCTAACCCTGGAAGCGTTAGACATTATCTTTTATACCCCTTAAAGGGGGAGATGTTTGCAGGGAAGTATATTGCAACTCATGGTGGTTTGCATACATTCTACCAGCTGACAAGGGCGTACACTCATTTCCCCCCTCCAGCTGCCTAACGTTTTATGGTCAGCCGGTCGCTCCCTAAGAAAGGGGCATAGTTGTGTAACCAGATTGATGCCCCTTGGCATGGTTGAAGCAAATCCCTTACTGACAAGGGTTTCTTCCTCTGGCAAACAAATTTCCCCCCCTTCCACCTGACAAAGATTGCATGGTCAGTCGGTCGCTTCCTAAGAAAAAGGGCACGGCTGTTTCAACGATTCCACCCCCCCCCCCGCAAATGACAAAGTTTCTTTTCCAGGGTATGGTTGGAACAAAATCCACTCACCCTGCCTGTTTTTTTTTGGTCAGTCGGTCGCTTTCGGCATGGTTGTGTAAACATTTTCCCCCTCCTGACAAAGGAAACAACCTCCCCAGTAGAGGTTTGGCTTCCTAGGAACCTTGACAGAAAACCAAAACCAATGAACATAAATGAATAAACGGATATACAAATAAATGAATCAATCAATAAATAAATTAAAAAATGAATAAATAACAACAATTGAGTGAGACATATATATGTAATATATATATATATATGCTACCCCCCCCCCAGGTACCCAGGTTTGGGCTTGGTTCAGATGTGCTTTGACCGCGGAAGCAGGCAGGAAGAACAGCTCAGATTTGCACACTGGGAGACCAGAGGACGGAGGTTTGCCTCATTGAAGAAAGAAGCCTTGGACGTGACCCATGCCCTTGTTTCAATGGCTCTTCCACACAAAATTCAATTCACATATCTTCCCACACAAACCATGCCTTCTTTCAAAGGCTCTTCCACAGATAATTCACATATCTTCCCACACAAACCGTGCCTTGTTTCAAAGACTCTTCCACAGAAAATTCACACATCCTCTCACCCAACACATGTCTTTTTACATGTCTTCTTTCAATGAAACAAAGGCAGCATATGTGAAAGAGTTGCCAAGGAAAGTAAACCCGGTGTAGAATAAAGCCAGGCTATGGCTGGGACAGTTTGTGTTACATACAAGGTGGTTTTACATGATATTTACTGTCTTTTGCTGTACTTTTATGAATCACTGTAACCCCGACTCTTCCACAAAGACTCACATACCATCTCACACAAAACATGTCTTTTTCAATAACTCTTCTCTACAGAAAATTCACATATCCTCTCACCCAGAACATGTCTTCTTTCACAAAGGTGCACATATCCTCTCACCAAAACATGCATTTTTTCCAAGGCTCTTCCACAGAAAACTCACATATCTTCCCACACAAACCCCTTCTTTCAAAGACTCTTCCACCGAATATTCACATATCATCTCACACAAAGCATGTCTTTTCAATAACTCTTCTCTACAGCAAATTCATTCATCCTCTCACCCAACATGCCTTCGATCACAAAGGTTCACATATCCTCTCACCAAAACATGCCTTTTTTCAAAAGCTCTTCCACAGAAAACTCACATATCTTCCCACACAAACCATGCCTTGTTTCAAAGACTCTTCCACAGAAAAATCACACACCCTCTCACCCAACACATGTCTTTTTACATGTCTTCTTTCAATGAAACAAAGGCAGCATATGTGAAAGAGTTGCCAAGGAAAGTAAACCCGGTGTAGAATAAAGCCAGGCTATGGCTGGGACAGTTTGTGTTACACACAAGGTGGTTTTACATGATATTTACTGTCTTTTGCTGTACTTTTATGAATCACTGTAACCCTGACTCTTCCACAAAGACTCACATATCATCTCACACAAAACATGTCTTTTTCAATAACTCTTCTCTACAGAAAATTCACATATCCTCTCACCCAGAACATGTCTTCTTTCACAAAGGTTCACATATCCTCTCACCAAAACATGCCATTTTTCAAAGGCTCTTCCACAGAAAACTCACATATCTTCCCACACAAACCATGCCTTCTTTCAAAGACCCTTCCACAAAATGAGTCACATATAATCTCACACAAAGCATGTCTGTTAATTTACTCGTCTCTACAGACAATTCTTTCATCCTCTCACCCAAAACATGTCTTTTTACATGCCTTCGATCACAAAGGTTCACATATCCTCTCACCAAAACATGCCTTTTTTCAAAAGCTCTTCCACAGAAAGCTCACATATCTTCCCACACAAACCATGCCTTCTTTCAAAGGCTCTTTTACAGATAATTCACATATCTTCCCACACAAACCATGCCTTGTTTCAAAGACTCTTCCACAGAAAATTCACACATCCTCTCACCCAACACATGTCTTTTTACATGTCTTCTTTCAATGAAACAAAGGCAGCATATGTGAAAGAGTTGCCAAGGAAAGTAAACCCTGTGTAGAATAAAGCCAGGCTATGGCTGGGACAGTTTGTGTTACATAAATGGTGGTTTTACATGATATTTACTGTCTTTTGCTGTACTTTTATGAATCACTGTAACCCTGACTCTTCCACAAAGACTCACATATCATCTCACACAAAACATGTCTTTTTCAATAACTCTTCTCTACAGAAAATTCACATATCCTCTCACACAGAACATGCCTTCTTTCACAAAGGTTCACATATCCTCTCATCATGCTCCGCAAATGTTGCGCAACATTTGGAATTTGTTGCGCAACATTTCCCTGGACCACAAAATGGCCTTGCAGAAAATGCATGAGTTCAATCAAAATACACTGTAAATATCAATGGTTTTGATACATGATGCAACAACACCTGGGTACTGGGGGGGGTACCATATATATATATATATGTATATATTACATAATTTGTCTATGCTTCCCCCCTTCCCCAAGCTCCACCGAAGGCACCAGTGCCTCGCCTTCTCAGCGGCGCTGCACAGATTCGCCGCCGTCACCTCGCTGGGCTGCAGCGCTGCCCAGGCCATCTGCCGCGCCAAGGCCAGGCCCCGCGGCCAGCGGCCCGCCTCGCCAGTGGCTGAGGGCTCTCCATATGGGTATGGGGCAAAATTAAACCCCAGGGGACCGCAGGTTTTAGTCCATGTGTCCATTTGCCAGGGTTCCATTTTGAGTACCTATTTTTGACCCACAGCCATATCTTCTCCTCACCCCAACAAACTTCTCCTCACTTCCTGGGCCAACAAAACCGTTCAGTGACCCTGGGAAAAAAGAATTGGAACCCTGGAGGAAAAACAAATAGTGGGGCCACCCAAATAAAAAGGGAAAAAGGGTGCCACTGAACAACTGAGATAAGGCGAGTGGCTTGGTTGACGTTGGGTTAGGGGAGCAAAAATTCTCAAATTTTAGCAGTTCAGTGGTTGGAATTCAACCACTAAACCACAATAAGCAAAATGTAAAATGGTTGGCCATAACTCGTATCTTCAGATGCTCTCTCATTCTTAGAACGCCCTAAAATGTTCACAGTTATTTTTGGATGAGACCCCCACTCAGTTGTTCAGTGACCCCGGGAAACAAAATAATTGGAACCTTTTTTGGGGCTTGGACCATTTTAGTGGGGCAGCCACCCAAAAAAAAAAAAGGGAACAAGGGTGCCACTGAACAACTGGGATAAGGCGAGTGGGGAAGGTGATTTTTGTGATAACGGTGGGGCGAATGGGGTGTGAGTTGTTTTTTTCTTCTGCGGGTCAAAAATAGAAACCCAAAATGGCTTGCCCTGGTAGGTAGCAACATGGACCAAAACCTGTGGTCCTCTGGTGGTTTAATTTTGACCCACATCCAGTTGTGCCTTTTACGCAACATGGCAACGGTGTCCCTTCTTTTGGGTCCCCCCCAACCGCCCCCAAAAAAAGGAGCGAGCAACAGGAAAGCCCTCTACAACATGGGGGTATGAATTTGGAGAGGGACCCTCTGGTGGACATCATTTGGGCATTCTGTCCACGTCCCCACACGTTCCTTCATGCTGGGCTCTGGCAGGATGCATTCAGAAACCACCTGCTTTGGATTCGTATTCTCTAAATTTGGCAAAAGCACACTGGCCCAACTGCATTCCTAAAGGATCCCGCCAGAGTCATCCAACAAGCAATTTCTTCTTGAAATCAGCCAATCCGCGGAAATTCGAGAACCCCGCCAATAAAACAAAAGGAAAAAGGGGGGGGCGGAAGACTCGCTTGGCTTCATAACCCCAGTAGGTACTTAAAGGGGATGTGCTTTTTGGATCGTACAACACTGGACACAGACCCTTGAACTAGCCCCTGCCCACAAAGTTTAGCTTTCTGCAGGTTAGAGGGGGAAGATCCAACCAAATCGCAGTCACATCCCCCCTACTCTTGGTGGGGGGTCCCCACATCCATTTTGCTAGTCTTCCCCATAAAAGGGAAAACGGAATTCACCCCCCTCGCCTCCCACAAGTCTATTTTTTAGAGGGTGGGCATGCAACCGCGCCTGGGCATTTGAGCTGATGAAGGTGTTGAAGCTGACAGCATTCCGCTGGAACTGCTGAAAGACTCGCATGGCCGGCGCCCAGCGGTCCGCGCGCTCACAGGCGCTGAGCAGGGTGTTGTAGCCTTGGGACCCCTTGCGAGAAAGTCCATAAGCGGGGTAGGTGCAAGCAAACTAGGGTACCTTAGAGAGCCTTAAGGACCCCCCCCTCTTAAAACACCCCCCTTAAAATTCTTGAACACCAAGTTGACTCGGTAGGTTTCAAGGGATACCAGAAGGAAACCAAGCGCTTGGGGCCCATATCATATGGGTGATTCAAAGGGTCCAAGAGTCCAAGGCCACCAAGAAAGCTTTGAGAATTCAGATGCTGGCTTTGGACTTGGGAGGCAACTGGAGGCCAATCCCAGGAAGGTCTGACTCAAGAAGTTGACTGAGACTTGGGGAAATCCAGCAGCAGGGATCTTTGAGTCTAGCTTGCCTCCATTTGCTTAAGCCCTCTGGGGGAAAAAACCCCATTAAAACAAACAGGGGAAATCAAATCAAATAATGGAACCCTGACCCAAACCATCGTATCCTCCACAAAAAGCACGCGCTAAGCTGAAGCACAAGTTCCCACCAAAACGACCAGCGCAAGTTTGGGAAGCCTCAACCAGTGATGTGGTTCCACGTGACTAAGGGCGGATCCTTCAATTTGCCTCACTCCCTGGATGACACTTTATCTTGACCCCATATCAATCAACAACCAGTGCATTACCAGGGGGGGGGGGTGATTTTCCCATCTTTTCCCCGGGTTTAATGGGGAATCAGACCACTTTTGGAGGGGCCCGCACCCCCATATTAATAAACTGGTTGGTTGATTAGTATGGGGTCAACATGAGTGCTTCGGCGGGGCCTGTGCCGGGGAGACAATCAATCCATCTGTGTGATAAGCTCACCGGCATGGCCTCCTCCCTGGACGCCTTGTTTCGCTTGCAATTCCTACTTCAGTTGTTCAGTGACCCTGGAAAATGAACCTCTGTTTTTGGAAGACCATTTTTAGTGGGGCAGCCGCCAAAAGGAAAAAGGGTGCCACTGAACAACTGAGCTATTGATGTTTGCCTGGGCACCTCTACCAACTCCTCCGAAAGGTGTTTGGACCATAATTAGTGCATTTTGGCAGTGCCACAAGAAATGAGCAACAGGGAAATACATGCAACCAACGGATGGATCCCGGTTTTGCCGCACGGAAGCGCCTTGCGAGGCAAGCGACCTTTCCAATGTATGGGTTCAAGTGGCCGAGAGCGACCCTCTCGTGCTCATGGCTTAAGAAGGACGAGAACGACACCAACCAAAACTTGGGTTGTAGTCATTGGGTGTGTCTGCCGTTTGGTCACATGTCTCATACTGTGGATGGACGAAATCCATTTCGCACCACCTAAGCAACCATGAGACACCATTGTTTGTTGGTATTTACAGGGGAATCAACATTCCAGGGTTTCTTCGGTGGTGCAGGATTTGGTCCCTCCACGGGATAACTTCCCCATTCTGTCCAATCATTCTCGAGCACCCTTTGGCGCACATGGGGATGCATGTCCCACAATTTACATGATTTCCGAGGACGTTCCATTAAACAACCCTTGGCATGGTAGTAAAAGCGTTGATCTTGCAGCTGCTAAAATCCCAACAGAACCCCCCCAAAAAAAACACACACAACAAAAAACACCTAAACCCCTAAAAACCTAAAACCGGAAAAAAGATGGACCCCAAAAAAAAAACGGTGCCAGAACAAGAGCGAAGTGCGGTCAAGTCTCAGTACGCATTCAGTTGCACCAGCTGCTGCTGGAAGGCCTCGAGCCTAGGATCGAGAAGGCGCTGATCATTGCCACCCCCATCTTCGTGTCTCCGATGGAAACAAGGGGGAGGGGGATTTGGGGGGAGGGGGAGGGAAAAGTTGAATCCACCCCCCCCCTTTCGCCAAAAGTAAGAGACCTGCTTGAAGGAAAAGAAGGGGGAGGGGAGGACCTACTTGAGGGAGGAGAGGACCCACTTAATGGAAACAAGAGGAAGGGGAGGACCTACTTGAAGGAAATAAGGGGGAGGGGAGGGGGAGGTGTTGAATCCTACGACTCAAAGACCAGTTCACTATGAGAAAGCTACCTGTGTTGTGGGAGTCCGGCAAAGCTCTGACCAGTCAAGCAGACAAGCACAGGAACACCACTTGATTGCTGTTGAGCCCCTGCAAAAAGTTTAACTCTTTGGAGTTTAGTGGAAAACACCTTCATTTCCCAACAAAGTTAAAGTCTAAAGAACCAACCCAATAGCAGTCAAGACCAAACGAGCATGCACTTGCCACGAAGAAAAAAAAAAAATATTGACAAAGAAACTCGAAAAGGCCCAGCAACACATGCATAGAAAACTGACACAGGTGGCATCAGTCAGTACCATAAATAAAGAATCCGGCGCATTCCAGAACCTGCTGGGGCCCAAAGAGCGACAGCTTCAAAATAGCTACGATGGACATTGAAGAAAAGGGCTCAACCACTAAACATGCTTTTCAGTTATTCATCAAATTTGTTCATTTCCATTGCGCAACGAGACATTAAAAATGTCATCAAAATGACAATGCCAGGTCATCATTGGCTGAGGGCTTCCCGAATAAACATTTGGCTGGCTGCTTTTCAAGGAGCCTAATCGGAACATGACATCACGATTGCCCGGCACCCACTCGACGGACAAGTGGGCAGCTCACGCTCTCTAGTTGTTGCGTTGACTCCTCTTTGTCGCCTTGGTTTCTCTATAAAACAAGCTCCAAGTATAACTGTGTACCAACAGCAAAACCAACAAATTAAATTGAAACATCCGAAAACAACAATCACATTCAATACCTGAAGGAACTGCAAAGGATAATTACAATTCTAACTACCTCAGTCCTTTCCACCCCAATCGAAAAACGATCATTGTTCCGGGGCCATATTTTGTAAATGTTGCCATGTAGCATAGTTTCAATCATGACCCCATCCAAGACAACTAAAATGTCAACTGAACTAACAAGCCGAAGTCGTCCAGGAACTGTGCCTGCGCAGCAGGACTCTACGCCCAACCCCTTCCTCTCACAAAACGGCGCCTGAACCATTTCAACCTGTCAGGCGCCATTCCTTAAAATGCAAACACGAATCCTTCAAGTCAATTTCGTGAACCTCAAACTCATGAACCTCTGGGTGAACCTACCTAACCCTACGTGACGCCCCAGCGGACCCGAAATCCGAAACGCCCCCCCGACACCCCGCCACCTGCGACCCCCGACCCTTCGGCCGGGCGTCCGCCGCGCGGCGCGGCGCCACGTCCCGTCCGCGCCGAGGGCGGCGCAGGCGGCCACGGAGTCCAGGCCGATCTGCGCAGATTTTTCTCGCCAGGCCAGCGGATGACTCGCTATGAGTTTACTCGACAACTTTCTGCGAAGCCCTGCTAAAAGTGACTAACTTTTAGTGGTTTCATTCGGAAAACCCATGAGTTGGCAAAAAGTTGAAGTCCTAACAGCCAAGCAAAATGCAACAAAGTTTAGCATGGAATTGCCGGGTAAGCCCATGAGTTGCACGAATACCAACATCCAAATAGTGCGGAAAGGGGGCATACTAACAATTCCTGAAATGACGAGTGCAGGTTTGAGGTTTAAACAACAGCTAATGTGGGACAAGCTTTAATGGTAGTAGCCCGTATTGGTTCCACTGTTCGGGTGTGGGTGGTCCCACATTACTCAGTTTAGCATGGAATTACCGGGTAAGCCTACGAGTTGCACAAGTAACAATATCCAAACTGATTTGATTGTTGATGTGGGCCTCGCTATGCTACGGTCCGTCAGTGTGTTAAGAGATTTTATGAAGAAAGAAATCGGACCGTACTAGGCCAACGGATTGTTAATGTGGGACGCGCTTTAATGGTAGTAGCCCGTACTGGTTCCACTGTTCAGGGGGGGGGGGTGGAGGGGTCACTGTGAATTGTACAAATAGCCATATCCAAACTGGATTGATTGTTGATGTGGGACTCGCTATGCTACGGTCCGTGACCGTACTAGGCCAACGGATTGCTAATGTGGGACACGCATTCATGGCAGTATAGCCCGTATTGGTTCCACTGTTCGGGGGGGGGGGGTTCACATTAAAGCAGGTCCCACATAAACTTTTTACTTTTGGGGAAGACCATTTCAGTGGCAAACAAAGAAATTGTTGTTTTGGATGGTTGCGAAATCCGAGATCGCACCACGAACTGAGTTACCATGGTTGAAACCATTGCATTTGCGTTGGGGAATCGACGTGGTTGAACTCAGAACGTTTGTTGGTGTTTTGTTGGGGAATCAAATTAACAATTCCGTTGTGTTTCTGAGGTGCGAAATGGATTTCGTCCATCCACAGTATGACTGGTGAAGAGTTGCTAACCATAGCGGTCATTGCGGAAAGGGGCTTACTAACAATTCCTAAATTGACGAGTTCAGGTTTGATGTTTAAACGAAAGTTGCCATTCGAGGGAAATGGTCACAAAGTGGATTTAGGATGACCTTCACACAACGCGGCGGCTGACAATTTGGAATTGCCTCAAAATGAGAAAATGGACCATCAAATGTGTGGCTTCCTTTTGGCATCCGTTTCGCACCCGCACACACACACAAGCGGGTTTCCAAAGAAAAGAGACCCTTTTCAGGGGCTGTAAAAGCTACTGAAATATTTCCCTGACCACCGACAAGGAGGGAATAGAAACACATTAATGAGGGCAAATGATGCGAAAAGCGGTGCACTCCTGAAGATTAGAGAAATCTCTTTCCAGGACAAACACAGACCCCACTCACTTCCTGGATGGGTGGTCCAAAGCAGTTCAAACTGGGCACCAATTGTTTGTTCGCCGCCACAATGGTCAACCCATGAAGGAAACGGTCCAACAACTCGGGGGTAAGGTCAAGTGATACCCTTCCTCCCACCAACATCGGCTTCCCCAGTCCTTCGTCCGTGTTATCAAAGGGAAGCCGGGAGGACTCACTGCACAACTCAAAGAAAGTGCAGCTTTCCATTCCAGAAGGCGATAATCTTTAACGCCACCGACTCAGAGCTATAGCTTGCACCCAACAAACTTGCTCTAGAAGCCGGCGGGGCCGGCAACCGAACAGCAAGTCGATATCCATGACCGACTCAGAGAACAAGGGGCCTGGCCGCAACACGACGCAAACCTGACTGAACTCCTTTGGGACCGGGAAACAGCCCCTACTGATTTGTCGGGCGTCTTGGTCGTTTCCCTCGGCGCGAGGGAAAACAAAAACTGCTCGACGTCTGCAATGTTCATCTTCTAATTCGGACCGCTCTAAACCAAAGCTGTGAGCAGGAACCCTTCACTTCAAGAACACCATTTGTTTCCCCAGAAAGCGAACAGGACATGTTCACGCGAGAGGTGCGCTTGCAAGCATGAGCGTCCGCTTCCTGATCCCAATTGCCGAGGAAGATTGGCGGCCCTGCGGTTGACACACCCTGAAGGTGGGGTTCAAAACTCGCAAGCACCACAGCTCAGCCTTGACCGGTGCCGATGGTGTTGCTGCATGACCGAATCCGAATAACTTCCACCTTGCGCTTGCCATGCGTTGTGCCATGCGTTAAACCTACTAAGACGTCGACGATGGCTGCTACTGCTGCTGCGGCTGCTGCCTTCAACCCCAATCAACCTTGCCACTGTGAATTGTTCCCCCCCGCGCCATGGGTCTGTTTGGTGAGACCCCTTGGTGCTATGACAGCATTTGGTCACACGCTCCAATCCAAAGGGGGCCTTGCAATCGCCCCCTGGAAAATAAAAGCCATATCCATTTCCGCAAAAAGAAATGTCCTTCTGTTTGGGGAGGCTTTGTTTTCCCCCACCCCCCCGTTGCAGGCAACCGGTGACACAATGCCCCGGTCCGATCGCCGTTTTCGCCTCGCGCCCGATGGTGGCGACCATGCTCACGGCCAGGAGCCAGCTCGCGGCCACCAAGCTGCTGAGCATGTGCCGATTGCACCGCACCTAGAAAATCCCAGCCAACTGGCAATGGGTCAAAAAAGATACCCAAAATGGAACCCTGGTAATTGGCCAACATGGACCAAAACCTGTGGTTCCCTGGCGGTTTAATTTTGACCCACACCCAACCACCCTCCCACCAATCATTACATGGAACCCTTTCAACGGAGAATGGTCCAAACCAGGACTCTCCTGCTTGTTGGAGAAGACGGACCAGCTACCCAGATCAGTTTCCTTTTGAAGGAAACTCCTGTGAGGCGCTATGCTTGTGGGATATATATATATATATACATACACACATATATATATATAAGAGATGATTGGTTGAGTGCAAGCAGATTGGACAAGAAACACCGTGTCCAAAGCCACTTCTTCGAGAGGGCACCGGGTTTTGAAGAACATCATCCTACATATCCCTGGGAAGACAAGCGGAAACCCTTGGCTAGTTCCAAAATCCTTGAAAAGTCGGCACACAACGTTTTCAGCGATGTGTGAAAGAGGCATTTGAAGCCATGATGACGACTCTATGGAACCCCTTGGAGATGATCATTGTTCATCCCTGGCCACACCCATTCCCAGCTTGAAATGAGTGACCTGACACACGCATCATTTCTTCGTGGTCTCCTTATAGAAAGTATAGTCAAAGGTAGAGTCACTTCGCCCTAAAACACCCACAGCAAAACGCAAAGACTCCGTAATACGGGAGTGAACCCCCTCCAACATTGTGGCTTGCCTCTTACTGTGGGTGGACGAAATCCACTTCGCACCACCGTTCAGAAACCCTGGTTTCTGATGATTCCCCAACATTAAAAACATGAACGTTCTGGTTTCCGTCGGTTTCAAAGTGCAGGATTTCGTCCACGGTATCTTAGCTTCCTTCGTTGTTTGGTGGTTTGGAGCCCGGTTGTGTGGTGAGGGGGAAGCCCCAGTAACCCTCTACAAATTGCAGGGGTCAAAATGTTGTATAAAACCAAAACAAGCTCAGGTGACATCCCCAACAGCTTGCGGTGCTCTTTTTAGTGCTCGCACCACCCCACAGCCCTCGCAGCTCGTGGAACCCTCGTGGAACCCTACCTCAGCCGCCCCGGGCCACCCCGGAGCCTATCTGGGCTGAGACCCCAAAGCTTTCAGCTGGGGAAAAACAGCATCAGGACCCCGAGAACTTCCGTCCTGGGCCGCCACCATGGGCTCCAGAAGCCCCACAGCGATCTCCCAGCGGCCGCGAAGCTTCGCAAGCGCCGCGCCGCAAAGGACCTGCGGGGCGGTCCGTCGGTTGGGGGCTGCGGGGGCGCCGGAGTGCTGGGAGCTACGACAAACCGGAAAATGAGCAAAGCAAAACTGGGTTCAAAAATAGGGCCTCTCTCAAAAATATTAAGCCCCTCTTGGTGTCCTGAAGATTCTGAAATTTCCGAATTCTGAGTAGACCAAGAGGGGCTTATGCTTCTAGAATTATGGATTCTTTGATGGGGGCGTAGCAAAGCGCCGAAAACAAACACCAAAGGATCCTGAAGCTGATTCTTAATCCACACCAAAAACTGCAGCAAGCGTAACATAGAGTGGATTTGTCGGCCATCTTCGCTTGTTTGGTTCTCAGACACGAACAGGGTCAGAATCTTTGGCTTTGGCTATTGTCAATGGCCCAAGTCAGCTCCAACCAGTCTGACACCAGAAGCGTTAAGACCCAAAGTGGAAAGGAACCGGTCTCGGGATATCCGGATATCCGGAGATCCAATGGGAATTTCCATCTCAGGCCTTCAGCGTCCAATCCCCACAGATACCGCCACCGTTCTGTTGGCTTACGAGAGGCGGACAGCTTCGCTTTTCGTCCCGCTACCTGCCAGGGGATATCCATGTCGGAGCCTCGTTCCACTTCTGCGCTGCATGCCTCAAGAATCGAGCAAAGAACAAGCCTCAGCAACTCCGGCTTCCAGCCTCAAACCCCAACATTCAGGTGTTGGATTGGAGGTAGAAGCAAGCAGTTGGCTAAAACCCACAAGTAGTGTCCAAAAAGCAACCTTCGGGTGTTGGATTGGAGGTCGAAAAAAGCAGTTGGCTAAAACCCACAAGTAGTGTCCAAAGGGAAACCGTCGGGTGTTGGATTGGAGGTAGAAGCAAGCAGTTGGCTAAAACCCACAAGTAGTGTCCAAAAAGAAACCTTCGGGTGTTGGATTGGAGGTCGAAAAAAGCAGTTGGCTAAAACCCACAAGTAGTGTCCAAAAAGAAACCTTCGGGTGTTGGATTGGAGGTCGAAAAAAGCAGTTGGCTAAAACAAACAAGTAGTGCCCAAAAAAGCAACCTTCGGGTGTTGGATTGGAGGTCGAAAAAAGCAGTTGGCTAAAACCCACAAGTAGTGACCAAAAAGAAACCTTCGGGTGTTGGATTGGAGGTCGAAAAAAGCAGTTGGCTAAAACCCACAAGTAGTGACCAAAAAGAAACCTTCGGGTGTTGGATTGGAGGTCGAAAAAAGCAGTTGGCTAAATCCCACAAGTAGTGTCCAAAAAGCAACCTTCGGGTGTTGGATTGGAGGTCGAAAAAAGCAGTTGGCTGAAACCCACAAGTAGTGTCCAAAAAGCAACCTTCGGGTGTTGGATTGCAAGTCAAAAAAAGCAGTTGGCTAAAACCCACAAGTAGTGTCCAAAGGGAAACCGTCGGGTGTTGGATTGCAGGTAGAAGCAAGCAGTTGGCTAAAACCCACAAGTAGTGTCCAAAAAGCAACCTTCGGTGTTGGACTGGAGGTCGAGAAAAGCAGTTTGCTAAAACCCACAAGTAACCCACAAGTAGTGTCCAAAAAGCAACCTTCGGGTGTGGAATTGGAGGTAGAAAAAGCAGTTGGCTAATCCAGGTGGGGTTGTACAACACAAAGGGGCCAACAAGAGCGATTGCTTCCACAATCTTGGCAGTAGTGGGACAAAGCCTAAACGGGGCAGCTGGAGTAGGCTTACAACTGTCTCGCATTTGGTGTGAATTCCTGACTGCTGATTGGAAGCATGCAGTACGGTTTGCACCCCTACTGTGGATGGACGAATTCCTGCACCACTTTGAAACCATGCAAAAACCATGGATTGTTGGTATTTACAGAGAAAACCTTAATTGCAGGGATTCTTAGGTGGTACAGAATTGCGTCCATCCACAGTATGTTGATGCTCTGTGCAGAATACTTGAGCCTTGTTGACCCCTCAAATAGACGTTGCCAGTTCGCAGGCATGTTAAAACACACAGTTGAGTGGTCCCCTCGACCGCCAGCAGTGGACGACACACCCAAAAGCTTGAATAGTCTTTGGTCTTTTAATCAGGGGCAACTGCGGGGGGGACAGCCCAAAGACAATTAATGGAATAAAGCAACCCCTTGACGTGTTTGCTGAGTTGGTGTTGACCCCTTAGCAAAAAGCGAATACCTTGTTCAGGGTTTAATGGAAAACCCGAAAAGTCCCTTGATGTCCCAAAAAGTTAAAGTCTAAAGATCTGACCCAATAGCAACCCCCTGAGGGAATCCCTTGACTTTCCCAAGGCTGAGGACCCCTTGACTAGGGTGGACACCTAGCAGGTTGTTGTTTTACACCGCATCTGCACACCTGGTTATTTGAATGGACCCGGTGTTCACCTGGTTCCCTATATTATATATCCCCCGTAAACATCACCCCAACAGGAGGAAACTCACCAAAGTCCCAAAAGTGACTAAAATTGACTAAAGCTCCAGGAACTCAGGATTTGAGATTTGAGACAAACCCAGTCCCCAAAAAATCTCACCTCGCCCCACTCGAGTTGCCATGGTGCAGTAGGGCCGTCGCACGACTCCAATGCTCGCAGGCGGAAATGCCCGCGCTGCAAAGGAACGCATCGGTCCTTGGGCTTGCCGAGCATTTGCCCCAGAGGCCTCTTGCCACGACTTGGCAGCCAAGCAAACATGCAATGCAATGTAGACACGGACACCTCTGAAAACATCATTGCTTTCGGCCGGCCCAAAACTGCGGGAGCGAGCAACAAAACAGCGCTGACACCCTCCCAGTAGGTTTGACCATTTTTGAAGATGCCTTCCGTCAGAATAGGTTTTGCTTGTTGTTTTGCGGAAGAGGGATGATCATATTCTGGAGTGCCATGGGCCATGACTCTTCATCTTGACCTGATTAATCAAAGGTCACTGGCAGCTGAGAAAATTGAAATCTTTTGAAACATCCAAAATGGTCATTAATCAGGTGCCCGAAAGGTAGAAAAAAGGGGCCAGTTCGGGATTGTCTTGTCCATTTTGGATGGGAAAAACCAAACAAAAAGGGCAAAAGAAGGATTGGATTCAAAGCAATCAACCAAAAAACTGATTTGTGGCCATTCCTAGTTTTTGTCTAGGCGTGTTGCAGCGATCCGCAATCACCGAAGGGTTGCCGAGCCCCGTGAAACAAACAAGTACAAACGACATGTGCGTAAAACAAGGCCCGGATCACCCGCCGGTTTTCTCAGAAAACTGAAAAGGCTGTCTCCAAGTGGGCGAGCACCAAAAATGGGTGCCCCCTTTGAAAAGCAACCCCCAACAAGTACCTGCTCAACAAACATACCAGAGTCAAGACTCACTGGAGCACCAAGCCCAAGTTTGCTCTTGAGAAATGTGGGCACGTTCAACTATGAATGTAGCTTATCCATGCGGTTGTGCTGGTCATGTGACATGTGTAGTGGGCTCGCTGAATCCACGGCAACTTGCTGTAGGTACAATTTGGGCGTATCTTTTTGTCTGTGGTGGAGCCACTGAAATGGAGGCTCTACTTGTGGTTCCCCTTTAAAACCATAACAAGAGGTTTACCAACTCCAAGACGAGCCCCCCATTTAGCTCGATCCAAGCTCGCCCCCGGGACCCAGGCGTTATGCCATGGAGTTCCGGCTGCCCTACCGTGGGCGTGCCCTGGGCGTCCACCCCCCGGCAAAGCTGTTGCTCCGTGAAGCGCCTGGCCCTTGAAAGGCCCCCCCGCTGTTTTTCCAGCATTTGAGCCACAAAAAAGGTGGCACAAAATGGTACAAAGCCATTCACAAGGGGCGGTTTCGAGGTCCAGGGGGCTCATTTCCACGGGGTTCACAGCTTGGTGCCAAAGAGAAACCCAGAAAACAGAAAACCACGTCGCTTTCCCAGCGGCCCGTCCCCAAAGTCGCCCTTCTGCGGAGCGTCTCCAGGTTCGCCGCTTGCGACGCGCGGAGCGCTGCCATGGCAAGCTGCCAGTGCGCGGAAGCCGCGGACACCAGGATGGTGTAGTGAAAGCGGTTGACCTAACGCACACTTCCCCTACCACGCCCCCAACGCGCCCCCAACCCCCCCCCCAACCCCCCCCCCCCCCCCCCCCCCCCCAACCCCCCACCCCACCTCCCACCCCAACCTCCCCACCCCACGCCACCCTACCCCGCCCCCTGTTGCCCAAGAGTAAGACCCGAATCTCACCTGCCCCTTCGGGACCTTAAAAGCGTGAGGTGATCACCTTTTGGGACAAGCAAGGAAAGCGAGAAAGGTGAGAGAAGGCTGACTCGCTTTGAGCAAGGCACGGGCGCTCCCGTACTCACCCCAAAAGGAAGTCTTATTTGCAAAAACCTGGGGGGGAAGGAAGGATTGGGGGTGGGGGGGTGTTGTATAGAGCAATTGACCTGGCAATGCAGGAAGTGAGTGGTACTCCTAATGGTTTTCACATAAAACCCAAAAGGTGATGTGTGTGTGTGTGACCCAAGAGCTTTTCCGACTCAGGCTTTCTGGCACCACCTCAACCGATCGGGGCATTAACAAACCTAAAACAAGACAGGATTGCGGTTGACCCCTCTCAAATAACAACATTTGTGGGTCCAATGGAAAATCAGACCTGTTTCAACCAAAAAGTCAAACTCCAGCTGCAACTTCTTTGAAACCGGATGGTAGAGGAACCCGAGTCACTGCAAGGGACCCTTCTCCGAAAGCGGATATGCTTTCCCCATCAGGGAGCCCCTGCAAAACGATGGCCTTGTTGTTGCTTCCATGTCGAGACAGAAGTCACCAACTCTGTGAATTTGGGCTTGACGGCTCCAAATTTTGGTTTGGAGGTGTTCGCCCCTCACAGATTTCAGACGAGTAGACTTGTAGAACTCCACCTGCGGCAAATCTAGTCGAGTTAATTAATGTCATGTGTTGGCCCGTGCTCGCTTTTCTAAAACATCCAGTAGAAAAAGGCCAACCTGTTGGACCTTCACATGGCTCAAAACTGGGTCAACAGCTTGGTGCTGGAGAAGTGAGAGGGTGAATCTGAACGTCGCATATTGCCTGCTGCAGCACGTCAGAGGGCAAATAAGCGAAAGTTGCGTGTGCGAAGATTGCGGGGACAACTGTAGCAGTTCGACAAAGGGGTCCTATCAGAACCTGACCAGGCCCTATTGTTGGGATTGAGGCCCCTTGCAAGGCGTTGACCATGGGTTGACCCTGCAAAACCGTAGACAGCAGAGTTCCCTTCTGAAATCCTTGTCAAAAGGTTCCCAAACATAATAAGGAACTTGCGAAACTGGACGGGTTCCTGTCCCTCTCGCATGATGTAAAGGTCTGGGGGGGCACCCGCAAGGCCCCAGCCTGAACGTTGGTTCTGGCAATGTTCGACAGCAACTGGAGAGAGAGCCGCCTGCAACTTCTGTTTTTTTTTTTTTTTTTTCTCTCTCTCTCTCTCTCTAGATCTCTATCTCACTCTGGTGCCTCCAACGTGCCCAGAGCAATTAAACAGGGTTGGGCTTGGCCGGATTCCTAGATATAGGACTTCCTCCTGGTTTCTTTTCGAGAAAAAGGTTGGCCACTTGTTAGTTACTTTGGGCAGAAAAATCAAAGGGCGAAATCGGCACTTTTACCGAGGCGTAGGAACTCACATGGCCGCCCGGTTACGGTTTGTATTGCCCTCTCGCGGGGAAACCATTTTTGGTATGTAAAGGGAAGCCAAGAGGAAACCCTTGCCATTTTCAAGAAAACGACTTCTATTCTCCAGAAACGCCCAAAAAGGAAAAGCAGCACGATCAAACCCGTTGCTGCCTTGGATGCTAACCGCCTGGACCCTGCAAACCAGGCACCCCCGCATCTCCCAATATTCCCCCGAGACCAGCCGGAAGGAACTGGAAGACCAGACCCTCCACCCACTCCAAATCAGGTGCCTCCCCCTCAAGTTTGGATCCTCGTGTTCCCGGGTCTCCGGTGTGGATGGTTCAGGGTTGATGGTTGGTGCCTGGAATCGCAGTGACCGGGGGATTGCCCCAGCGTGCAAAGAGACCCATTGAAAGTCCACAGGGAAACGCCGCAATTCCAAGACCTGAAGCCAGGCCACCCATCATGGTGAACCCATCATGGGCCTTCCGCAAGGCTATATGCAAAAGAACCAAGGCGAAAGCACACGGACCAAGCCGAAGGCTTTGGAGTCGAGCCCTTAGGTCGAAGGGTGACGGAAGACGGGGCGGTCGGTTGGTTGGTCGGTTGGTTGGAGAAAATACTTCAGACCCATTCAAAACCACAACGCTAGATATTGCAAGGCTATCAGTTTGTCTTCCTCTTTTCTTTTTTTTTTTGGGGGGGGGGGGGGGGACGGCGTGTCAGTTTTGAAGGTTGATGGAAAATTGTCACTTGAGGGTCGTCTCCTATTGGTTTCCTTTGGCATTGTCAGATACTAGTATTGCGGGATGAAACACACTCCTGGAAAGGGAGCCTCGCCCCGCATGGCACCTGCCCCCTGAAAATGCAGTTCATTTACAGTGCCCTGTGTTTACCTCAGAACCCGCGTTTTAACTGGCATTGCTCATTTGCTCCTGTTCAATGGTTGCGGCTCGAAGGCCTTTTGGAATATGGACTACACGTGCCTTGTGCTTCAAACTGCAACCCTTTTTGGCTATGAAGTCCACCGGGCCAGCGAAAGAAGCCTAGGAACTCAGAGACGCTGCCTCGCTCGCGCGAGCCAACGGGCCAACGCCTGGGCGAGCGCACCGCTTGCTGCAGCTCGGCCGCTGCAGCCTTCGCAGCCTTTGCCCAGACGCCCCCCACGAAGCTGGCGAAACCCTTTGATTTCTCGCTGAAGGGGGCCCTTCACAAATGGAAAGGCTGAAGCCAGCGCTTCTCAAGGGGGAATTTGTATGTATGACTTGCTGGAGTGCATTGCCCTTTGCCCGGCTGGTTTGAAGGGAAAGTGCAAGGGAACCCACAGAACCCAATCTTGAGGGCTCACCGTGAAAACGGAATCCGCAGGTTGAGAAATCATCGCTTCCGGCTTTCTCAGGTGCCCCAGGCCAACAGATTCCCATGAAATGGTCCGTCCTCTGAAAGAGCTTCACTCCAATCCCAGGCCCCCAGAACTCACCTGAAAAGAGCATCAATATCCCCGGCCCGATTCCCATGCGTCACTCTTCCCCATGGCGAAAGGCGTCTCTTTTTCGCTGGCTTCCCCAGTGGTCGCTCCCTGTCAAAGGGTTCCGTAGCCACTGCCCCGCCCACCGAAGGCCTTCGAAAAGCTCCAAAGTCTCAGGCGCTGGCGTCGCCATGCCCTCTCGTCCTGGGCACGTCGTTTTCTTTGCGCGGCGAGTGTGCAAAAGTGGAAGAGGCAGCGAGGGACTCGCTAGGAACTCACCCAAACACCCTGGGACTCGGAAGGTGCCATTGAACAGTGTAACAGCCAGGCGGCAAATGGGGTGACTTGGGCCATGAAGCGTGTGGCCATGACATGATATTTTATAGTTCTGATCCATGGGTGTGTCTTTTCCTTGGGATGCCCCCAAATTTTCTGGAAACAATATTCGAAATGGAACGCAGAAAGGCCGATTATTTTATAGGCACCCAGAACTACTGCGACAAGAAAGTAACCTTCACCACGAGCTGGCTTCTTGCAGAGGTCGCTATTCGTCGTAGCGTGGGGATTGGACAGCAACAAGCAAGGGAAGCGAATTATATAACTGTGTTTTAAGTTCTCCTGTCACTCCGTTTCGCAAGCAAGGCTAGAGGCTATAATAGGGTTTGTATCAAAAGCTTCTTCGTGGGCCCTCATGGCAATTCAACTCATATATATATATATCTTACAAATCGCGTTTGCCCCCAGAAAGTGATCCGCTCATGTCCAACATAACCCTCAATTTGCCTCCGCGCCTGGCTGGCGTGAGTTTCTTGTTGATTGCCTAAACAAAGGCGTGGGTGCAAAGATGGTGCTCGGGTCAGGTTTGGCTTATGACATGTTCAGCCCCCTTCTTTGGAGCCGTCATCCTCCTAGGTCCTCCAGATTTGAGAGTTTAGAACAAGGGTACCATATTTTTTCTCTGTAGTCTATTTATGTGAACCCTCCAAAAAAGGGTAAGGGATGGTGCTTGCCGCCATCACGAGGTTTGGGTTCGTCCTGTGCAACATATGGGTTTTGTTGTTTTAAGGGGCCCACCCGATGTGGTGACTTGCCTTGTTTCCTAGCTAAAACAAACCCAAGAAGGGTGCGCTCACAAAAGACGAGTCACCTAATATGAGATAAACCCTGGGCTGAGTCTTGATCCGACACTCCCATCTGATGGTAGCCGTCCTGGCACTTTCTGGCCGCATCCAGCCATCTGCTTCAGGCAACCGAGTGGCTCAGTCGAAAGTCGGACCCCTGTGAGCAGAACAACTTCCGTCGAAATTCCTGCAAACATTGGCTACAACTGCCCGGGTCTATGAATCTGAACTGCATTTGCCCCAGCTCCGGATGATTGAAGCTTCTTGGAGCCCTTCGACCAAAGGCCTGGTTCTCTAAGAACCAAACCTGAGTGCAATTTGTCTGCAGGGCTGCTCCCAAAACTCAAGGGGAAACCAAAGAAAACGAAACCAGATTTCATCACCTTATAGAGGTCCGAAGTGTGATTGGATCAAGTTCCCCTGTTGATTTGTGTGTGTTTGTTTTCCTGGGTTGCATGTGTGTGTGTGTGTGCTGGTGGGTGTTGACTTTGTTTGGTTAAGTTTTATGTGCTGATGTTTTGTGCGCTGGCAACATGTGCGTGCATCCCTGCACGTAACCGCCTGTACGATTCCTTGTCTGCTTGCTTCTTTGCTCCCACCTACCTATCTTTTAAGTGTTGCTTTGTTTCCGCTTGATCGGTTGGTCCACTATCGCGCCACAGGTTGGTTCTTCAGGGGTACTGGCCAGCTTCTTCTCATCCTCACAAAGCCACACACAAAAAACAACACACCACAAGGATGCAAAAGAAACACACAGTCAGACTGCCTGCCAGTTTGCGGCTGGTGAAAGCTGATCTCATTATTCTACCATCAAAGTCACCCCCTATGTGGAAACACCCCCATTTTCTGACTTTAACCCCCAGAAATCGTGAAAAAAATAATGACCCCAGAAAAATACAAGCTGATGTTCGAGGCTGCTCTGGTTACTGGTGAAATAATGTTGACCCAGGATTAATAAACCCGTCCCATTATTAGGGGGGTGTTCCCTCCAAAAGTGGTCCGAATCCCCACTCAAAGGGGACACCCCCCTATTAATCAACCAGGGGTTTATTACTCCGGGGTTTACATGTGCATAGCACCCTTCACGACCCAAACGGTGTGGCTTGGCAAAAAACTGGCGGCTGCGAAAAATGAATGAACAAAAAAAACAAAAAGCAAAAGAGAAAACACGCAACTTGCCAAGAACAGTGACGAGTACAATAAAATGCCGACGTCGGGGATCGATCTATGTTTGAGAACCCATCGGCTTAGCAGCAAACAAATCGGCACTTTGCAGCCAATGCACGGAAAACATCGGTTTGACCGTGAGAGTCGTCCAACACACACATTCTGACGATCTTTGAGATAGTCAATAATGGGCGGCCCATATTGCAAAGTGAGGGATGCAACCCAAAGGGAAACGCTGGAACCCCTGATTCTGATAGAACTCCAAAGGTCTACGAGCTTTTTGACTATTTCTTGTTTGCATCCATTTGAAGTGAACTCTGACATCGTATACCGTAGTCTGCGGTCAGGGTAAAATACCGCGAATGACAGGGGATACCTGGCCCCCAACCTCATTTCCGTAGCTCAAATGATGGGAGGAGCCTCCATTTTCTCGGGCTAGGCATTTAGCGAACACATGCTAAACCTCCAAATGCAGGCAACTGCCAGAGCGCAAGGCACCCAAAGGGTCAAACAACTCACAACATCTATACTGGACATATTGTTTTGGCTGACAGCACTATACATGATTCTTAAGGCCGCCCTTTTTACCTTTGTGGCTTGGTTTAGAGGGAATTCAAGTGGACAACCAGCAATTGCGGGGTCCCCAAAGACGACCGTGTTGTGGGAACTAGGCTGGAATTTGGAATTAGGACCCCAGCAAACAATTATCTTTTTTGCCTGGTTAGTGGAAAACAAAGGGACCCCACAAATGCAAAAAAACAAGAAAGGGAGCTACTTCTGGGGAAGCGAACAAGCAGGGCTTTGCCTTTTGAGCAGGTTAGTCCAAGGGCAAGACCTGGTCTGCCGAACATCTCACCGCGTGTTTTTGTGCGGTCAGGCTCTTGTGTCCCACACGAAAGTGTCCCCGAAGAGTTCTGTACATGTACCAGCTCTGTCTATGCAGGCTGAAAACTGACCCAAAAAAAGCCGCTTGCCATGGGAAGAGCAAGCAGAGTAGAGAAGCTTCATCATAGGAAAGCTTCACACGTTTCACGTGTCTCGGTCCCAGCACGAGCGCTTGAAAAGGCGCGCTGGGCTCAGAGTGGACACGGCCGCCCGGCCAGCTCTGAGATGCGGAGCTACGACGGAGGCACTAAATATTGCAAGGGAGCATGTGTGTTGCCTAGGTCCTCCAGACTTGAGGTTAGAATAAGGGTACCAACCTTTCTTTCTGCAGTCTATTTTAGTAGGGGGGTTCAAATTCCCTCCCCAACCCAAAAAAGGGGTAGCGAAGGGCACCGATCGCTGGGGTACCTAGTTGCTTGTGCTTAACCAAGATCTATCTCGGGTGACGTCCTAACCCACTTGCCGATTTCGGCCGCCGCCGGCTTTTCCCAAAACTTTGCCGCCGCCCCTTTCGGGTCCTTTGGGGACCGAAGGGCGAGCTTTGGGTGCAGGCTGCGGAAAGCATTGGGTCCATGTTCATGCCCATGCCACTGGCCTCATCATTTTACCAAAGTCATCCCCGAAGTGGTGGGTTAAGGGAAACAACCCACCAGTTTCCGACTTTGATACCCCCCAGAAACTGTCAAAATGATGATTTCAAGGGAAACTGGAACTAGCGAAGTTTCAGGAGTCACTCTCCTCCCGCAACTTCATAGGGAGACAGCCCCAACAAAATGCCAGTGACAGAAACAAACTAGGACATGAGAAACCAACAACCAAACACTCACCCAAGCCTCAACGCTTGTGTGGTTGGCTGGATGTATCTTGATTCAAAAGGCAACACAAGACCCGTTCAGAAAGGGCACAACTTGGCATCAACTTGGCTGTGTGTGCGTGAATGTGTGTGTGTGTGTGGTTTTGAGCGTTTGTGTTTTTTGGGGTGATTATAAGGGAAGCCAGCAGGAAAACCCGCATCCTGCGGGGTCCAAACCCCCTATTTTGACGCACCCACTACAAGTGGGTTAACTATGTGATATTCTCAAATCCTCATCGGCCATCAACACAATCGATGGACCGGTTTTCCGACAGCAGCACTCCCAGAAAAGGTTCAGATGCAGCTTCGCAGCATCCTGGGGCAGAGCATTGAAACTGAAAGCATCCGCAAACAAATATCCCACGCGACGGCAGCCGACTAACTTTTCCCAAGCTGAAAAATACAATGACACTCTGAAGTTGCTGTCCTACCGTGGCCTAATCCCAGGATACACATATAGTAATAATTCAAATGTTCAGATTATGCTTCAGATTTGGTCTACCTCGAAACATAAAACAAACACATCAGAGGAAACCGCAGTTACCACAAAACTCCGTTAAAAAAAACAAAAAAACAAAAAAAACACTATTGCATGCGAAAAGTTGCTGGTGGAATTGCACGGGGGGAGGCACTCACCCGATATGCCTGTGTCCAACTGTGCGTGCACCCGAAGCATGTTTGGTTCATTTGCCCGTTTGGGTTGGTTTGATAACGCCACCATAAGGAAACCTCCCAAGCACGCTAAGATGTGGCTTGTGACTTATTAACACTTTGGGCACTCAACACTGAAGCTATGCAGCGCTCATGCCGTTTGCCACAAACCACTTCACTGGAAACACGGACAGCTCCGTGGGCGCTGTTCAAGGGAACCGGAAACCCAGAAACCATTTCTGCCACCCATGGCCCAGAACGCAAACGGGGCTGAGGAACATGTCCTTCAGCTCCAGGGACTCCGAATCCGTTCTCAACGATTTCTTTTCCGAAAGGAACTCCTGGATTTTGCGCGGACTTCGCGTGCTCCAAAACGTGCCGAGTGCATCCCTCCAGGATGCAACCCGCAGAAACGTAGTGTCACATTGCGAGAATGAGGCCAAACGCAACCAATGGCAGGCGTCTTGTGCTTTAGATTCAGTTGGGGCCCGGGGTGCTCAGACATGTCAAACAAAATGCCCACCGGCCACCACCAACACACGAAACACATTGATGAGTTGAACGTTTGGTATTGGACAAGCCGTGCACTTTGCAACATAGAGCGCAACAAGGTTCTTAGGCTATCAGAAAACAACTGGGGCACGTGACTATGTTCAAAACAATGATTCTCCTGTGGCCTGTGACTATGTTCAAAACAAAAACAAAGAAGAAAAAACACCTTGCAACAAAAATAACCCAGAAATAACTCCAACGTATGTCAACATTTGCCATAAACAAACTTCGGCTGCAGGGCGTAGGAGCGACATTGGCAGGCCATTGACCTTTGGAGTTCTGGGAGCCTTTGGAGTTCTGTTCCCAGAGCGAGGCGAACAGCTAGGAAGACATCGCCAAATTGGCGCCATAATCGGCCTTTGGAAATACTAACCACTATACTTCAGCGGATCTCTCGTGGCTCATCGGCCTTTAGCGGTTGCGGTTCACATCGTGAATTCTTGCGCCGGCCGGTTCTAGCAGTTGCCTTCTTTTGGACATATCTTCCGAGCCCGGAAGTTTGGTGGTGCTCCGCCGCCCAATAAAGCTTTACAAGAACCAAAACTTCAAATCCCCAAACCACCAAGCCGAAACATCCCTTTCAGGGTTACCTGAGTTGAGTGGTTAGGTCTATCCTTCCTACAGTGGATGGACGAAATCCTGCGCCTAAGAAACCCTGGAATGATGATTCCCCTGTAAGTACCAGCCAAAAATGGATTTACCATGGTTTCAAAGTGGTGCGAACGGATTTCGCAACCATCCACAGTACGGTAAGGGCAAGCCGAAAATGAAACAACTTTTTCAAAAAAGCGTCCAGGATCATGAACTGTTTGCACAAGGCACTTCTGCCAAGGGATCCGTATACAGAACCCCTCAGGCTGCAAGGAGCCTCACTCGCGGCGCTTAAAACTTCGGAACCCTACCAGAGCCGGATGCGCCTGGGCGAGTCTGACAGGTTGCAGTTTGATCATTCCTTCGATTCAAGGCTGCGTTACTCCAAATAAGGCCTTGGCAGGGCCTTCTTTCGCAGGGGTCTATTATTGTGGAAACGGAGGGGTTGGAGTGTTGGATCCTTTTCTCTTTCCGCAGATTCCTTTGGAACGCACTGACGTGCGCTGTCTTGCCTCATTTTCTTCTAATGCGAGTTAGTTTGTTCTGCGGCCCCCTTTCAACACCCAAGAAGGGTGCCTCCAAAACAAACACGCACACGTATCCATCCTCTGGTCGCTTCAGAAAACTCAACCTGAAGATATGGGGCTCTCCAGCACCACAACCAGGGCTCCTTAAAGGATACATCCCACGAACCTAGGTCCTCCAGTAGAGAGGTTAGAATAAGGGTGTCCCTTTTTCTGCAGTCTATTTTGGTAGGGGAACCCTCCCCCGAAAAAGGGTAACAGGGCACTACTGGGGGACCTAGACCTTCTTTACAAGGGCCTCCAACTCAGCTGGCGAAGTTGATTTATTGACCTCCCCAAATGCATCCTGCGACAAAACCGTGACAAGCGTCGTACGACTTGGCCAGCCCAAAAGACACAGGACGGGAAGTCTTACCTCCATTTGCTTAAGCCCCATGGAAAAAATAAACATATTTCCAATATAGTGATAGATTCCCTTCAAAACCAACAGGGCGAAAAAAAAACATTCTTAAGCCACTGGAAGTCTTAGACGCCCCTTTCAGCCCCCAGCTGTCGCTTGCGATAGCCAAAACCCCATGCCAAATTCCAGACGAATCCTCCCGTGGACTCCTGAAGGGTCGGGCTAGATCAACGGACTATCCTGAACCTGGAAATGGAATGTATTTAGCAAAGGGTCCAGGAACAAGGATCCGGATGCATGAAAAACACCTGAACATTGCAACTTGTAAATGGTGGTGTCCAACTTTATCTTGGTGTTGAAAAAGCCACATGTTTCAAATGGTTGCAACATGTATCTGTTAAGGAGTCCTGGAAATACGATGGTATATACCAAAATGATATATGCCAAACGTTGATGCAGGAATGCCAAAACAGCGCAGGTGGAATTTAGGTGGAGCATCAAACTGTGCTCCACATGGCATTGTTTGGATGTCCGGTGATTTACCTATGTTGGGCCGCGCATGTTTGCCACGGGGAGCCGTATGCGGTTCCTTTGGCATCAACTGAACGTGGCACATTCAATGTATCCCGTGTTTTCAGTTTGGTCTTTTCGCCAAAAAACATAAAACAAACTGAAACATAAATCGCATAGCCGGTATCGGACTGGGCTAACTTCCTAAAAAGCAAGGAAGTGGAAACTTGGCCACCCACGGACCCTTTTTCTTGGAAATCTTGTGGAAGAGGTGGTCTTGTTTGCATCGATTGTTTCAGGGAACGGCTGACTTCAAACATGCAATGCATCAATCAAGCCGTCACAGGACATGATACGAATGATGCACATGGAGCCTAAGGCATGTGCCAAACAGCACACCAGCAAGTATCACTAAACAAAGGCCAATTACAAGTCAACAATGTGACAGAGTTACATATTGGCAACTGAGAGCAACATAGAAGCACACAAGCACAGCCAAGGAAAGTCAGCAGCTTTGGACCAATAAACGTAAACAATGCCCTGATAGGCTACACAATCAAAAAAACTTATTTGTCATCAAAAAAACATATTAAACAGGCACAAGCAGGCAATCACCCAAGGACGCGGGCGTTTGTCTGGCGCCCCAAGATGTTGCTGGCTGCTGCGGGTGGCTGGTTCCGTGGCGGGCGCAGCAGGACGAAGACAGGATAGGGGGGAAGGGAGGAAAGAGAAAGAACAGGAGAAGAGAGCAGTAGAGGAGAGGCGAGGAGAGAAGAGAAGAGAAAACAAGAGAAAAAACAAGAGGCAGAGAAGAGAAGAGAAGAGAAGAAAAGAGAAGAGAAGAGAAGAAAAGAGAAGAGAAGAGAAGAGAAGGAGAGAGAGACAGAGAAGAAGAGAAGAGAAGAGAGAGAGAGAGAGAGAGAGAGAAGAGAGACATAGAAGAGAGAGAAGCGGAAAAAGAGAAGAGAAGCAGAGAGAAGAGAAGAGAAACAGAGAGAAGAGAAGAGAAGAGAAGAGAAGAGAAGAGAAGAGAAGGAGAGAGAGACAGAGAAGGAGAGAAGAGAAGAGAGAGAGAGAGAGGAGAAGAAGAGAGAAGAAAGATAAGAAGAGAGAAAAGAAAACAAGAGAAGAAAAATATAGCCCGTAAGATCGAACAGTAACAAACAAGGAACAACACGAACTAATAGTTGGGGGGCTGGCTGCTGCGGGTGGCTGGTTCCGTGGCGGGCGCAGCAGGACGAAGACAGGATAGGGGGGAAGGGAGGAAAGAGAAAGAACAGGACAAGAGAGCAGTAGAGGAGAGGCGAGGAGAGAAGAGAAGAGAAAACAAGAGAAAAAACAAGAGGCAGAGAAGAGAAGAGAAGAGAAGAAAAGAGAAGAAAAGAGAGGCTTCAGGATGGTTTAGGACGGGCTTGGAATGCGTCGAGATTTGTTTGTTGCAACGGCTTATGAAAAGAAAGGGGTCTAAATTCTACGCCCTGCATTCCTCACGTAACGGCTTATGAGAAGGAAGGGTTCTAAATTCTATGCCCTGCTGTCCTCACAAAACAGCTTCTAAGAAGAAGGGGTCTAAATTCCGAGAAGCGTATTCTTCGGCAAAAAGCTAGCAGAGCGGTTGGGGGGGGGGGGGGCAGTCCCCCCCATAACGCTGCGAGCAGGTCCCCCCATGATGTGTTGGAAAGGGCGGGATTCAGCGAAGCGTGTTCTTCGCCAAAAGCTGGCGGGGGGTTGGGTGGGCGGCAGCCCCCCCCATGATGTTTGTAAGAAGGATGGTTGAGGTTGGGTAACTTACTAACTAACGAACTACTTAACTAACTACTTACCTAAGTAACTGACTAATTGGCTAACTGACTAAGTTCCTACAGCAATGGGCCAGGATTAACTTGCTAACTTGCAAACTTTCCAACTGGGCACGGGGCGACAGGGCGCACGCTTACTAACTTACTAATTTGCTAACTGGGCACAGGGTGTACACTTACTAACTTACTAACTTGCTAAGTGGGCACAGGGCGCACGCTTACTAACTTACTAATTTGCTAACTGGGCACAGGGTGTACACTTACTAACTTACTAACTTGCTAACTGGGCGCAGGGTGTACACTTGCTGACTTACTAACTCAATAATTGGGCACAGGGTGTACACGTGCTAACTTACTAACTTGCTAACTGGGCACAGGGTGTACACTTGCTAACTTACTAACTTGCTAACTGGGCACAGGGTGTTCACTTGCTAACTTACCAACTTGCTAACTGGGCACAGGGTGTACACTTGCTAACTTACCAACTTGCTAACTGGGCACGGGGTGTGCGCTTGCTAACTTGCTGACTTGCTAGCAGAATTATTTTTTTTTGATGACAAAGTATATTTCTTGATGATAGAAAAGTTTTTTTTCAATGCGCATGCCCTGATCCCTCTCTGGAAAACGGACTGGGACTGTCAATAATCGACAGCCCGCACTGGGTGCTGTTTTGGGCTGCAAAGGACACAGGACTTAAACCCACCTTATAGCTTATCGGATGTGTTCCAAGGTATCGATTCTGGAGATTGTCATTCTCTTTTTGCCCCGATGGCGCTTGACCCACCTAGGAATTTCAGGGACACCCCAGGGACTGCCCAGGACTCCCCACGATCTAAGATAATCGATGCATAGGTGATAGCGCAGGATAGCAAAACAGAAAAAGTTAGTATCTGGATGAAAACAAACTAAGTAAATCTTCAGATATTGTCGCGTTGCTTTGGTGAATGTTTTCTCCCTTGCCAGACTTGATGATCCAATGCCCAATCCTCATACAAATGTAGCAGTAGTAGCCCTACAATGGGACATCTAGTGGACGAGCTAGAGTTTTGTTCTTGCTTCATCCATGTTTTACAACAGCTCAAAGATTTAGGTTTGGGGTTGGTCTGTACTTTCCCATTCTTCGTTTTGTGAGCCTCGCTTTGATATGCGGGTTGATTAGTATTGGCCCGCATTCAATTGCGGTAATTTCGGGAATGGAACCCACCGGGTGGGGGAAAATGACCTTCCAGCCAAGTTTCCACGTGAGAAAGATGCTACAGCTGACCCGTCCGGCCCTATATCGCTTCCCTTGTGCCAGGGGGACACGCATGAGGAAGCGTCCCTTTCCTGCCAGTACTGGGAGCTCCCGATCAAGAAGCCCTTGATTGATAGGAGGGGGTAGCCCCTTTCTGTCAACATCACGACCTTGTCCATATGTTGGTTGGAGGGGGATGGTGCCCTTTCGCCGCAAAACGCAATCATAAATCCTTAAATCGAAGAGCGGCCGCATAAGCACTGTGGGCTCGCCAGAAAAGTCTAAACTGGTTGACCACGAAACTTCGCCCACATTTGGGGTACGCGGAAAATTGTGATTCATGTTTAGCCCACCCGGAAATTATATAAAACTGTTTTGGATCCAATTGTGAACCACGTGACAAGTGACTCCAGTGAGCATTGCACAAGACAACACCCTGGGTTCTTGGAAAAGAAGGCCCCCGTTTTACCCAACAATTAACGTGGTTGGGAGGCCTGTTGAAAGCGAACATCAGGATAGTAAGGGAAGACTGTGTGAAAGCACTTTCAACTGTTCCAGCGTTTCGCTAATTCCATCCACTGCCACTTACCGACGATTTGGCGTGGAATCCGCGAACCCGAGCCGGCCTCAAGGCTTAAACAGACGTTTGGCCAGCTCGGAGATGACCGGGCTGGACGTCACCAATCGCATGACCTGCCGCTCCCCCCATCTCAAAACCTGCCGAAATGTTTTGATTCCCACATTCCAGCCCCATAGCCTGCCCAAACAATCTAAAGATCGAATTTGGAGACTCCAAAGCCATTGCGCAAATCACGCACTTCGTGGATTTTGTCTGAAGCGGTCAAAGCAAAGCCAGTTGCGGGTTTGATTTCCAGGCATAACCCTCGGGGAATCCGGCCATTTTGGGGCATGAGACAAACCTGGAAGCACGGAAATCCACCAAAATGGTTCCCGAAAAACTTGCGCAGAAAGACTTGCGCAGCGCCAAAGTGGCAGCCAGGGGCCGGTATGTGAACAAAGACCGTGGTGTTTCAGTGTGTGAATTTTCATGGGTCCCGGATTTGGTGGACATAACAATTCGGAACAGGGTGTGTGTCCACCAATGTTGAGGTGGTTCCATCCATTTGCCCCAACTGAGAGTTGGCCCAACAGCCCTGGCTTTTTGGCCTAAAGCAGCGGCGGAAGCCAAGGGAAACGGAAGGCCAGCTAGCAGCTTCAAAAAGCTGGCCCAGACGGCACGCAAAAAGGCACGGCACTTGTCACGATCCGTTCACAAGAAGGGCTTAAATCGCCGGGGGCATTGGGTTTGCAAAAGCTCAAGCACTGTCAAAATGACTTGCTTCCCAGGGGGACATGGGGAAATAAGCGAGCCTCCTGGTTGTGCGGTGGAAAGTTGAGGACCATACCAGTAAGTCTTGACCAAACCTCAAAATGGAAAGCAGCCATGACATCCAGATTAAGAACTGCTCTTGAACTCCTGGGGTTGTTTTTCTGACGCCTACGGAAAACGTGTCGAACAAAGCGGCCCCAAGTAATTCAACGTATCGGAAAAATTCAGGCCCCAGCCCCAAGTCATTTGGAAAACCCAAATCGTTCCGAAAGGTGCACTTGAGATCCCCTTCCGTGGTTGCTCTTGACCCCCCTGCAAAAAGTTTAACTTTTTTTGGGTTTAGTGGAAAACACCCTTATTTCCCAAAAAGTTAAAGTCTAAAGATCCAACCCAATAGCAGTCAAGCTTCCAAGGCATCACTTCAACTCCAGGACCCATAAACCCGCAAGCCTCCTCTGGCGAGAAAGCGACTTCCTGTCGCTCGCGTCTTTTCCGCCGAGTTGCTGCACAGGTGCAGCAAGCGTCCCTATAGAAGGGAACGCCTTTTGAGGCAGACCAGCAAGGAACCCAGCGAAAACAAACAGGGCTTCATGTCAGGATCCAGAACTGGGCAACCGAGTCTGCAACCACTCGGTCTCCAGATCCACTCGGCCTCTTGACAAATCCAGCGGTTTCCCTTTCCCCGGAGCTCTTGTCCAGAGCGAGGATCCACCAAATCATCCGGTGGTTGCGGAGTTTGCTTCTTGGGAGCTACGTCTTGATTTGGGAAAGGACTGCATCCAAAGACATGTTGATTTGCGTAAGCCCCCTGAAAAAATAAATAACATAATATTCCAATAGTGATAGATTCCCTTTAAAACCAACAGGGGAAACATATTCTTAAGCACTGGAAGAAGACGAGCCCTCCGGTCCGAGAAAAAAGGCGGAACCGATGAACCCGTCCTCGAGGCGTTGGGCGCACAGCTGGTCCACGGTCATGCCCGCCTCCTGCGCGCTGACGTCCAAACCGGAAGAGAAAAGCGGGGAGCTCAAGAAAAGGAAGCTCAATCCAACTCTCAGTTGTTTAGTGACCCCGGAAAAAAGGGAACCCTTTTCTGGGAAGACCATTTTTGGTGGGGCCGCCAAAAGAAAGAAGGGAAAATAATGCCACTGAACAAGTCAGGAATCCAACACGAAATTCAAGAAAAGGAAGCTCAATCCTACTCGGTTGCTTTCTGCTCTCCTGCTAAAAGCTTCATTTTGAGTGGTTCAATACGGAAAACCCATTCGTTGGCAAAAAGTTGAAGTCCTAACATCCAAGCACGCACCAAAGCTTAGGCTTTGGAAGTCAAGGAAAGGAGCCCAACTTGAGAACCCCAAGCGAACATTTCAAAGGAAGCGCCAGCCTAGAAAAGTGTTCTGAACGTCTGCGGGAGTTTGGGCAACGAAGGATTTGGAGGAAGATCTGCGCCTCTTCAATTGGATGTGTCTTTTCTCGAGGGTCCCTTTTGATGGCTGGTTTAAAGAAAGAAGTATGGGATTCCAAGCATCTTGTGAGATCCCTGGAGTTGAGAAACGCCTTAGTGTCTCCTTTTGAAAACCTAAAGCTCAGTCTCAAACTAAGGGAACTCGCGATAACCTGTGGCTTCCCTTTGGGAAACCCATTGAAACGCAGCCCGAAAGGGTACCCTTAAAACGACCCCCAACAAACACAAATTATGTTGTTAGCTTAGCGTACAGCAACCCCCCCTTTTCCAAAAGGGACAATGTCGTCCCAGAAAGGGAAGACATATAGAAACCAAGCACTCCAAAAACTGGCTGTGGGTCCTGGGAAATGAAAAAATGGAAAATAAACCCTGCGGTCCAATTCTTGCTGGTTTCATTATGGGGTTGATTTTAATCTGGGGTCAACCTTACCCAAATCTCCCAACTTGAGCATTGGTCACTGGCTCAAATCACCCAGCTCGAGCCGGCGGAATCCTCCTTCTCGCGCCGGCCTTTCTGCAAGACCACCCTCTGCCTGACGAGCCTGGACAAAAAAGGGCCGCAAGGTGAATCTGCTGGCGTTTTCTTCGATGGGAACCGTTGGTTTGTCCCAGCGGTTTTCTGGGCATCGAAGGCTTCTGGGCCTTTTTTCATGGGGATGTAGAAAGGAACAACTGAGCATATCCCTTCCCCTTCGGACACTAGGGGCAAAGTTCCTGGCAAAACAGGTGCTGGATATTGCGCTTGCGAATTTATGACCTCCCCCCCCTGGCCCCGAAAAGAGGACGGATCCTTTCGAAAGTGCCCTGACCAGGAAACCAGGGGATCGCAGCCATGAACTGCTCGGCCCACGACGCTGGCTCAACCGCACCCCGGCCGACGAGCCGAGAAACGCCTATCAAATGATCTGCTGGATGTTGATCTTTCTTGCTTGTTCAGGCACTTTAAAGGGGGTCCTGTTCAACCGAGGTTAGCGAATTCTAAGAGGGCAATGAGGCACCCCCCCCAAAAAAAAGCAACAACTCGAGGGTCTGCCACAAGCAAGCACATTTTGCGAATCAAGAGATTCCAATGCTGGTAAGCTGCGTCTGAATGACCTCGTTCACGTGGGCCACTCTCTCTTGAGCCACCTTACCTTTCTGCTGCGCGACTCCTGGTGCCACAAAACCAGCGCTGCCCTCGAAATCTTGAAGAAACTGCTTAAACGGTCAAATCCCACCCCGCTTAGAAACACAAATGATAGAAGGCTGTGAAAACACAATGCTGCTTCAAACATGAAGCAACTCAAGCCCCTGTCCGCCAGGTAGAACGGTTCTGCTTAATATGGGATCGACGAATCTGTGCCACATGACCTGGTCAACAATCCCACAGGAAAGACAGGCAGCTTCATGTGCGAAATCCGTGGCAAGCCCAACTTGTTGGATTGGTAGGCTTTGCTGCGAAAGTGACGTCTATTTGAAGCCACCAAGACTGGCTGGGCCTCGGAAAACATGATCCATGGTGCTTTCTGAGGCCACGTTGAACAGTCATGCGCCCCAACTTGGTACTGTTCCTTCAACAAGTCACCAGGCGAACGCCAGCTAGGTCCTCCAGTAGAGAGGATACAATAAGGCTACCTTTTTTTCTGTAGTCTATTCTAGTAGGGGAACCCTCCCCAAAAAAAAGTGTAAAAGGGCACTACTGGGGGACCTGGCCAGGTAGATCGAAATTTCCAAACAACAACACCGCCTCTCAGAGAGGCGGCGTTTATTTCGTAGGGTACATCTTCTTGTCTGGAAGCCAACCAAAGGGAAGCGACCGCACGGTGCCCAGGGGCTGTGGAAACATGCAAACATACCCAACCTTAGCTCATCATGGCTGGTGGGAAAATCGCCAACTGCGGCTAACTGGCACCCAAATCAAAGGAAAGAGAAAGCTTTGGTAACGTCTCCTTGCCACTTTTTAATGGCAAAACGCCAGTCCGAACGGCAAATCAGAAAGGCATTTTAACACGTAGGCACCCTTTCTTGAGGCACCCTTTTGGCTCAGAAGGAAGCCAAGGGCAAACAGAAAGAAATCCCCAGGAACGCCTTCAGAATCTGCAAAACCAGGTGACCCCACCTATTTGCCACCCACGGATGCCATTTTGACCTCCGATGCCTCCTATTCCCATGGGCCCAATCCGAAAAACTGGCCACTAGCGGCTCATAAGGCCGTTGGGAGGGCAGGGCATGTCATTGGGGGCTACCCTTTTCTGGTTGGATTGAAAGGGGAAAAGCGGAAACACAGTTCTGTGGATTGTCTATTGCAGCGATTTCCATTTGAAGGTAATTAATCAAACGAACCAGCCTTTGCAAACCAAAAGCACAATGGCGAAAGGTTACCTACTAAAAAGGTAATTTGGATCCACTGGGTATTTTACTTGCTGGTGCCCACTAAGCAATGACCTTCCAGGCGGGTATGAACCGAGAATCAGGGTACCCACTATTTCTGTAGTCTATTTTAGTAGGGGTTTCCCTCCCCAAAAAAAAAGTGGAGGGAAAAGGGCACCTAGTTGGGGGGACCTAGTTGTTTATAAACCCTCCCCAAACAAAAGTTGGTAAAAGGGCACCTAGCTGACAACCTAGTCGTTTCTTAGTGTTTTTTCCTCCTTTTTCTTTTTCGGGGTCGCTCCGTTTCTCATTCCCCGCATCGACACGCCGGCACGCCGCTTCGGTCCGAGGCATCGCTGCAGCTGACGCCATTGGAGCTCACCGTGGGCCTCTTCCTCAGCTCGAGGGGATTTTCTTTTAGCGTGAATGGGCTCTCCGTGGATCCCATCAAAGAAATGGCCCAAAGCCTTTGGCGGATGTGTGGTCGGCTGAACCAGGACCCCCTCCCCCAGTCAGCTTGAAACTCTTTCCGTGGGGGGATTCCCCCTGCGATAAAAGAAGTTGTCACTTGAGTTGAAGGGGATGCCCTGGCCAGAACTTGGCTGCTGCAACGGCCCCCCTTCAAAAAGTTGGAAAAACTGGTGGGTTGAGCGGAAAACAACCTGAAAAAACCCTGATTTCAACCAAGCAGATTTCAAGCCTAAAGATCCAAAGGCACTCAAGGCCTGGGCTCTCCGATCCCCGATCCGCGGAAACTGGGCCCGTCTTCAGATCCGCTAGACGTGTGACTCACTTTTAGTGGGCCAAAAGGGAAAAACGACCACTACACGACGAAAAGGCTAGAAAGCTAAGGAACCGGATGGCGGGGAGCCACCGAGTAAAAGTGAATGAGCTTCGGACACAGTTTCCCTAGGCCCCTGGCCCGAGTTGTTGGGAAGCTCTTCAGATCTCTTTGGCTCATGTGCAGCGCTTCTAGTTACCACAAGAGTGGGCAACCAAACAAAACCATGAAACAAAAACAACAAAAAGAGCAGAGATCAGAAACCCTGGCTACCTGCTGCCCAAAAAGGGGGAAAACTAAAAGCTAAGGTCGGCTTTGGGAAACTGAGTCTGATCATTTCCTGCCAAATGTGTCTCTCACTCGCTGCTTCTTTAGTGTGAAGTGAACATTTGAACAGGATCCCACAAAGTTTGATCTGGAATTCCAAGAGACACCAGTCCCGATCGAACATTTATTGACGGGATGTGTCAAACAAGGGAATCCCACATTCCAAACAATCTGTGATCCCTGGACTCCACTAACACAAGGTAAATAACCTGGCACAAGGAATATCCAAGTTGATGTTGACCCCAGATTGCCACCTTCTCATAGGTCCAGGGAGCTGCTCAAAATGGCGACCGCTTGACTGGGCATTTCGAGAGAAACTTCCAGGAAGCCAACCATTTGGCTGTGGCTCAAAAAACTGGTACCAAAATAGCACCTTCGCAAATGGAACCAAACACAAAAACCTGCGTAACCCTAGGTCTTTACTTTTGAGCCACACCCATTTTAGGAGACTCCCATTTTAAGAAACGCCCATGCCGCACCTGCCCAAAGAACCTAGAACTAAACGGCTAACTGTTTGGACCTTTGCTAAACGCGGACCAACGAAAACTTGCTGGTGCTGAGTAGGGAATGAGGGAATGAACTTGGGGATTCCTTAGAGTGGAATCTACAGGTCACTCCCTCAGTCCCTGCTGAGCACCAGCAAGAACACACAACAGCTGAGAGCTAGGCTGGAATTAGGACCCCAGCAAACAATTATATTTTTGCCTGCTTAGAGGAAAACAAAGGAACCCCAAAATTCCCCCCCAAAAAACAAAACGCAAAAGGGGAGCTAATTCTGGGGAAGAGAGAAGGCCGGTTATGAACAACTGAGATGCAAGCGAAGCGCATGGGTTTGCAGGAGCGCCAGCAGGTACTGATGATCTGTGATCTGCTGGGCCTCCGTCTCGAAAACCGAGGCGTCGACTCGTGTCCACCGGGGCAGCCTCGCGAGGCTCGTCTTTTTTTGAGGCCACCCCTCTCAGGATGGTTTGAATGGAAGCCAAGAGGCAAGCTACCATTTTTGGGGGTATCCCTATGTTAAGACACTTTTCGAAGATGGAATCGAGTCGTGGGGTACTATTCAAAGCCACGATCATGGGACAGGCACGGGCTTGACTGGGCTTACTCCGTACCGCGGCCCAAACGTAGCACGCGTTCGGTGGCTCGTCTTTTTGTGGTTGGGAACCCGGTTTAAAGGATTCATCAACCCTTTGGCATAGGGTATGGTTGCTTACCAGCTGCACACACAACCACTGACCACACTTTGCCAGCAAGAGAAAAAATGGGAGAAAAGAGGTGCAAGTATTGAACCCAGCAAACCTTCACACCAGGGATTCTCGGGCTGACTCAGCCTTGAACCTAACCCTATCGGGCCCTATCGCCAGCGTTCTATGGAACTTGAACTCCAAATTCTTGTGGAGGGTAACAATGGACTACCACCCCCGAACCTCCAACCACCAATCCAAAGCACCAAGTAGAGGGAAGCTGACAAAGGTTGGCCAACCTACAGCGTGTTGACACAAAGCGTTTGCTTTTGACTGCGCAAAAAGGATGGTCCTTGGGAGGGACATGGGGACTCACTAAATCATCCAAAATCATAGGGGACTCACGAATGTGTCCTACGTTTTCGGGAAAACATATGCTTGACGAATTATCCTGGCGGTTGGTTCCTCGATCTTGTCAACCATTGCTCTTTTCAAAACCAGGCAGGTGTCCCTGCTTTTGGGGTTGTCTAGCAGAAAGGACCTCTGAGTACGTGGGGAAGTTACCTCTAGAACTATAGGGAAATGCCCACAGTCACCAGAGCGCTGTCGTTGCTGGCTTTGGTCATGAATGGGTGGCTCTTCTTTGCTTTGGAGTTGGTACCTTTGCGGTTTTAAAGGCAAAGCAAAAAGGAAAGCGTGAACCAATCATACACCCACATGGATGTGAACAAACATTGGAGTGTGCCAGTTGTCTCACCAGAAATTAAAGCCTGTCCCAGTGAAAACTCCGATTCCCTTCGGATCGCAAGGTGAATTCCGGCAAAGGCCTGCCTTTCCACGAGTATGACCTTGCAACCAAATCACCTAGAAATACAACGTGATCACCTGAAGCCATCACTATAAGTAGACATGTGGCAACTAATCCTCTTGAAATACACACGTCATTCTATCCTGGGCTCATGTGTGCGTGTGTGCGTGCTTTAGGGGCAACGAAAAAAGAACTCAAATGACATGCGAATATTCGCGTCTATTCTACGCACCGTTGCTATCCGTTGCTGTTCAATGGGATATACAACCACTACACAGACACTATATAAGAACGTAGCTGTATTTGGAGAAATAGATCGCCCTGATACACGGAATGAAACCAATCCAAACCAGCAGTGCTTCTTATTTCTACCCAAACTAGTGGTAGATCCCATTCGACCGCCGGGTTGGTGGCGGTTTAGTCGGAGCCATCTGAGAATCCAACGGCATCTCCGGTTCGTGAGGCGGCAGGACGTAGCAAACATTCCTGGGGCCGCTGTGCGGACCCCAAAACGTGCCCCAAATGTGAGGTGCCCCGGCAAGAAAACCCAAAACCAAATACCTACCCCACCTGGAACCCAAAAAGGGGGCGCATGGGGGCGCCCTAAGGCACATACAGCGTATATATCGAGGTTATCATATATACAAGAGGGGTGAAAATGAATCCTCCACGGATGTCCAGCCTTAGGCCTTGTGAGGTATCGCGGGGTGTGGGGTGTGTTTTGGGGGGGGGAGGTTTTACCATGAGCTTTCTGGAACGCTTGGTTTGGGGCCCGGTTTGGGTGCTCCAGTTTCCCACGTTTCAAGTCCTGGTCCAAGCCACTAGACGATAGATAGACCGATAAGAGAGTTATATGGATAGGTAGATATATAGCTAAATATCTAGGGGGAGGGAGATATATAAGGATTACACCAGCATAGACCCCAGATGGCGTAAAACAGGTCAACACAAGCACTTCCAACAGCAGCACCTGCACCTGGACCCCAAACTGTGCATGGCCCCTGGCACCCGGCCGTCAATCTCGCAAACATGGGCAGCAGCAGCGCCCCAAAGCAACCCCTGCGCCAGCACTCCAATTTGCTGGCGCCCGGCCGATTACCCCCAACAGCACCACAAACTCAAACTGCGTGCCCTTCCCCGAAGCAGCCGGCCGTCAACCTCACAAACATGCGCTCGCACCATCACCAGCACCTCAAACAGCATCACTTCAAACAACATCTCAGAGCAGCACCTGCGCCCCAAACTGCACTGGCACCCAGCCGTCGGTCTCACCAAAATGCGCCCCCGCCGGCACCACCATCTCAAACATCACCTGCACCAGCACAAACTGCATGCTGCCTGGCACCCGGTCGTCAGTCTTGCCAATCACTCCCCACTCCCCCTCTTTACCAGACGTTAGTACAAAAGATAAATAGATAGATGGGTAGATAAGAGGGAGAGAGAGAGAGAGAGTGATAGATACAGAGGTCGACGTGTAAATAAAAGAAAGAGAGAAAGACTAGAAAGTAACAAAGAAAGAACTGACGAATGAATGAAGGAAGAAATAAAGAAAGGAAGGAAGAAGGAAAGGCATACACAAAGAAAGGTCCAGGAAGGAAAGAATTACACCAGCGTAGACCCCAGATAGCGAAACACGTGCCAACGATTGCACGCCAGCACCTCTAACACTCTAACAGCACTGACCAACACCCCAAACAATAGCACCTGCAGCACCCCAAACTGCATGCCCCCTGGCACCCTACCACCAATCTTGCAAAAGCGCCCCCACTGTCACCTGCATACCGCTTTTCTATCTCGCAAAAATTCGCCCGCGCCGCCACCAGCGCCTCAAACAGCGCCCCAAGCAGCACTCAAAACAGCACCTGCACCTAGCACCCTGCCGGCAAACTAAAACAATCTAAAAAATCCATCACAGCACCTCAAACAGCACCCCAAACAGCACCCACACCAGCACCCCAAACTGCAGATCTCGCAAATCACTTTCCTTCCTTTGATAGAAGTTAGAACCCCTATAGCGTTCAACCATCCGGAAAAATAAATAGAGAAAGGACAGAAATAATGAAATCAAAGAAAGAAAGAAAGAAAGAAAGAAAGAAAGAAAGAAAGAAAGAAGGAACAAACAAATAACAAAAAAGAGGAAGGAAGGAAGGAAGGAAGGAAGGAAGGAAGGAAGGAAGGAAGGAAGGAAGGAAGGAAGGAAGGAAGGAAGGAAGGAAGGAAGGAAGGAAGCAAGGAAGCAAGGAAGGAAGGAAGGAAGGAAGGAAGGAAGGAAGCAAGGAAGCAAGGAAGCAAGGAAGCAAGGAAGCAAGGAAGCAAGGAAGAAAGACAAATAATGACGGGAGGAAGGAAGCAAGGAAGGAAGGAAGGAAGGAAGGAAGAAAAGAAGGAAGGAAGGAAGGAAGGAAGGAAGGAAGGGAAAGGAAGGAAGGGAAAGGAAGGGAAGGGAAAGGAATGAGAAACAAAGGAAAAGGATGAGCGGAATAAACAAATACAGTAAATAGCAAAACACAGCTGAAGACAGACACCAAGAACAACAAATGTATGGAGAAGAAACCATGAAAAGAAGAAGAAAAAAAAGAAAACCCGAAAAAACAACAAGAAAAGAAAGAGAAGGATAACATTATTTGCTTTGTTAAAACTGCCGACCACCGGCTTTGCCGGCTCTACTGGTAGACGGAACACCTACGCCCCCATACCCGAATAAGGGTTAAAAGACCCTTCTGGGAAGGGGTTCCTGAAAAACCTAGTTGCCATTAGCTTTCAAGGAAGGTCAAAACCACATCTTGATCGTCTTGGTGCCACTGGCCGCTTTGACCAAGTTTGGATACCCAAAGTGCGCCACGCAAAACCGCAATGGCAGCCCTGCGCAGAAGAGCAATCGCCACCCCTGACAGAGTCCACCAGCAACACGCCCCAAACGAAAAGTGGGTTCCGTGGGTGGAACTGGTAAAGATTGGCGGGTGAGCCGGCCTTGTAGGTGAGCAAAGGGACACGCCAAACAGGAAGCAAAAAAGCAAGCAACACAGCAAGCAAAAGCCTAGGCAAAAGAGAAAACAAAGAGAACAAATGAAAAAAGGGGCGCGCAAAGCCAGGCCAAGTCAAGCAAAGCCAGCCAGCAAGCATGCAAACTTCCCCCCCTCCCCTGGGGCGCAAGAAAGCTACGCTTGCCGGTGTTTCGGGGGGTGCAGTCATGTTCAAGGGTTACATGGCTCGCTCGGCACCAAAGATCCACCTATCTTCCATGTTTTCCTCTGCCCGCACGTTGTCTGCTAGGGCGGCAAAATTGAAAATGAGACCTCCACGTAGTGACGTCATTCTGCGCTCTTAAGCTCCGCAAGTTCCTCGGCATGACCTGGCACCCACATGTCTGCTGCCTTGTCTTCGTGCGGAAACTCGCCTTCTGGAATCTGCTTCCTTACAGGCCATGGAAATCACTTGGGTTATCCGATATTTTTTGGCCACCAACCACATGGGAATACGAGCAATGCACCCTTTGCAGTATGTGAGTGAAGGGCAGCCTTAACATTCCTAAGCTCAAAATATGCATCTCAGAATAGAGCAAAGCTTCTGCAAAAAATGCGCCAGCCCTGTCCATCCGTCAGACCAGTTGTAGACCAATAGCCTCTGCCACGGAGGCAACAGGGGTGGGTTCTCCCACCCCCCGACTCCAGCCGTCTCTGCAAAGCAAAAACATGCAATTGTCCAACCGGATGCCTGTTTAACATGCGTGGTTCTCACACCCACACACACACGAACGCACGAACACACCAGCCGACCCAAACCAACCCAGCCCCAACACAACCAGCCAAACAACCAACAACCCCGGCCTGTGCGGTGGGATGACCTGCTGCACTCTGGCGTTGTGTTTCTTGTAGTTCTCAAGGCATATCCGTCTGGTGTCAGTGGTGGGGTTCCTGAAGTCACCTCTGACTGGGGGTCTGGAAGAAGCAAACACTTACCGCACATTTGGCTTCCCGCCTGGCGAAAACTGAGCGTGTGGGCTGTTTAGCATGCCGTAAGTAGTCAAAGGACACCAAAAACGCCTTTGCGCTATATTACTTGCAACCGACAAGTCCAGCATTCAAACAGTACGTCAAAAAGCCACCGTGCTTTCTTTCAACATGCACTACAAAAGGCTTGTTTGGTTGTTAGATTTGATGTTTCCAAATACTAGGCACCGAACATCCCGGAAACACGCGTGGGCCCGAAGCCCGCCATTCGTCCTCCCCTGTCCGCACCGCCATGCAGCGCACAGAATACCTTTATCATGCGCGTGGCGCACGCGCGTGCAGGCGGCTGCAACAGCCAGGCTCAAGGCGTCGCGCCGACACAACGGTAAACTAGAAGGAAGACATTGACCTTGGTGCCAGTTTCGACCCCATGACGTGCACAAGCAAATGCTACAAAGCAATGCATGGTTTATGGGGCGAGCACGGTTCGCCGTTGGTTCTTGCGAACTACCCGCCAGAACCACGCATAGGGTTCGCCGTTCCTTGGCAAGTCGTGCTTCATTGTTTTTTTCCGCTCCGACCCGCCCAATCAATGTAGAGGGTTCATCGGCGAAAGTAAAAAGCTACAGCTCGTGCGGCGTTTTCGCATCAACCCGCCCGATCCACACCAGAAGACCTCACTTCGGCGCAACACATGCAAGGCGCCCTGACACAAAGGCGAAGTGGAGCAGCCAAAGTCTGAAAACCAACGACCTCTTGCGCTGGAAAGTTTCGCAACCTGTTTGTTTGTGCGTGTGCGCGCGCGTGTGCGCTGTTGCCACGGTGTGTTGATGCAATCGCGCCTGGGGCTGCGAGCACGGGGGCATACCGCAATCGCATGATTTTACCCCCCGTCTCCCCCACCCCAACATCGAACACGCAAGGGACACCTCAATGAGCTGCTCACGAGGTCACCCTCCCTGCAGCCCCACGTGAACCCCCTTCTTTTCCTTTTTAGAGGAATCACGAACAGCGTTTGCCCCAGACAAAACTTGCCGGCAAACGACGGAGCAAAAGAAAAAGCAACAAAGTCAGCACTTGGTCTGGCAACGTCAGCAAAGTCACACCCCCAGGAGCGCATCGCCGTGCACTTGGACATGGCTTTCTTGCTTTCCGGGCTGATCGTAAGGTCCGCTTCCTTGCAATCGGCTTTGGCGCAAGAGGGTCAGAATCTCCATTCAGGGGGAGGAAGGTGGCTTGGTGTAGGCTCCTCTTCAAATCAACAAGCGAAGGAAGTAAACGGGGACAGTTACCAAAAAATCACCCGCGCCGAAGCAAGGGCGTTTAAATTGGGGGCCTGAAAAAGCCTCACACTCTCCTTTCCGTTAGGTTCACCAACAGCGCCAAGCTTCCGCCATCCCAACGGAAGTCGCGTACTTAAGGACAGTAACAGCCAGTGGGCTACTGTCCATATTCTGTGAGAGCTCCACATAGCCTCGCGGCTTAGCTTGCTATTTGGTGTTATCGCTTTGGCTTCAGCTTTTCCCCCCAACGTGCGGCGAAGGGTTCCCGTTTATGAGTGAAGGTCTGGGATGGAGGCCCTGTTCGCGACGCCCGGGTCGCAACCTGTGTGCATCGTAGCAATCGTAGCGTTTGTAACGGTGAGTCTGTGTGTGTGTGTGTGTGTGCGTGTGTGCGTGTGTGCGTGTGTGCGTGTGTGCGTGTGGGCGTGTGGGCGTGTGCGCGTGTGCGCGTGTGCGCGTGTGCGCGTGTGCGCGTGTGCGCGTGTGCGCGTGTGCGCGTGTGTGCGCGTGCGTGCGCGTGCGTGCGCGCGTGCGCGTGCGCGTGTGCACGTGCGCGTGCGCGTACGCGTGCGCGCGTGCGCGTGCGCGTGCGCGTGCGTGGCGTGCGCGTGCGCGTGCGCGCGTGCGCGCGTGCCAGCGCGTGCGCGCGTGCGCGCGTGCGCGCGTGCGCACGTGCGCGCGTGCGCGCGTGCGCGCGTGCGCGCGTGCGGAATTCCACCGCTTGTATGCTGCCGATCAGGTCTTCCGCTGCATCCAGCTGTACCGGCTGCAGCCAGGGAGACTTGCCGACAATCTGGCCTGGATTGCGTCCCTTCTTTTCGAGAAGGACATCGCAGACCATTCCGCGACGCGACGCGTTGAAGGCTTTCTGCTGCCCGGATATCAGCGCCTGAAGATCGGCGAGCCGGGCAGATTTCACGTCTTCGGGCACCTGATTGTCCATCGTTGCTCCCGGTGTTCCAGGACGTTGGCTGTACTTGAACGAAAATGCAGAGCCGTACTCGACGCGGCGGATCAGATCCATTGTGTCTGCGAAGTCCTGATCCGTTTCGTCCGGGACACCGACGATGAAATCGCCCGAAAGTGCGATGTCCGGAGCGGCTTCGCGAATTCGGTCGATCAGCCGGAAATACTCGTCTCTGGTATGACGGCGGTTCATGGATTTCAGGATCTTGTCGGAGCCGGACTGTACGGGAAGATGCAGATAGGGCATCAGGCTTTTCAGATCCCGATGCGCCAGGATGAGATCATCATCCATGTCCCGTGGGTGGCTCGTGGTGTAGCGAAGCCGGTCCAGGCCGTCGATATCCGCAAGCCGGCGCAACAAACGACCAAGTCCCCAGATCGATCCGTCCTTTGCCTCACCGTGATAGGCGTTCACATTCTGGCCCAGCAAGGTGACCTCGCGCACGCCCGCTGCCGCCATGCGTTCGGCTTCAGCGACAATCTGCTCGACGGACCGTGAAACTTCAGCGCCTCTGGTGTAGGGCACCACACAGAAGGTACAGAACTTGTCGCATCCCTCCTGCACCGTCAAAAAAGCCGCAGGCGGACGTTTCATGACCGGTCTTTCGGCGCGCGCCGACAGGTGATCGAACTTCGCATCGATATCGAATTCGGTTTCCACAACCTTGTTGCCGTTTCGCACCTTCGACAGGAGACCGGGAAGCTGATGGTAGCTCTGCGGCCCGACCACCAGATCGACGATCGGAGCTCGCCGGGATATTTCCTCGCCTTCAGCCTGCGCCACGCATCCGGCGACACCGACCATCATGTCCTTGCCGTGCCGGGCGCGTTCCTGCTTCACTTTCCGGATCCGGCCCAGTTCCGAATAGACCTTTTCGGCAGCCTTTTCGCGGATGTGACACGTGTTGAGGATGACGAGGTCTGCGTCTTCCATGTCGTCCGTCGCCTCAAATCCTTCAGGCGCCAGCACGTCGGTCATCCGCTCACTGTCATAAACATTCATCTGACAGCCGTAGGTTCGCACAAACACCTTTCGTGTGTTCGTGCCCTTCACTGTCTGGTCGTGTGCGGGGGAAACGGCGGAAGGTGTCGTTTCTTGTTCTGCTTCCGGACGGCTTGTCATTCGCTCCTCGTGGCCTTGATCAGTCGGCCGACATGTCTTGATGGCAGGTGCCCGGACTTGCTCCGGTATAGCGGGCGATCGGAAAAATTCCGTTCGCTTCGTCCCTCAGACAGTCACTGCTGCGGACGGCACTCAAAATCAGGCGCCAGCTTTAGCGGGTTTTTCGTCGTTTGAGAAGAACTCGCGGGGTCCGATTTCGCCAGAATCTGTACTCTCGACCGGTTTTTGCAGCAAAGAAGAGATCGTCATCGCGCGAACTTCATTTTCCAGGCGCTGTGTGAGTTCCTTGCGATCCGTCGTTTTGCCAACAAGAACCGGTTCTCCCCAGGACACGATAACATCCAGAGCACCTCGAGAGAATATTCCCCAAAGATGGCCGGGAAGTTCCATATCCCCGAACCAGGCTACGTGCGGCCGGTGTGCCCGGCCCATCGGAAGTCCGTAAAAGCCCTGGTAGGCAATCGAAAGAGGCTGGACCCAAACGTTGGTTTCGTCGTCTCCAATTGCTCGCGTGGCTGCGCCCAGCAAAGCGGAGCGGAAGGGAAGCACGCAATTGCCGTCGTTCGACGTTCCCTCCGCGAACAGAACCATCGCGTCGCCTTCCGCCATGCGTTCGGCGATCACGTCCGCAACCTGGCCCGTCTCGCTCCGTCGCGTGCGATTGACGAAAACGGTCTGTTGAAGTTTTGCGAGCAGACCGAAGATCGGCCAGCCGGACACTTCCGACTTGGCGATGAAGGAAAGGGGGATCAGGGAACCGACAACGGCAATATCAACCCACGAAGCGTGATTTGCCGTGATGAGCAGCGGACGGTCCGTCGAGGGAACACCGATCTGCCTGATCTTGATCCCGACCAGGCGCGTGGCGATCCGGTGCCAGATCTGGGGAAGCTTTTTCCGGGCGCGAAGCTTGAGCTTCAGCGATATCCACTGCAGCGGGATCAGGACCAGCGAGACGAGCGCCAGAACGAAAATTGTCCAGGCGGCCTTGACTTCAGCCATCACCTTTTCACCTTTTGAAGCCTCCAGCGGAACACCATAGAGTTCCAGCCGGTGATCTACCAGCTTGTAACCGAGCTTCTTGGCGATGAATTCCTGCAGCGCCTCGATTTCCTCGCTCCGGAATTCAATCACCCGACCGCTGCGCAGATCGATCAGATGGTCGTGATGCTCGTCCGGCACCGTCTCGTAGCGTGACCGACCGTCCCGGAAGTCGTGTCGTTCGATCATTCCGGCATCTTCGAAAAGCTTGACGGTGCGATAGACGGTCGAAATGGATATTCCCTTGTCGATCGCGACAGACCGGCGGTAGAGGTCCTCGACATCAGGGTGGTCGTCGGAAGCTTCCTCGATCACCGTAGCTATGATGCGGCGCTGCTCGGTCATGCGCATACCCTTTGCCACGCACATTTCCGCCAGCGTTGTTTGCCGCTCATCCGTCATTGGTTCGTCGCCTGCTGATTGACCGGAATTTTCGTAATACAGCGCTTAGCGAAGATCGATGCGCATGACAAGCGCCGTACCGTCACCGCCACTCTCGCTGTAATAACCTTTTCTCTGGCCAACCTGCTTGAAGCCGAGGCTGCGATAGAGCAGCAATGCGGCGTTGTTCGCCGCGTCCACTTCCAAAAACAGATGGCTGCAGCGTTCGCCATAAAGCCTGAACAGGCCGGCTTCCATCAGTTTTTTGCCGATGCCCCGCCAGCGCTGTCTTGGATGCACGGCAATTGTGATCACCTCTGCTTCATCGGCCACCGTGCGCAAAATGAGAAATCCCAGCGGAGCGCGCGTTCCGTATGGACTGGCACGGCGTGCGACCAGGATCGCGACACCCTCCTGCGCCTTCATGCGCGCAAGTTCTTCGGAATTCCACTTGTTCGGAAACGAGGCAGCGTGGATATCGGCTATCTTCGGCAGGTCCTCGTCCAGCGCTTCTTCCACAACCGGCGGCTGGGCCCAGAACCACCAGAAACTCATTGCCGTTCAATCCTTCCTCTGGTCTGCGGCGTCGCATCGGGTGGTCGCAGATATAGCGGTGACGGTGTGGAAACGACCGGATCAGCAACAAGGCCGAGTTCGGCAACCTCCCGTATCGCCGCAAATTCCATCCTCGAGATGATCTGATCCTGCGGCAGATCCAGCGCCTGAGCGATTTTTTCTGCGGCCGACCCTGCCAATCTTATGCTCCGTGGCAGTGTTGCCGCAAGATCGTCAAGTGTCCGCACGGCAGCGTCGCCGGACTTGTCCCCTAAAGACGTAAATTCCTGACAGTATACCTCGTTTCCCTTGCCAGTCAGCGCCACGAGCAGCGGCGCACCGTTATCCGCCGGCGCGTTGGAACGCGCAATTGCGGCAAGTGTGGTGATGCCCACGACCGGCTTGCCGAGGACGAGACCGAATCCTCGGGCGACAGCAAGCCCGACACGCAGTCCCGTGAAACTGCCCGGCCCGACCGTGACGGCCACACGGTCCAGATCGGAAAAGGCTGTGGACGTTTCCGCCATGACCTCGCCGATCATGTCCATCAGCACCTCGGCATGCCCGCGACCGATTTCCTCACTACAGGCTTCGAAACATGCGGTCTCTGCACCGTTGTCGAGAACTGCGGCAGCGCAATTGGCGAGTGCTGTATCGATGGCAAGAACACGCATGTCGGCCTGGCTCAAGGGTTTTTGTCCTTCTTGCCACTACCGCGGCGAGGCGCTCGAGTCGAGCCGAGCTTTGGACCTAAGTCCAATTGAGGGCTTGCGTTCCGGAAAGAATGCGGTATCGGAATGCAAAAGGCCCGGCATGAACGCCGAGCCCTTGAAAAAACCGGGAAAATCCAATCAGATCGGCCGGACTTCCTCGACTTCCGGTACAAAGTGGCGCAACAGATTTTGAATTCCGTGCTGCAGCGTTGCCGTCGAGGACGGGCATCCCGCACACGCACCGCGCATCGACAGATACACGATCCCTTCCTTGAAGCCCTTGAAGGTAATGTCTCCCCCATCCTGGGCAACGGCCGGGCGAACACGTGTTTCAAGAAGCTCCTTGATCGTGTTTACGGTCTCTTCGGCACCTTCATCGAAAAACTCGCCTTCCTCGATGTCTTCCACCTGACCGGCGGCCATGACAGGTTGCCCCGACATGAATTGCTCCATGATGACGCCAAGAATGGCGGGCTTCATGTGCTGCCAGTCCGTGTCGTCTTTCGTTACCGTCACGAAGTCGTGGCCGAAAAACACCGCGGCTACGCCCGGTACATCGAAGAGCCTTTCCGCGAGCGGAGACACTCCGGCATCTGCCCTGGTGCGGAAGTCATAAGTGCCTTCCGGCAGGACGACCCGTCCTGGCAGGAATTTCAATGTGGCCGGATTTGGAGTTGCTTCGGTTTGAATGAACATGATCTTTGTCCTTGCGTTTGATCAACGCGTCCAAGGTCTGGTGTCCTGCGCCTCTCGTCCATCGCAAAACACCGATGGATTGTTGTAACCCATCTGGCAGCAGTTTGGAATAGTTAAAAACTAGATAGGTCCTGATCCTTCCAGATCAAGTTCCCACAGTGATTTCACTTCGTTCATGGCGCTCAAACTAGGCAAGAGCGGCGATCGAGTCGTCGTCCAGATTGCCCGGTACGATGGTCACCGGGATCGGAAACGTGCCGGCTGCCTTGCCCGCAATGGAAGACACCAGCGGTCCGGGGCCTTCCGACCCTGTGCTGGCTGCCAGTACAAGGATTGCGATGTCGGCATCCGCCTCGATCAATTCCAGAATTTCTTCCGAATTGGTGCCTTCGCGTACAACTGTTTCCGGTTCCGTTCTGGCCACCGACCTGACGCGCTCGGCAGCCTTTGCAAGCGTTGATTCCGCTTCTTCCAGCGCTTCAGCCCGCATGATGTCCTCGACACCAAGCCAGTGCTGGAAGTCGCCCGGTGCAATCATGAACACGAGCGTGACCACCCCACCGGTTCGCGCTGCACGCTTTGCGGCATAGACAATTGCCCTGTCGCATTCGGGCGTCTCGTCGACCACGACCAGAAATTTCCGGCGATGGCCTTCCTCGTTACTTTTCCGTATCGCTACCATAAACGCATGCTGCCATCGGTGCGCGCGCATCGCAAGCGGCGAAATCGTCGCTTGCGTCAACCCTGGCGTTACAGAATAAACTTCGACAGATCGACGTTCTTTGCCAGGTCGCCGATGTTTTCCTTCACGAATTCCGCCGTTATCTCAATAGCTTCTCCCGATCTGTCGGGGGCCGTAAAGGAAATTTCGTCAAGTATCCGCTCCATGACGGTCTGGAGACGACGCGCGCCGATGTTTTCAACAGATGCATTGAGATCAACCGCGACGGATGCAATTTCCTCAATCGCCTCTTCGGTGAAAGCGAGCGTGACTTCTTCCGTCTCCATCAAGGCAACATACTGCTTGATCAGGCTGGCCTCGGGCTCCGTCAGGATTGCGCGGAAGTCGTCCTTGTCAAGCGCACGCAATTCAACCCGGATCGGCAGACGCCCCTGCAATTCCGGCAACAGGTCGGACGGCTTGGCGACATGGAAGGCACCGGACGCAATGAACAGGATATGGTCGGTCTTCACCGGGCCGTGTTTCGTGGAAACGACCGTTCCCTCGATCAGGGGCAGAAGATCCCGCTGAACACCTTCGCGCGACACATCCGCACCAGCTCGGCCTTCGCGCGCACATATCTTGTCGATCTCGTCCAGGAAAACGATGCCTGAATTTTCGACAAGCGCAATTGCTTCTTCAACGACCTTGTCTTCGTCAAGCAGCTTGTCGGATTCCTCATTGATCAGAAGTTCATAACTTTCGCGAACGGTCGTCCGCTTGGTCTTGGTCTGGCCACCAAACGCCTTGCCGAGAATATCCGACATGTTCATGACGCCGACGCTTGCGCCGGGCATCCCGGGCAATTCGAAACTCGGCATCTGAGCCTGGGCGCGGACCTCGACTTCGATTTCCTTGTCGTCCATTTCGCCGTCGCGCAGTTTCGTTCGGAAACTATCTCGGGTAGCCGGGCTCGCATTCGATCCAACCAGCGCATCCAGGACCCGCTCTTCGGCGAGGACATGGGCCTTGGCCTTCACTTCGTCGCGCTTTTTGTCCCGGATGAGGGTAATGCCCGCTTCAACAAGATCACGAACAATCTGTTCCACATCACGGCCACCATAGCCGACCTCGGTGAATTTCGTCGCTTCCACCTTGGAAAAAGGCGCGTTCGCAAGCTTGGCGAGACGACGCGAAATCTCTGTCTTGCCGACGCCGGTCGGTCCGATCATGAGAATATTCTTCGGCAGAACCTCTTCCCGCATCTGGCCCTGCAACTGTTGGCGGCGCCAACGGTTGCGCAGGGCAATCGCCACCGCCCGCTTGGCATCCTTCTGGCCAACAATGTAGCGATCGAGTTCGGAAACGATCTCGCGCGGAGAAAAATCGGTCATTTTTTACGATACGCCTTCCGTATTCATGTGTTCCATAAGCAGGCTGTCATCCGTTTTACCCAGAAGATCCGGTATCTCCCGAAATCCGGCTTTACGATAAGCCCTTACCGCTCTCTGGTTGGCCGGGTCCGGATCGATGATGATCCGATCATAGCCGTCCTGGCGCAGTTTCCGGACGAACGCCTGCAATACTCTTGTTCCAATTCCCTTTGAAAGGTCTTCCTCATCGGCAATGGAGAGGTCAACCCCAACAGCTTCACGTGGCAGTAAATTGAGCCAGGGATAATCCTTGGCAAAGTCCGTTTCCAACTGGTCCTTTACGTACCAGACCTGAATGTAACCCTTGTCCAGGCCATCAAGTCGGAAGATGAAAGGCAGCGTTGTATCGCGCCCTTCGACCATCTCCCTGACATATCCGGTTTCCTCGATCGGTTCTCCCCACCATTTACGCCAATGCGGTCTTGCCATCCAGATTTCAAGTGTCGGCAAATCCTCATGGGTGACGGGATGAAACGTGATCATGGCCGGCTAGTCGGTCACTTCAAGCATTTCCAGGGTTACGCTTGAGTTGGTGTAAACGCAGATCTCGGCGGCAACAGCCATCGCCTTGCGGGCAATGGTTTCCGCGTCGAAATCGGTATCGGCGAGTGCCCTGCCCGCGGCCAGTGCATAGTTACCACCGGATCCGATACCCATTATGCCTCCTTCTGGCTCGAGTACATCACCTGTCCCGGTAAGAACCAGTGACACGTTCTTGTCGGCCACCAGCATCATCGCTTCAAGGCGTCGCAAGTACCGGTCTGTCCGCCAGTCCTTGGCGAGTTCGACACAGGCGCGCATCAGTTGTCCGGGATATTGTTCAAGTTTCGCTTCCAGGCGTTCGAACAAGGTGAAAGCGTCTGCGGTCGCACCGGCGAACCCGGCGATCACTTCACCCTTGGCCAGGGGTCTCACCTTTCGGGCGGAATGCTTGATCACGGTCTGGCCGAGGGATACCTGTCCGTCGCCTGCAATGACGACCTTGTCGCCCTTGCGTACCATCATGATCGTCGTCCCGTGCCATTGAGCCGGTTCGCGCGTTTCGCTCATTCATTCCTCTGGGGTTCTTGATTGCTGCTCGGTTTCATCAATGCTGCCGCCCTATGTAGGCGGCATTTCCGGCTTTTCCAAGCCATCAGTTTGCTGCGAGACGCATCACGACAATTCAAGCGTGACGTTTTCTAGTGCGACATCTCGATTCTCGCTGCGCGCAGAAGCGCCTCGACCAGTTTGTCGAGCTGCCCGCTGACCCGTTCTTCAACCAACTCGTCCATGTCGTCGAATGAGGTCATTGCCTTTGGCACGGACACCATCTGCGGCAGCACCGGTGCACCCAGTCCGACTTCCAGGATCGTTCGCATGCCGATCAGACCGCGCATGCCGCCAAATCCGCCCGGAGAGGCTCCGCCGAGTGCGAACACGCTGTTCCTGTAAGGCTCGCCCGGTTCCTTGACCCGGCTGATCCAGTCGAGCGTATTTTTCAGGAGGGGTGTCACGCCGGCATTGTATTCGGGACAAGACAGGAAAATTCCGTCATGCCCGACAAAGAGCCGCTGAAGCTTTTTGGCATTTTCGGGTACACCATTCGCTTCTTCCAGATCTCCGTCATAGATCGGCAAGGGGTAGTCTTTCAGCGAAAGATGCGTGACCTCGGCGTCCAGGATTGCAAGCCGCTTGGCGACGAGTGCAGCAAGTTTTCCGTTGTGGGAGCCGCTCCGCACGGACCCGGAACAAACAAGTATCTTTGGACTGCGCATCAACAGACCCTTTCAGCCGTAGACAGGACAATTCGGTCTTATTGATATGGCAAAAGCCAACTCGTTTACCAGTGTTTCCGCCACAAGGCCGAGCAGGCGGGCACATTTGGCATGCCCGCCTCCCTCCGATCAGAACAGGCTTGCAATAAACCCCGGTATGCTTTTGACGGCATATGTCCAATCGTCCTTTCGCCACCTGGACATTTCATAGGCCGAATCGCCAAGATCTTCTCCCATGTCGGCAAACAGTTTTGTCGGTCCCTGTTTCATGCGGTCGACCAGACGGCTCAAACGGGCGATATCGATGTCGCCTGTCTGAATGAGGTGGACAGCTCCAAGGACCAGGGTCGTCATGCTGTCGACGCCCGAAGCGCCTAGGCCGATCGGGTCGCAGGCACGGATTACCTGAAAAACCTTGCTGTTCTTGACCGATCCGGGAGCGATTGCCTCGACGAGGCTCTGCAGACCCTCCACCATGCCGGCCCAGGGAATGGCCTTGCCCATGAAGTGCTTGTAAAGCTCGGAGGTGCCATAAAGATAATCGCCCTGTTCGAACTTGTCCGCGACCTCGATCAGGGTAATAACCTGTCCCACAGCACCGGCCTTGCTGCCAAGGCTCCCCAGGAACCTGCCAAATTTCGACGCCGGTGACCCGATCGCATCGAGGGCTCCGAACTGGCGCCCTTTCATTCCGGAAATGGCCTTCATCACGTCCCGCGCTTCGGAAACTGAAAAGCCCCACTTGCGCAATTGCGACCAGGCGGCAATGACCTTGCGTGCATCCTCGGCACGCCCGATCGTGCCAAGAAACTTCTTCATGCCGGGGATGCTCTTGTCGATCAGCTCACGTCTGAACTCGTCAAAAGCATCGCTGTCACCGAGTTTGGCCGCTTCCTTGGCCAGCATTTTTTCCGCCGGGGTCAGGCGATCGTCACGCATCGTATCATTGGCAACCGTGGATGGATGAGCTGCAGGCGGGATGCACATCCGTTGCCAGACAGAGGCCGAGTTCGGGTCGTTGAGCGCCTGAATGGTCCGGTTGCCCCGATCCACGCGGCCGTCGGGATAACGCAGCCGGACGACACTCGCCTGAAAGTCCTTGATTGTTCCTATGGTCTTCGAGCCGACTTTTCCGTCGACCGACAATTCCTTGCGTGAAGATCCCATGAGGGCGTTCAACCGGGTCTGAACCGTCTTGACATCCAACTGTTCATTCGTTCCGAACCGGCCTACGGAGCCGCCAATACCAATGCATGAATTGATCATTTGAAAATTGTCCAATCAATAAAAAAACAATACCAAGCAACGCTTATTCACGAATTCTGCTGAAAGGACCTGTGACTCACGTCACCGTGAATGCAAATGAGACTGCAATTCGCACGGAAACAGTGGATTTCGACACGATGTCGGCGCTGCGGCAAACGGGAAAGCGTTCGCACAAACAACGGACTAAGGTGAAAAGGCAACCAATGTGAAGACCGGTCGCCATCAACATGATAATTCAGAAATGGATGTGCTCTGGCACCAGGTTACCGATGAGTACCGGCCTCAGTGCCCTTTGCGATAAACCCATACCCGTGCCGGCGGCAGGTTTTTCCAGACCCATTCGGAACTGTAGACCGATACCGCCCGGTTATCCGGTTTGATCGGCGCAACCAGTCCATAGGAGAACTGGATAAAGGGTGCGCCCGGCTTCAGCAGATGAAAAGCTTCGTCCAGCAAGGCCCGGCGGACCGGCTCCGATCTCATGAGCAGCGGAAGCGACGAAACAATTCCATCCAGAGTGTGTTTGACCTGCGTCTCGCCGGTGAGGAACCCTTTCGGCTTGCGGAGGGTCTCTGTCAATGTGTAGGCATCGCCCTGCTGAATGGGCAACCCCGGATATCTGAGGCTCAAGAGCTCACAGAACTCTTCGCTGTACTCGATCAGGTTGAGGTGTTTGTGCGTGAAACCGCGATCAATCAGTGCCTTCGTGACAACACCGGTTCCAGGACCCAGTTCGACGACCCGTGAGTGGGGTCGTGGTGTCAGGTATGACGCCATTTTGGTCGCCAGATCGGATCCTGACGGTGAGACCGCACCGGTTCGCAGGGGATTTTGCGCCCAGGACCGGATGAACTTCATCTCATCCAGAACCTTCGTGCGCACGGCATTGGCCTTGCCCAGCTTCTCCCGAAGACGTTCGACGCGAATACTGTTGCGTTTCAGCATGTTACCTCACCAAACCCCAGGGAATCGAATATAGGGGCAATTGTAAGGATTTGCTATATCCTGACGCACAGAATGCACAGTCACGCGCCCAGATTGTCAATAAAATCCTTCACTTTCGAAAAGAACCCCGCCGATTCGGGATGATTTTCGCCAGACGATTCCGTTTCGAATTCCGCAAGAAGTTCTCTTTGCCGGCGCGTCAGGTTCGTCGGTGTCTCAACCGTTACCTGAATGTACATGTCACCATGCTGGCTGGAACGCATGACCGGCATGCCCTTGCCGCGCAGACGGAACTGCTTTCCGGTCTGGGTTCCTTCGGGAACCTTGACGCGGCTTGTGCTTCCCTGAACGGTGGGAACATCAAATTGACCGCCAAGTGTTGCCGTACTCATGGAAATAGGAACGCGGCAATAAAGGTCTGCGCCATCGCGCTGGAACAGGTCGTGCGGCTTGATCGTCAGGAAGATATAAAGGTCTCCCGCAGGGCCACCACGGACCCCGGCTTCTCCTTCGCCAGCAAGACGAATACGGGTACCGTCCTCGATGCCGGCCGGTATGTTCACGGACAATGTCCGGTCCTGCGTCTTGCGGCCGGCTCCGCTGCAACTTTCGCAAGGATCGGAAATAACCTGACCGCGGCCCTGACAGCTGGGACAGGTGCGTTCAAGCGTGAAGAACCCCTGCGCCGCGCGGACCCGCCCTGCTCCGCCACATGTTCTGCATGTAGTCGGGCTTGTGCCCGGCTTGGCGCCGGAGCCGGAACATGTGTCGCAGGTGGTGCTTGTCGGCACCTCGATTTCCACGGTCTTCCCGGAAAATGCATCTTCCAGCGTTATGTCGAGATTGTATCGAAGATCGGCGCCGCGTTCGCGGCCACCGGAGCGGCGCCCGCCGCCCATGCCGAAAAATTCCTCGAAGATGTCGGACATGGTTGACGAAAAATCGTGCGCCCCGGCACCACCGCCACCGCCGAATCCGCCGTTTTCGAAGGCAGCATGCCCGAACCGGTCATATGCTGCGCGCTTCTGGCCGTCCTTCAGCGTGTCGTAAGCCTCGTTGACTTCCTTGAAACGGGTTTCGGCCTCTGCATCCCCGGGGTTCCGGTCGGGATGGTATTGCATCGCCATCTTGCGGTAAGCGCTTTTGAGCGCCTTTTCATCCGCCTCGCGAGATACCCCCAGTACCTCGTAGAAATCACGTTTGGACATCAAGAGCTCTCGGTCTTGTTGTTGCGCCACCGGCGGCCAGGATATCTCCGGCGCCCAGGACGGCGAAAGCGCCGGACACGAGAACCCGTTTTACCGGGTAATCAAGCGACCGGCGCCAGACTTGAACAGCCAGCCGGACATCCGGCTGGCTGCAGTTTCGTGGTTTAAGCGGACTTCTTGTCGTCTTCGTCTTTGACTTCTTCGAAATCCGCGTCGACAACGTCATCCTCGGCTTCGGAAGCGGCTTCCTCGCCACCTTCTGCTTCGGCGTCAGCCTGGGCTGCCTGATACATGGCTTCCCCGAGCTTCATCGACGCTTCCGCAAGAGCCTGCGTCTTGGCCTTGATGTCTTCCAGGTCCTCGCCTTCAAGCGTGGATTTCAGATCTTCCAGAGCGCTTTCGATCGCGGCCTTGTCTTCCTCGGAAACCTTGTCGCCGTAATCCTTGAGCGACTTGTCCGTGGAATGCACCAGGGATTCACCCTGGTTCCTGGCTTCGACAAGTTCCTTGCGTTTCTTGTCTTCATCCGCGTGGGATTCCGCGTCCTTGATCATCTGGTCGATGTCAGTGTCGCTGAGACCACCGGACGCCTGGATACGGATTTGTTGCTCCTTGCCGGTACCCTTGTCCTTTGCGGACACGTTGACGATACCGTTGGCATCGATGTCGAAGGTGACTTCGATCTGAGGTACGCCGCGCGGTGCCGGAGGAAGGCCGACCAGGTCGAACTGGCCAAGGACCTTGTTGTCCGCGGCCATTTCACGCTCACCCTGGAAAACACGGATGGTCACAGCCGTCTGATTGTCTTCAGCCGTAGAGAACACCT